TAAAATTATTGATTGATTCTAATCCATAGCATCTAATATGTATGTTAATTAGGAATATTGGATTACTTGTCTGAAATATTCGACAAACACAATATCTAATTCAAACTTTAAGATTGGATGCATAACAAAATATATCTACTCATATTGAATGCTATACATTTTGCATCAACTCAACAAACACAAATAATTTATAGACTAATCCAGAACAAATGAATTAAGACATTGTCTCTTTCATTATTGCATAGCAATATGTCTTTATAGTGACTTCCATTTATTCCAATACATTCATCAATCAAATAATTATTATTCAAATATTTTCTTAAAATAAAAAGTCAAAGGATTCTAATTAATCTTAAAAGTTAGTAAAGTCTAAAATTCTTTCCTTTCATTGTGTCCAATATTGTTATCATATATTTAATACTAAATCAAATTTTTAATCATTTGACTTTTTTTCAGCTTCAACATTATACTCAATTTTATAAATTTCTTAATTTTTTTCTCACCTCTCAACTAGATAATTAAAATGCAACTACCATCTAAATAGATCGAAAGTATTCCTAATAATATAATGCTTAATATCTAATTGGATAAGAAATAAAAATATTACATTTTAGCACCCTATTTTTTAACCATATTCTTTATAAAAACCTTATTTTGAATCTTAAAATTTATTAAGTACCATATTTTTGATTTGTTTAATTAAGCAAAAATATATGTTTGAGTAAATAAAACTAGAAAATAAATAAATTTAAGAGTGACAATTTAGATAATTTTAAAATTGTTTTAGTTTAATTCTAAATAAAAAGATTAAATTTAATTATTATAATAATAGTGTGAAGCAGGCAAAAACTTTCTTATAGTGATTTATTTAGCACATATTATATCTGAAAAAGTTGATTTTTTGGAAAAATAATAAATTAGCTCTGTGAATAAATAAATTTTATAAATTTTTTCATATTTTGAATTAATTTTATAGAAAATTGTAATATTAAAATAATTAATGCTTATAATTTAAATATAGTAAACGAATTAGAAAGAGTAAAAAATTAAATTATGATATATTATTATTAATTTTCTAATTTCCCCTTATTGAAGTGACATGTTATATCTACAAATAATGCATGTTTGAATCAATCTTGAGAATAAGCAGTATCAAAGCATAAATAAAAATTCAAGTATAAGCATGATTATTAAAATTTAGATATATAAGTATAAAGTATTAAAGAAAGAATTTTAAAGATAATTTTAATAATCTGATAGTTTAGATGTTTCATACTTACCTTGATTACAATTAGGTTTATTTAGAGAAGGAAATTAATAATTAAATTGGTTTAATTTTTCTTTTACTTTTTCTAAATCCTATTGCTTTTCGTTATTATTGAATTTTTTCTACTATTATTTTACTACCACAGAATCTTTATTCTTTATTTTTCTTGCCCAAATGTTTTCGGAGCGCCAGTAGATGCTTTTTTGGAATGCTCTCCAATTTGATATTTATTCTCTTGTTATTTCTAAAGAGATTTTTCAATGACTTTAGGTTTCAACTCTGGTTAATCAAACTAAGGTTTTTCTTATTTTTCTCCTAAATTTGGTTATTCAACTTAAAAATACAATTTAAATACATTTGTGAGTTTACAAATTTATTACTATTAATTTTATATTTTAATATCAATCTGCTTCTCTTCCATCACTAAATCATAAAAATAGTATAGTTAATAAAACTAATTTTGTATGAGGTTGTTTCTTAAGTTAATACTAAAATTTATTTATAGAATAATACTAAGTGCCATAGAGCTAGTTATCCTTTTCATAGTTAAAGTTTAAAAAATATATAACTAAACTTCTTTAGCCTTATAACATTTAAGGAAGTCAATACTCTCTTTAAACTTAACTAATTGTGAACATTAACTCGAAGAGAAGTTTAAAATTGTTCCTTATCAGATATTTCTAATTTCTTATGACTTTATCTAATTCCTAAATAAAATTTTATAGTTATGAGGATAGAATCCATGATCAAAATTTAGGAGTAAATATTTAACCTTATCATTTTCAAAAATTTAATTTCTCCCCGCAGTTGTTAATCCATAGCTATCAGAATTAAACATGCTATTAAAGAAGTTAGAAAAATCTACTATATAAAAGAAAGTTCTTACTCTAAGTTCTTGTAAAATTGTTTAATTTTTTCCTTAATATCTGTGCTATCTTCCTAGTATTAATTACAATTTTGAATATTTTAAAGAATTTCCCTTCTAACATAACCTATTCTTGAATTGTGAAATTTAAAATTACATTATTTCTGCTTACTCAGACCGTTTGACCTAGATTCTGACTTATTCCTAAGCCAGAAGCTGTAACACCATAACCCTACTTCATAATTTATTTATAATTTTAAGAATTATACTTAAAACTATTATATTCTTGATTAGATACTTTATGATATTGAAATGCCCTTTTCATTAGGATTCAAATTATCATCAGATTTTTAATACAATTTTTTTATTGCCTTGAAGATCATTACAAAAAATTCTCAATCAATAATTTGTTTATTGAATAAGTGATGAAAAATAAAATGGTAAGTAGCCATCCAAAATTAAAATCATATCTAAAAGTAATAAGATGTCTTAATAGAGAGTAGAAATAATAACTGAATGTAAGAATTATGGAAATTCAAAATTTTTAGACTTAATTAAAGGAACAGATTCATAATTATAATCGCAACTCACTTAAAACATAATAACCAATTCTTAAATATTATTCAGCATTGAAATCAACCTATTCTACTTATTTATTATCAGAAGAGAATTCATATAAAGAAACTAATAATTATGTTTCAATAATTATTAATAAAGATTGTTCAACTGTAATAATTTGATCTGATAAGGAAGTCAAAACATTGGAGTTCATCTTAGTTTAGTATTGTATAATAATGAAAAATATATTCATTTCAGATTGTCAAGATAAAACTATTAAATTATGGATTGAATGGAAACAATATATCATCATACAAGATTAAAAATCGTAATCATAATGTGTTATTATTAAGTTAATAATAAAAAATAAAGTTGCTGTGATTAATAAATATTAATCATAGAATAGTCTTAAAAGGATTTTTGATTGATTTTGATCTAAAAGATTTTGCAATATGATTATAGAATATGTCGTTTAATGATGGCGATTTCTCAAATAGTGCAAACTAGATGTATATTTATAAATAGTTTTAATAACTACTATTTAAAGTGCTGTTTAGAGCGGATCTGATTATTACTTGATTACTTTTAGTACAAATAATCAAAATATTTGAGTGTAAATAAGAATTGTAATCTTGTGAGTTTGATAAAACAAATTGGGGATGATGAATTTCAAATATAATAAGCTATTTAATTTGAACGAAATTTTATATTTGGAAATATGACTAATGGTGGATAACTTAGGATTACTTGGGGTCAAGGTCGATGAATATTCAGATCAGAAAATACAAAAAATTAAATATCATTCTAAAATATTAGTTTATATTTTGGTTTCATTTTTAATACTATTAATTTAGCTCTATTGTTATTTGTAGATGATGTTAACTTAGATTAAATAAGCTTCAAGATTATTATATATTTAGATAGAAATTAATATTTAATTTTAGATGTCTTTAAAAGGCAAAAGGTTTAATGATAGCTTATCATTTTTAATGGATGTCACAAATAAGTAACCAATTAAGACCACTTTAACAAGAGATACTAAATATTTTGTAAAGAGAAGCAATTATGCAAAAATACAATAGAGTATGGCGAAAAATAATTACTCAATTTTTCATATCAAAATAGTGTAATCACCATTGAGAACAAAATGGAGTTCCATCATTAGTAAAATAAAATAAAATGAATAAGAATTAATATAAATTAAAAATCTTTTTGATAAATCAATTGATGATTAATTATAGAATTGCCACTACTTTATGAGAACGTAACTTTTTAAAAGAAATAAATAAGTATATTTTAATCAACACATAAAAATCCAACTATTCTATTTATATGATAAATATAAGGATGTCAGCTTAATAAACATTAGAAATATCAATAATAATTTATTTACTTAATACTTGTAATTTACCAGTAGTTTATAGAGTTACGATAGTCATTAGTATGACTGAAATTAACTTAGATAGATCTAATCTTTTCACTGTAAAATAACTTTGAAATTTCGAATCTTATAAAATAATCTAGCCAAGCAGAGATAAAATAAATTTTTTTATCTAACATCACTTAATCTTGTCGTAGAATATTGTTGTAGCTTGCAAAAAATATGTATATTCCTTAGATTAGTATCTATAATTAGCTTTAGATATCTATTGATTGTTTTCCGTATGTGAGAATTACATGCAAATATTGTCACTTATTAAAACAACTGAATTTTATTTTTATAGTAAACTTTAGACAGTCAATATCATTTTAAAGCACCTAATCAAAGGTAAAATTACAAAAAATACATGGGAATACTATATTGAAAAATTTCATTGTAAAAGCTCCACAAACGTAAGTTCAATTTTCAAGTTGATTCGTTGAAAGTGATGAATTGTAAATGATTTGAGTGTGTAGAGACATTTTAATAGTATTAATGGTTTATTTTAGCTAAAACAATTTGAAATATAAGATGATGACTAGTTTTTGGTGATTTGCAAGTCTTTAATGTATAGGATTAGAATTATTTAGGAAATTAATTATACTATTTTATATTACATTAAATTTCAGATTCTATTAAAATTTCTAATAGAATTAGCTAATGTTAATAGTTATATCAAAAAATTCCTATACTTCAAATAACTTCAAACTGTTAGATCCAGCCTACAACATTAGATTGTAAAGGGCATTTTGTTGAGAATCTTTACTTTATTGAAACATTCTTTCTCTTATAATGGTGTTTATTTAAATCGCAAAATAAATTAATTTCTGATAGAATTTAGGTGTATTCAAATCCGAATACACTATAACATTTTGAAAATTTTCATATTTATGAAGGTACTGATTGAAAATAAAAATTGGTCTGCAAAAGATGCTGAAACTATCAAACATATTTTCATCTAATTGAAGTTTGATGAAGAAAAAAAGGGAATATTACAACAGCAAATACAAAAGATTAAAAGTGCAGAGAAAGTCATAAAATATCTTCTGGATTGCAATCAAAATTGGAATGTCTTGTAATCATCAATTCAGAAGGAGATTTCCAACGATGCAGAATTGGAATAGTAACAGTTAATATAATAAGTATCATCGAATCAGTTGACCAACATCAAAACAAAAATTTCATAAAAAATCAAGTCTCCAAGTTAAATAGATAGTTTCATATAATACATCCAAAAAGAAAACTTCAGCTAAGAGGTTATGTGTAAAGCCTTATGTTAAGAATTTAAATCTATTCAAGAATTGTAGTAAATTATTTTCAATATAAAATGTTAAAAAATGAATTTCACATAATGTTTCATTAATTAAAACAACCAAACCCTTAACAGGAATAATCCAGAATGGTATGATTAAATTTAAGAACTTTAAAAAGAATTTCAATCCTTAAATAATAGATTAAATAAATAAAACTTTGATCATCTTTCGGAATTATACAATTCCATTCAAAAATATCCAAGAGCATACTCATAAAGTGATGACTTTTCTAAATCTCCTAATTTGCAATTGGGAGATTTGCTACTTTTATGTGCCAGAGTATATGAGCATTTTTCCTTCTATCCAAGACCGGTTCAAGTGTTATCAGTTTTAGAATTATATAATCATAATAAGGATAAGGGAAGGGTTGCTTAAATATATACTGGAGAAGGTAAATCTTTAATCATCGCTATGCTTGCTATATTAATATGTAAAAAGAAAGAGTAAAGTGTGGATATTGTAACTAGTTCTCCTGTCTTGGCTATACGAGATGCTTAAGAATTGGCCAAGTTTTATGAATTATTCAAAGTATCAGTAACTCATAACATACATAAATCAATTGACTAGAATGTAAGAAGGGATTCTTGCTATAATTTCTAAGTTATTTACGGAGATCCCCATAGCTTTTAGGGTGATATATTAAGTCATGAATATACTGAAACTGGGATTATGAAAGATAGGAAATAAGAATATATTATAGTTGACGAAGTTGATTCTATGCTTATTGACGGGAATAGTAATAAGACAATATTAGGCTCCTCTAATCCAGGAATGCTCGATTTAACAAAAGTTCTTAGACTAATTTGGGATGAACTTTCCAAAGTAGAGAAACAACTTTCAACTGATATGAAGGTCATGATGATAGATGGATAAGATTATTATAGTGTTGATTTGTAAGAATATCTAGAAAATACATTAAGCATTTAGATATAAGATGTCTTAAAAACCTATCTACCGAGATTTCGATTGAATTATATTAATTTTATGAAAAAGATTTGGATTGAAAATGCTATCCAGGCTAAATTTTATTTGCATGAAAAGTAACATTACCTTATTGACAATTAAATTCGAATTATTGATTTCTAAAATACAGGTGTAGTTCATAAGGTTGATATGTAATGGTAGAAAGGGATACATTAATTTCTGTAATTGAAGCACAATCTTCCTATCACTCCATTAAGAATTAGTACAAACTTTATGTCTAATGTAAGTTTCTTTAAAAGGTACAACCATAAACTCTTAGGCCTTACTGGAACATTAGGTTCATAAGTTACTTAGGATTTGTTAGCCAAATAGTACAATATTGACTTTGCATTCATGCCTCCTTATAAAAAAAGGCTATTAAAAGAGGAAACTGGTATAGTAACTCAGAATAAAGATGAATGGTTTCAAGAGATATTAAAAGTAGTTGAATTGTAGATGAGCTAAGGGAGAGCTGTATTAATTATCAATTAAACTATCGATGATGTTAACAAAATTGAAGATTATTTAATGAAACATAGTATAAAATCAATCACTTATGTTGATGATGATTAAGAATTAAAAAAAGAAATTGGTCCTTAAACGATTATTATTGCTACAAATTTGGCTGGAAGAGGAACAGATTTAACAACTAATGAAGAATTAGAGAAGAATGGAGGTCTTCATGTTATCATGTCATTTTTACCTCGAAATATCAGAATCTAAAATTAAGGATTTGGTAGAACTGCAAGATAAGGTAAATAAGGCACAGCCTAACTTATTGTTTATTTCCATTCTAACCTTTATCTTGGCTCAATAAAAGAAATTAACACTGTTCCCGGTGCAATAAGATATTATCAACAATAGAATTAGAGATTCTATTCTACAAATTTAGACATCCTATTATTTTTTAGAGATTTAAATGAGTAATAATACTCAAAAGAAATTGAAGAGAGAATGAATAAGTTATAGAATGAAGATAAATGTTTTTAAAAGTTTTGTGAAATCGCTAAAAAGTAGGTAAGTATAAAAACAGACAAACCTGCTTTTCGAGCCTTAGAAGAAAAATGGGGGCTTTATTTGGAAGAACATCAAGATAATGGATTGAATGAAGATGACATTGAAGAAAAACTAAATTCTGATGAAACCTAAAATCCAAAATATTTGGTTTTATAAGGAATCTAAAAGGGAGATATAAAGCTGTTCTAAAAAGCTACTGAAATAGCAATTAATGATCCTCACCCTGAATATTTTAAAGGATGTTAATAAATATTGATGGCAAATTACAAAGAAGGAGCAGAAACATTGATAAAAGCCAGACAACTTTTCCAAAATAAAATTAATGATGAATAAGGCTTCTTAACTGTTTCTAAATTAAATAAATTTTAAATTTAGTCAACCTAATAAACAAAATAAAAGCCAGATTTGTAATAATCAGAAAGAAATATTTCAAATGATAAAATTGTAATGCCAAAGTTAAATATAACAGGTGATTCAGAAATTCAAAATAAATCCGTCTCTCAAAATAAGTAAAAAAATGACCAATTAGATGCCCTTGAATAGAAAATAAAAAATCATAATAAAGTATATTAGAAAGCAATAGATAGTATTGATGATATTCTAAATACTTTGTAAACCAAGTTGGCTAGCGATGAACATTTTGAACTAGGTTGGATACCAGTTATTAGTGAAAGTGAGGAGAAAAATGCAGAATCAGAACAATATATTAAAGATTAATAAGAAGTTGTAGATGATGGACCATTGCCTAAACTTGGGAGATTGTATAGAATTAAAAAAAAGAAAAGTATTTTTGAATCATTTCTGATGTTTTTCTTAGGAGCAGCCTAATTAGTTATTGGTTGTGCTATGTGTGTATTTACTTGTGGAGCAGCCTTACCTCTAGCTCGGACTCTGATTGCAGAAGGAATTTCAGATATGGTTTATGCAATTAAATCAGCATGGTAAGGAATTGATATTGATTGGGGAGCTTGGGGATAAAATAAAGTTATTAAAATTGCAACAACTTTAGGTTTGGCAGGACCAGATTGTATCAGGGAAGCTTTGAGATTTGGAGGTTCTATGATGAAATCAATTAAGAAAGTTGAAATGTCTGAGTTTATAAAAAAAATCCCACCTGTTACAGTTGAAGGATTGGAAAAGTCGTGTTTTTGGTTGACTCAACATGAAAAAGTGAATATATCAAACTAATATGAAACATTGAGACAAATCTCTGATGTTACTTAGAATGCTTACTCTTAAACTTAGATACTTAAATTGGCAAACGAAGTTCTTTGTAATTAAGTAAATTTAAAAAACATCAGTTAAGAAACATCCTCTCAAATTCTTGATTTGGTTAAATTATGCTTCTAATAATCTAACTCTAGTGTTGTTGGTTTTAAAAATACTTTTTGTTAAATGGCATAAAATTACATATAATTATAAATAGCCAAAAGCAAATAGGGTAATGATATCACGAAAATTAAAGGTGATTTAATTGAAATTTGTCAGAGAGAGAGTGATAAAAAGTATAATAATCATGTTAAAAATGAAATTTAGTCATATAACCAATATAAACAAGCTCTTAATAATGAGTTAATATATTTCTCTGATATAATTATTGAATGCTATAAAAAAGATGAAGAAATTCAAAAGTAAATATTAGTTCTTGACCTTTTTTATGAGAAATTATGTGATCAATAAAAAGTAAAACAAATTTTTACAAATAAAACTATATAGGCTAAAATTAGGTAGAACTTTAATATTCACAATAAGCAGGTTCAAAATGCATGCAAGAAACTATAGATGTCGAATTCTCATTCGACTAGATAGTTTTATTAATTAGCTATAAGACCAAGCATTTAATAATTATGCAGTGAACTAAATATAAAAGAATACACCGAACCACTAGAAATAATACTTTAAGTAGAATTTATTAATCAATTAAAACAAAAAGGTGAATATTTTAAAATTATGACTGAAAACTTAACAAATTAAAAATAGAGTATTGAGACTTAAGTTAACTAAATTAAGGGCAATAGGTTTGCATAATTGTACGATGTAGAAAGAGTTCAACAGGTATCCATATAATTATATCATTAGTTGATTCACAATCATTAAACATAAATAGATTCATTGAAGCAACAAGCCTAATTTATTAAGGAATTAGGAGGTTTTGATTATTAATATTATTTGAAAGAAATGGTTAACCATTTCAAAAATAAAGGAATGCTCAACAATAAGGAAAGTATATTTATTCAAGAGTTGAATAGATACATGATGACCAAGAGAAATTTTAGCACTCTCTTGAAAGATTTTGTCATCTAAGTTTTTAGATGCAGTCTTAGTTAAATATCCACTATACAATTAAGAAATAAGAAAATACTAACAAATAAATTACTATTGGCGATAGAAGTTGAAATTATTGATGAGGTCAAAAAGTACCTATTTGATTCGAGGCTATAGACATTAGAGAATAAGATTGCAAATTTAATAAATTGAGTAATAACATATAAAATAAAGTAAATTTACATATAGATTCCATTTATATATTAAAATTAACAATTCGTATTTAAATTTAATTCATGAATATCATATTATTTTAAAAAGAAGTCAAAAATTAATCAATATTTAATTAAATTCAGGAGTTTTGTTTGATCAATAGAACAGGATAGAAAAATAATTATCATATACTTCAGATAAATCTTATTCTATTATTAGAAGATTAATATTTTATTATCCCAGTGGTTAGCAACAATTATTTTGATTCTTAGTACTCAATTTATATCATCAAAACAAGAACTCCAGATTATTTAAAAAAAATATGGAAATTAATTATTGAAATCATAGATGGTTGTTTATATATAACTTTCTAAATTCCTTTTATATTTTTAATTCTTTTATCCTTTATATATTTTTATTTTAATCAAAATTTTAGATTAGATTCCACACATAAATAGATTTCAAAATATTTGCAAGAATAATCAAAATTTTAAGATAAATGAAAATAATTATACAAATTAACACTATTTTTATATATTTCAAATTGCTATTCCAAAAATAATAAATATCTTGTTAGACAAAAGAATTAGATCAATAATTTCATCATTCAAATATATAATTTTAAACAACCTGAAACATATATAAATCTAGAAACATGTTTGAATCAAATTATTATTAAAATAATTTCACTAATATTAGTATTCCAGATGGGATGCCTATATGGTTATTTTATGAAACAAAAATAGCCTGAAAGCTCTAATTAATTGGAGTCTTAATAAAAAGAATCTAAAGAAATTGATCAAAATGAGTAAGCCGAAATTTCTAATAATTCAAGTCAAGAGACATATAAGCGTTGGTAAATGGATTGTAATAAATTTAAATATGATTTAATAAAACTAAATAAAGATAGCTACTTCTATGTTCTCCTATTCGTAAATATTTAATTTTATCATTACCAAAGAGATATTATAACAAAAGAGGTAAATTAGTATGAAGTAGATGGATTTCTCTATAAAACTGAGTATGATGAAGATTTCAATCCAAAATATATACTTTAAGAGGGGAGGTTCTTGATAAATTTGTAGAGAGGAACTTTTGAACTAAATGGTGAAGGTGTTGAATTTTTAGGAAAGTCGAAATTTAGAAAACATGAAGGTAAATTTTAAAATGGAAGATTTATCTCTAAACAACAAAATATAATAATTAGTCAGAATGAAAATCAACCTCGAAAAATAAATAATTAAAAAAAAATTATTATCAAGGACGCAGCAACAGGATTATAGATTAATAAGTAGTAGTAATAAAATAGATACTAAAGGAATCATAACTAAGATGTATGGTGCAAGTATAATTAGACATTTTCAAATAATGATCTTAATATATTAAAGAATAAAGGATGGATGACAAGCAGTATTATTGATGGTTATGTTCTTTACCTTAATTTTGAAAGTGAAAAGTAATATTTCTAGCTTTAAGAAACAGAGAGAAAGAATGTTTAACGTGTCTTATTTTTACCAAGTAGCTTAACTACAAACTTTGGAAAAAACTTTACTTATGATAAAGTAAGAAAGTTATTAGAATAAGAATTACTTTAATATTCATAAATGAATCTCTCAATCTAATTGATTTATAAAAAAGTGGGGATTCCAATCAATTAAAATAATTTTCATTGGTACTTTCTTTTGATTGAATTTGATACTAAAGTTGAGATCTTTGATTCTACACAAAATTCTATTACTATATCAGGCCATGCTGATAAGTTAATAAAAACTTTGCAAGAAGTTCTACAGATAAAATGTAAGACAATAGTAAATAGCAAAGAATCAGGGAAACAAAGAAATGACTATTCATGTGGATATCATGTTTGCAATTATATGAAATTTGTATAATAAGCATAATTTAATAATAATAATAGAAGGTACGATTATCAAGAAAATAAAATTATCCAAATATTACAGGAACTAATAGACAAATAAACTAAATGATTTACCTTATATACAATGATATTATATTGCTAAATTAATTTATCTTGAATAAATGAGATTATATACCTCGCCATAATCAATACCTTTTAATATTTAAACCCTTTTCTTCAAATCTTATATTAGGAGAACTTTTATTTTGTACTTTTTTTTTGTGGTTTTAAAAGAATTCTTAGAATTAATCAAAAAATTTTAATATTTTTGTTATTATATTTCATTATAGAAGTTAAAAAAGTCTTAAATATAGAAAGCAATTTCTTAATTCACCTCTCAAATCAATATTATCTAAAGGAGGAAATTTTATGACTTAAGCGGATCTGAATTTGACAATGTCATAGTTAGTTGAATGAATTTAAAAAAAAGCTCAATAGATGAATTGATGGAGTTAAATGGTCATTGCGATATAGTAAAAATAAATTTGCATATATTCTCTGAAATCCTAGAAGCTTGCTGACAATCAAAATTTTGATAAATTTTTGTTATTCTATTACCAATTACTTTTTATCATTAATAGATATTTTTGATATACAAGATTAGGATGCGATGCATTATGCAACAGCAAACTCGAAAAGGAAATATATAGTGATATAGATTATTTACATTAGCTAATTTTCTTTAATTATTATAGTACAATTAATGATTTAAGAGTAAATAAAATGATCTCAGATATCTCCTGAAATAAAGTCGATGAAAAAGTAATTTCTTAAATAAATCTTGAAATGTGGTTAATTTCTTTTCATGATTGCGTTTTAAATATATATTTGTTATATATTACATTAAATAAAACATTATGGAATAAAACACAATGATTACGAATGCCATAAATTTATGGACATATGAGGTTAATAATGAAGAGAAGTTAGATTTGAATACAGAATTTAAATATCTATCGGATGAGTAACAATAAAATATATTTGATGAATGTTTCCATATATTTGATTTTGGATTATCTTACGATCTCTAATATATGGTCATTTTCGAAGATAAAGTCAAAAAATTGATTAATTAATCAAGGAGAACGAAAGGGCGATTAAGAAGTGATCTAAGATTAAAATTATTCGACATTAAATCTAATAGTGTAGTATTTGAAAGTAGCATACTATGCAGAGGGTTTCTTCTTGTAAACTTTCATTTTTCACAAGATTCACATTATCTACTTTGTCAAGGTTACTGGGATGGGTATTTATTAATAGATATTCATTAAAAGAAAGAATTTATCTTTAAAAATTTAGAAGATACCCATGATATTTTGTAGATGGATACAATCAATAGTTATTATTTATATAGAAATAATAAATTATTACATATTAATGCAGAGTAGTTCAATTTACAGAAGGAAATTAACCTTAAATTGAATTTTAAATATATCCTTTATTTTAAATCATTTTTATCAAAGTTTGCGTTGTTAAGTACGGATCTATTCCAATATGTGATTTATCTTGAAAATTGTAAAGTAATTAAATAAAACAAAAAATAAGAAGCTGTTAAAACAGAATAAATCATTTTTCAAAATTACTTAATAATAGAATAAGAAAATATCAATCAAACAGAATATACAGTTCGGCTATTACATAGTGGAAGATTAGTAAGAAGAGTAAAAGATCTCTTTTAAAGTTCTGGTAATGTATGTTAAGATGAATTTGGCATTTATAAATATTCATTTTTCGAATTCGAAAGGTTAAATAATCTTTATAAAATCTAAATATTCGACTTCTTAAGAGGCATTTCAAAATTAATACATTACCGAATTGATTCTTAACAACATGAGCACACCTAAATCTCGAAATTTTACAGTTAATTTATCTACACCATGACAATGAATGGATTGCGAACTACAATTGCGTGTTATCGTTTAGGATGAAAATCAATATAAGAATAGTTAGAAATTTGAGTAATTCTTATTATTTTGTAAATTACTTACAATTTTTGAATTCTTCACACATTTTTCATTTATCTCAAAAAATTCCTTTTTATCCTTCTAAAAATTTATGAACTAAAGAGATATTTTTGTTAAATTATAATTGTTTAATTTTCTAATGGTATTATTATAAAAAGACTTGGCGAATAATATTGAGTACATTACTGAATTTTATTTTTCTTATTCTTATAAATTTCATTTTTTTTTTTTTATATTTGGGTCTAAACTTTTGCTTTAGTAAAGCATTTTGGAGATTAGCAGAATCCTAAGAGAAGAAGATTTTAGAATTCATTAAAAAATACCTTATGTTCTTTGGGATAAATGTATTTTAGTCTTTTATATTGTGGCATGATTTGAGGTTATAATTTTAATATCGTATATTAATTAAGAATTAAATTTTAGTTAAAATTAGGATTCTTTTAAGATGAAAATTATTGATTTAAATTACTATTATATGACAATGATGAAAGTGTTGCTTATATCATTGAATTATTTTAAAAATACAAAAACAATATATACTGTTATAAATATAGATATTCCTGACTTTTAGTCTATAGGATTTATTTGAGTAAATTATAAATTGTAATCAGAAATTACAGTTAAAAAATCGTCCAGCAATCAATTAGATAGTTAAGACAATTACAGTTCTTTTTAATATTTTGAATGCTTTTTCTAAAATAATTTTAAGGTAGGCAAATCTTTAATTCAAAGTAATTGGTGATTTCTCAGATTTTATTAATCAATTTAGATTGAGAATATGTGGAAATGTTAATTCAATTATAAATCAAAAAGTTTTAATTAGAAACTTTAGGTCAAAAGACAGCAATTAGTCTTAGAGAAGTAATCTCTTCTCTTTAAGTAAGTATGAAATGTCTGACCTTATATTATGCAATATTAATTGTTTTTATGATTTTCTATTTCAAGACATTTCCAAAAAGTTACTAAATAAATACTAACATAATCAAATTTTACAAATACAATTGAGATTTTAATAATATATCATATTAATGGATCCATAAACCCAAAAACCTAAGATAACAGTTGTAGATTTACCATCCTTCACATTGGTTGGATTGACAAGGGATATTATCTAAAAAGAAGAAATAGATCCCTAAACTGGATAGATTGGGAAGGCATACGAAGAATATTTTGGTAAGTAAATAAATGAGTAAATTCCACATCGATTATACCCAAAAAGAACTTATTGTATGTATTATGAATACTAAAACCCTCATGACCATGATGAAATCAAATACAAAATGGTATTAGGAGAAATGGTAAGTGAGGTGACCAATTTACCAGAAGGATTAATAGCCGTAAAAGTACCTGCACATCGTTTCAGTCGTTTTGATTGTGGACCAGGTCCTATTCCAAAAGTTATTATTGATGCTTGGTAATCATTGCCAAATTTATCTCCTGAGGAATTAGGCGGAATAAGATCGTATGATTATGACATAGAGGTCTACCCAGAGGATATTAATGTAAATGAGAACATAAAATTAGAATTATTTATCGGTTTATAGAATTGATAATAATATTCAAAACAATTAAATAAATTATGATTATCTAAAATGATGATTGCATTCATGCTTCTTATATAAACTAACTTATAAAATATGCTAAAATTTGTCTCATAATTTGTAAAAGGTTTCATAGTATTTTCTGAATAATTTTTTATGATAAATTCATTAATTTTGATTTCATTAAATTTCTATTATCTTTATAAGTAATGAAATTTCAAGGGTGTTAGATGATTGAAAACGTTTAAGAGATCACATGCAGAGAATAACATAGTGATAAACATAGTCTATTCGTAATGCTTGATAGTCAGCTAAAGAATGAATAGAGGCTTTAATGTGATAAATGTTTACTAACAAAGAGAGGAGAACTTAATGCAATAACTGTTGAAGATGCTAAATTAAGAATTGAAAAATTGTTAAATAGTCATTTGTCTAAATTGGAAAGGTTAATATTGAATAAATATACACATCTGAATGAAATTTCTAATACTTTAAAAGGTATATAAGGAGAATTAGAAATATAAATTTAAGATTTTCAAGATCGAATAAATAAATGGAAAATGCACCTTCAACAATTTCTTGATGAGAATTGTAAATTTAGCCTAATCAAAGAACTTGAAAATTTAGATAAGGAAGAAAATGAATGGGTGCTGGAGAAACTATCTCATTCTCAAAATTTAATAAATGTTATTGATCATTAATATAGCATAAATCTCAAACTCATTGTTCATGAAATGCAACGCTAAGTTTAGAAAATTGTATTTGCAGAAGAACAACTCTATCGACTTATCTAAAACGAAAATAAGAATTAAATTATTTAAAAACCAAATGAATAAAAGATACATCAATAACATCTTCCATAATCAAACTAAAAATAATTATAAGTGCTTAATTTTTCAGTAAAAGAGATTAAATAAATTGAACAATGTTACGCCATAGGATTCAATAACAATGATTCTATAATGGCGGCTGGATTTAATCATTGTATAAAGATATGGAAGATAATAAATGGATAATTTTTTGATTAACAGATTATTTTAAAAGGGAAATCAGAAGTGGATGTTGCAGTTTGCATTCTCTTTAGTAGAAGAGTCAATTTATTTGTATATGGAAGCTATGATCATAGAATTGGGATATGGAATGAAATTTCAGATTCAGTATGGAATTCGTACAATTCTGCAAAGAATATGTCTCATTCAGGATTAATTACTTGTGTATGTTTGAATTAAAATGAGGATTGTTTAATATCAGGCAGTCAGGATAAATCGATAATAATTTGGAAAATAAATGGTACCTCTATTGAATTTGATTAGTAGCTCAATAAACACACAAATACTGTTGTCGGTATCAATATTAACTCAACAGGAAATGAATTTGTTTCTATGAGTAAAAACTAGTCTATAATCATATGGGGAAAACTAAAAACAATGTGGGTTTCAACGTAAGTAATTGACTAATAAGATGTGGATTTTGGACAAATAATTACCTATCTATCTGATGATAAACTAATATTATATTAACATTTCTAGAGAATTATCTATACTCGCGACAGATTTGGTCATCCATTCTCCTATTAACAAAAATAAACCCTTGATTTATACAAAAATGTAGAACAAAATCGTTAATTCTTATTCCCAACAATTTATGATATTAAAAATAATTTAATAGTTTAGAAATATAATGGAAATGTGTATTTCCTAGTTGTTGATTAGGATTTCAAACTTATTAATGTATCAATGCAAAAAATAAATAAAAATAATACATTCTATGGCAAATTGACAAATAATGGCAGATGTCTAGTTATTTGGAACTAAGGAGCGTTTAAAATTTATTCGTTAACCAATAATTGATTATTAAAAAATTTATTTATATGAATTTCAAAAGATATTTTTTCATCTTAAAACTTTAATAGAATTCTTGTTTATCAGAAAAAGAGTTTAAATGATAAATATGATATAGAATCAAATATTAAACCAACAGGATTCAAATGCATTTTACTCTATTTTAAATTATAGATAGACTTAAATAATATAATGAAATACTTTAAATTTGAAATCAAAATTCATATTTATTTCAATTAATTCTATTTAACCACCAATTTGAGTAAATTACTTACAAAAATTCTTATGAATTTTTAATAAACTCTTTTTTTTTACTCTTAAAGAATCAAGAGATATAATTGGAAAATAATTTTTGTTTTTGTTAATCATCCTAAAGTCAAAGGTATATATCATAACTATAAATAAAGATATGATAACTTAATTTATGGCATTAATTAATTTATAGCAGTTTAATAAAGAAAGGAATTTAGAAAGTGTAGTTCTTCTGTCTAAATTAATGACCATTTGATATTCAAAAATAAGAATTTGGAATCATCTTTATCATAGCAAAGATAAAGAGAGTTAAAACCCTTAAACTTAATATTTTGATTTTTAATTTTAAACATTATTGAAGATTTAGAAGTTCTTCAATCATAGTATTTTTATTTATTTTTTGAATTGTTTAACTTCAAAAGAAAATAATGTATTCTGGTAAAATTTATTAAAATATATTAAAGACACATTTTAAAAAATTTTATGATCTTTTTAATAATTTCATCTTTCATTTTCCAAATTAAATGGAATCGTATTTTGTTAAAGGAATGTTCTCACCAACTCAATAATAATAAATATTTTTTGATTTATTGCTATTCGGAGTTTGAAGTCTCCGCATATTATTAATTTCTATTTACATTTAAAATTAATATTTTAAAATATCTTACTTTATATTATGAGACTACCCATCGTTAGAATAAATTGAATTATAAAAACCACTAGCACACAAGGATGTAAATTATTTAATTATCAGTTTACTCTTTTATAATAGAGATTTCGCTTCCGAAATTATACTTGATTCAACTAATGGCCTTCAAATAAACTCCTCAATCTTATTAAATTTTATATTTGAATTAAAGGAAGATTTCTTTTCTTTCAAATAATTTTTATAAAGAAAATCAAAAAAATAGTATATCAGCTATGTAATTCCTTTCAAAATTCTAATTGTCTTTTAAAAATTATTTAGAGGAACCTTTATCTGGCGAATTGATTGATAAAATTTAAAAACCATGGGAAGATCAAAACGGTTAAAATAGGGAAAAGGCCCAAGTATGTCTAAATCTTGTAAATAATTTATGGGTTTTCTATTTAACAATTAAGATTCGCCTATGATATTGTTATTGATAATTTGTTAATTTGAAATTGATCTTAAGAAGCTATACCTCAACTATCTAGAAAAAGCTTTCAGATGTCTAAAAAGAGCGACTAGTATATAACATGATATTTTAATAATAATCTATTTTGTTTATTAATCAATATCAAAGAAATATAAGTAATTGAATCAATATATATTTACAGTTCATTGTATTAACATTCTAATTGATACAATTTTAATCAATCTTGGTAGAACCAACACAGGATTATGAAAAAAATATTTTGAGCTATAAATTTATTTTAATTTTTAGAATAATGAATCATTAATTCAGCGAATATTATTAGAATTTTTTAATTAATAAATTTGTTTCAAATGTAGTTTTTTTGTTTAATCATCTGAGTAATCAAACCAGATGTAGTTCCATAAAATTAATCAAACAGGAATGTGTTTAGTTTGATCAATATTTAGTAATCAAACACAAAATTTGAAAACAAAATCGTTTTTCATGCGTTTCTGCTTCTACGCAAAGGTTTATTTGATATTTAACTCTAAACCTTTAAAAATGAAATTTATCTTAGTGAGAAGGTAAGTATTCGCTATTAATTTTGTGTTACAACTATTTTATGTGATAATTTGGGTAAATTAATTTAAGTTTTATTTATATTATTATAAAAATGCTAAACTATGATAAAAATGATGAAGAACATTAGCAGAGTTCTGTTAAAGAAAAACTTGAGAAATTAAAATTTTAATCTTTATAGCCAAAAGCTTCAACTATATCTCTTAAAAATAATGTTAGGGAAAATAGAAAATAATCACATGCAAATATTTAAGCGAAAAAAGATGCATCAGAATCAGTTTCGGAGTCTTCTTACGATGATTAATCAGAATTATATTTTTCAGAATTCAATATTATAAATGATAATAAAAAGGCAAAGATTCTATGTGAATATAAGAATAGCTATTTTAATGAGAAAATAAAAGTGTTCAACGAGATAAAATAAAAGTAGATTTGGCCAAAGTAATAAGCATAACAAAATTAAGATGATGCATCAGTTCAACTGATAAAGTAATCATCTATTATGAGATAATAATCATCAGTTTCTGAGAGCAATCATAATACAATAAGTTTAGTGAGAAGAATCAAGGAATTTAATGATTACTCTGTAGAATAATCTTTAAAATAAATTAACTCTCCTCTTAAATTTTATATACCAAACAATCATTAATTCAATATTAACAGCATTTAATATAATAACAATTTTACTAGTTCTCACGCTATTAACAATAGATCTTTATTATAAATAAAAGAAAGCAGCCAATACACTATAGATATTCCTTGCGATTCTTTGGGACAATAGTCTGCTAAATATACGGATAAAGATTTACTCCTATAGATCATAGAAGCTATATTTGCTAAAAATGTTTTTGTTTTAATTCAAATGATAAAATTTCTGCAAAAAGAGTACAGAACTGAGGTTCTAAATTAAAAAGATGTAAATGGCAATACACCACTTTTATTAGCAATCAAATTATCTCATTAATAAAATTAGGTTGAAATTATTAAACTACTGCTATCAAGTGGTTGTGATCCTTCTATAAAAGATTTAAATGGTTGGAGTCCAATAGAAGAAACAGTTGCCTAAATGGATGTATCTACAACTTCATTGCTATTTGATTATTTGGTATAAAAAAGAATGTTTGATATTTAATAAGAAAGGAATCAAATTGATTAGGAGTTATTAAGAATTAATGATTTTTATCTTGAAATGAAATGGGAGTTTAAATCAAATTTGATACCATTTATCTCGAAAATAACGCCTAATGATACTTTCAAAATATACAAAAGAGGTATTTCCAGCATTTGATTTAAGGTTCATCACTAAGACTTGATACTACTTTCGCAGGAACTAAGAATTATAAGACCAAAAGGAGAGATATCAGTGTATTGTATAATCCAATGATTGGTACTTCTTAGAGGAAGGAAAACTGTTCGAATTGCAGATTTGTAACTATATTAAATAGAACAAAAAAAATTTATTATTATCCTATTGTAATTTATCAAATTATATTAGTAAGAGATAGATATTGAAGAGAAAGAGTAAATTATTTTAGATCTACTTCACTGTGATAGTGTAAGTGGTGAAATGAAAGTAACATAATGTGACTTGATAAAAAGGAAAAATATTTTTGGGAATTATGTTAACTAAAAAATAAATAATCTTGTTTGTTAAAAATATGAGTTTCGAATTCAAGCAAATAAACAATTTCGTAAAAAATAAAAATCTCATTATTCTATGAGTTTCGAATAATATATAAAATAAAATTATGAAACAGATTCAAAATAAGATAAAGTAAATTTTGAACCATGGGCACAAGAAATTATTTAGAATGATGGAACTTCTAAAAGTATTTTAATTACAATATGAATAGAATAATAAAAGCTATGTTAATTATATATAAGTTAAGAATTCCCTATAGACTTTCGATAATTTTTGCCAATAATAAAAATGTTAGCAAGAGGAAATGAAATGCTATAATCTTTAGAAGAAATATTATCAAGCGAAACAGTAAAATAGGTCTTAAATGATAATGGATTTCCTGTGAGAATCGAAATTCCAATAAATTTTACAATTGATGCAGTTGTCACTTTTTAAAATTATAAATAAATTGAACTTGACAATTTAGAAATAATTTAATTATTCTAGATACCTAGTAATTTTATTTAAATGCAAAGAAGAGATGCTACAAAAGTAATGAAAAGATAGAAGAAAAGATTGATTTTAGCAAATTTATTTTTATGATTAAAACTCTTGTTATTTAAAATTCTATTAAATATTATGGATGATGTAATTTTTCAAGAATCCTGAACGTAATTCTTCTTAAGTATGTCTTTGAAATACTATTGTAAAATTAAATTAGTTGAAATTTTCTATTTGATTAAAAATGATGAATTTAGAAATGCTAAACTCGATATGTATTATTATTCAGAGAATTTTAGAAGAATTTGGCAAGTTATAAGGAAATTCCACAAAACACATCTAAATTAAGTAAAATTTTTTAAGTGGTTGATATTAAATTTAAAATTAAACAAAAATGGTTAATATTTGTCTGATATGCGATTTCTTCTATCCAAGATTGGGAGGAGTTGAAATGCACATATTCTAATTGGGATTGTGTTTAATGGAGAGAGGTCACAAGGTCATAATCATTACTCATAAATATGACAATAGGGCTGGAGTTAGATATATGACAAATGGATTAAAAGTATATTATTGTCCTTTTGTCCCCGCACATGAATAAGTTGTGCTATTCACATATATGGGAAGTTTGGCATTATTAAGACAAATTTTACTAAGAGAAGAAATCCATGTTGTGCATTCACATGCAGCCACTTCATTCTTTGGAGGAGAATTATTATTGCATGCGAAATCATTAGGATACAAAACTGTCTTTACGGATCATTCATTATTTGCGTTTAACGATGCTGCTTCATTTCATGTTAACAAAATATTGAAATTCATTTTGAGCGAGGTGGATCATGCGGTTTCTGTATCTCATATAAGCAAAGAAAATCTAAGTATGAGAGCATCCTTAGATCCTAGAAACATAAGTGTAATTCCCAATGCAGTAGATTGCAGCAGATTCAAACCTGATCCATCTAAAAGATATCCACTCAATACTGTTAATATTGTTGTTATAAGCAGGTTGACTTTTCGAAAAGGAGTCGATCTGTTAGTAGATGTTGTACCAACAATCTGCAAGAGGTTCCCTTAAGTCTATTTTATAATTGGTGGAGATGGACCTAAGAAAAAAATTATTGAAGAAAGCATAAGAAAACATGGATTGACAGATAGAGTGGAAATGGTATAAATACAAATATCAATATAGTTAGGATCGGTACCAGGACATAAAGTAAGAGAGGTACTTGTAAGGGGTCACATATTTTTGAATACTTCATTAACTGAAGCATTTTGTATTGCCATTGTTGAAGCTGCCTCTTGTGGTTTGTTTGTTGTTTCAACTAATGTTGGCGGAGTAGTTGAAGTTTTACCTAAGAATATGGTCAATTTCGCAAAGCCTGATCCAGATGACATTTGTGAGAAGTTGGCAGTAGCAATTCCTATTGCTAAGAATGTACCATCTCATTAATATCACGAACAAGTTGCCAAGATGTACAGTTGGCATATGGTGGCTGAAAGGACTGAGACTGTTTACAATAAAATTTTATCATCACCTTATCCATCTATATTGGGTAGAATAAAAGCTTGCTAAAGTAATGGCCCCATCTTTGGACTATATTTATTGATATTACTCATCATTGACTATATTGCCATTTTTATTTTGGATTTGATATTTCCATTTAGGAACTTATCTAAGCCTCTCAAATTCAATCCAGAATATAGAGTGAACAAAGAGAAATTTGGTGATCATTAATTTAAAGTAAATTGATTATTTATATTATGCTTTATATATTTACATTTATTGCCTACGCCTATTCCTACATCATCTACGTGAATGAGACTTATTAATAAAAATTAACCAAAATATTTGGATACCTAGAAAATCCTACGTATTCAATTTTAGATGCTAATCCATATGCTACCATAATTCCTTAATATCATCTATATACGGATTCCCAAAAACATAATCAAAGTAAACTCGATAATTGATAATTATTAGATGCGGATGTCATCATTAGTGTTAAAGCATAGCATTTGTTTGGTCATTGGACTAATCACTTCCTTTTCTTAGAAAATAACAAAGGAACATTCAATGTACATTACTCCGAAAAGTATTTATTTCTCAAAAATTCTTTAGTCCTCAGGAGGAAAATGTTGCTACACCTAAATTTAATGAACATTTGTAAGTGACTAATTTAAACAATATGATATGTTTCGATGCAGAATAATTTGATTCTTCTCATTATATTGTGGATTGTGCTCTCGAGGTTACAGATTAACCCTTGGAAAATAAACTCTTTGTCATTGCCAAAGATCAAAGTCTCCAATAACATTAAGTAGCTAATCCCCTTGCATATAAAACTATGAGGAAAAGAAAGATTGCTCATTTATATCAAGATGAATAGGACTACCTATTATAAGGATCATTGTTTTAATCTGATTCCATCATTTAAATATATAAAATCAAAACTCCAGCCATCACTTTTGAAGAATAATCAGTTGAAATCAGCACTAATATTTTGAAAATTCTTTATAAAGATCAATTAGATGATACGTTTAAATTTTACCTAATTGATTATAAATTGGTATATAATCAGATTTTTATTTTGGATAATCTATTTGTGGCAGCTATGAGTTTTGATAAATATGGAGATTGGTCTTCCACCTTCTTTATTAAATTATATGGAAATATAATAGCCTTTGATTATGTTTACTTTTTGGATGACAACGGTATAAAGCTAAGCATACTTGTTATTCTAAAAGATACCACATTTGATTTATATCTAAATTCTTAAGGTGTAACTACCTATTCGTTGCCAAAGAAAATATCCTAAAACTCTTAAATTAAAATATCTGATAATTTTATTATAATTGAAGATGAAAATACTATATATTAGTATTCGATATATAATAAGATATTACTTAATCAGAAGACCTTATAATAAGTGAATTTTTATTTGATTAATCCGGTCTATCCAGATTTGATATCTATTAGTTATAATTTAACTAGAAGATATTACATAAGTGAAGGATATGTATTAATTAAATCTGGAAATGTAGCAGTTGATAAAGCATCCTTTAATATTCAAGCTGTCTCAAAAGGCGAAACTTATACTAAAGAGATTTCACTATAAATTTTAAACTAAAATGATTTTAATTTGTATTTTAATGATAAACCACAATAAGTGATCACGGATGTATTAGCATCAGTAAATTATACTTAAGATGTAATTTAATTTATGAGTGGTCCAAATGTTTAATTTAAATTTGAAAACTAAGGGGATGATTTAGATATGGAATTTGAAACTTTAGAAGAGATGGTCATTTCAAATTGGCCTCAAGCTACAGATATACACTTTTAAGATATGTTATAATTTAATGATACCCAAGTCTATGTTCTCTTTTAATTAAAGAATAAGGAAGTTTAAATTTATAATTGTAGATAAAACTCATTCTCATTGATTGAGTAATGTACTTAATTTGTGAACTCAAGCAATTTCAGCAAGAGTTTTAGCGTATTAGTTGATGAATTACATTTTTAATGGTGGATTGATAATGAATAAGCTTATGTTGTATTTTGCGATTAGGAATCAACTGCTGAATTATGGAAAATAAATGAAATAGAATTAGTGAAGATCAATAAACTATTTAGTGTTGGAGAAGCAATTACACAACTTTTAGAATTGGATAGAAGAATATACCTTTTAAGAGAAAAAAGTAAAAGGATTGGAATATACAATTCACTTGATGGCACTCTTTTAGACTAGATTGATGAACCAACGGTGAAATCTCTTGGAATGATAAAGAGTTGGAGTCCTAAAAAGTTATTTGGAAATTAAAAATATAATGGTCATTTGCTATTCATTCATAATTCAGACAATATATTGATTACTATTTATAATAATCAACTAAATATGGTAGAATGCATATTAAATACTGATGAGGTATTGATTACAATGTTTAAATAATCGTTTTTTATGATAAAGTAAACTTCGATTTTAGAATACTCTTTAGAAGATTTAAATAATGTTTATTTAATTAGATAATTATAAATTTATAATCATGAATTCAAGAATCCAATGTTGATCACTCAATCAGAAGATAATGGATTCTTATTCATTCTAACTAAATAATAATAGATTTTAGTTTATCAGCCATATAATGAAAATAGTAATGATTAGTTATTTAGAATAATTGATGTTCACTTGGATGATAAATTTATGATGTCTGCCTGTGGATATCAAAAAACTCATTTATATTTTAATAATGGAACTCATTAATCGTATTTTGCAATCCTAAAGCAATCTAAATTATACATAAAATCTATCAATTTAAACAACCTTGATTATTTTATTAATGTAACCAAAACTTTGACTATTTTCAATACTGAACATACTTAAAAGATTCTAGAAACAATCTTTATTTTAAATATAAAATATCCTATATCATTAACTTAATAAAAAGATATTTTGATTAATTCATCTTTATAAAATTCAACGGTTGAATTGAATTAGTTATATAAAGGATAAGTACAGAACATCAGTGTTGATTGTGATTAATGCAAGGATTTGATTAAATTAAACTTACCAGTTGAGAGAATAAGTGAAAATATGGCTACAAATGTATTGGATATCGAATCATTCAATTCCTTTTATAATGTTGCTCTTATCAAAGATAAATTATTAGCTATCAATCACAAAGATAATGTCACCAGTTTAATTGAATTTTAATCTCCAAATAGCTGTGAAATAATTGCCATGCAAGAAAATGCTAAGTATATTGTAACACTTTGTAAATATAATAATGTATATCACGCATATCTGACTGTATGTGATAAGGACTAAAAATGTAGTAATATTGATACTCCTTAAGACATATTAGATTTAAATGGAGTTCAAAAAATGATAGTAATATCTAGCGATCTATTACTAATGTAAGATTTTGGGAAAATTTATGTTTATTATCTCAATATTAATTCTGAATTTACAAAATGGAGCATTGCATTGACCTAAATCATATACAATGACAAGGGTCTCACAGATTTTGTGATTCAGAAGTATGGTACTCCAAAGGAGGGAGAAAATTAAAATTATGTATTGAGCTTTATTGATTAAGCTGATCATTTAAACGTTTATTACACCGAATTTAAATAAAATAAACTTAACATAATCTAATAGAATAATATTTATTTGTATGATTTAATTAGGAAGAACAATTAGTTTGCATTCAAGACAACAGATTACATATAACTTTTTGCAACTCAAGAAATAAAAAATAACTAATTAAATTATATCATCATTTCAAATGACGTTGCATCCTTTAAATTGTAGATAGAATTGGACAATACTAAGTTAGTTGTAAATAGTAAAATAATTAATGTCATTAACCCATACAAAAATTGGATAGCTTTGAATAAAGGATATTTTATTGAGGATAACTTATTATTAATTCCTTATACTAATAAACAGGATACTGTTTTGGCCATTTATGAATTAAATGATAAAGAGTTTTCAGTTAATATGGTTTATGGATTATAAGATACTGCATTTCAAGTTAAGGATGGTTTATTTATAGTTTATGGTTTTAATGAAGGCCAGAATAAAAGGCTATATACCAATTTAGTAGGAAAGGTGCTGAATGGATATTTAATGAGTTTAGAAACAAGTCTTACAATTTCAAGACCTTCTCAATTAAAGGAGAAATAATAAGTTGTAATAACAGCAAGTAATGCTTACAATAAAGAGGAAGAGAAATTTAATATCATTAGAGTTGATGAACCTGCGCCTCCTCCAACTCCTCCAGATGATGATAAAAGTGGTAGTTCCAAGTATTTAATAATTTTTATATTTTAGTTGGTGGTGGATATTGCTGATTGTGCTTTTCGGGGGAGGATTAATTGTAGGAGGAATATTATTTTACATGAAGAGGAAATAAGTGGGCCTATTTAAAGTCTAAGAGAATCAATATAGTTTGCATAATTATTGATAATTTTATTATTTTATAATGAATCAATCAACCAAAAACATGAAAAAGTCTGTAATTTAGGATCAAAAGGTGGATGACAATCAATAGAGAAAGAAAAATGAAGAGAACTTGAAGATTCCTCTCAATTTGTACCGTTCTTATACAAGAATAACATAGTAATCCCTTTTAGAGGAGATCGCTCCAATGATGTCTCAGATTGAATTTCTAAAAAAAAATTGCCCTGAGGGAACTAAAATAGAAGAATTTACAGCTCAAGCTTGCTCATATTTCAAATACGAATAATTTAGTAGAGGATAAATAGTTTTTAATTATGGAGAATATGGGGACAAAGTTTATTTGATATTATTTGGAGAAGTTGGAGTCTTTGTTTCTAAGTCTTAAGAAGAAATTGCTAATGATAGAGAGGTTATTGAAATGTTTAAAAGTAACTTGAACCCATTTGAGGAAGAAGTGTTAGATTATGAAACTGTATTTAAAAAGAAAAAAAGGGCTTAAGATCTCTAAATGGAATTACTTCTAGCTTCATAAAAGAACCCTTTTGAAATCAATAACATGTATTTCAAAGAGGGAATATGCCTTTATAAAAAAGTCTTTTAATTTTACTCAGGTTAAGCCTTTGGTGATATGGCTTTATCTTCTGACAAACCGCGTACTGCCAGCATTTTGGTTTTATCAGACGAACTTCATGTTTTAACCATGAATAGACAAGATTTTAAAAGCGTTGGAGAAAGATCTATTAAAGAAAAGAATCAAACCTTTGAGTACTTTTTAAGTATTTTTGTGGGTGTCAGTAAATTTATTGTTACCAAGTTTATTTAATATTTTTAAAAAATTGAATTTGCCCCATAAACTATTTTATGGAAAGAAGGAGATGAACCTAAATTCTTTTTACTAATTGTTAGGGGAAGAGTCGAAATTTATAGATCTTATGATGAAGATGCTTTGCATGGCAAGCATAAAGAACCATCTATTTTCTAATCAAAAATAAAACCAAAAAAGAAAGTAACTCTCTCACAGCTTTCCGATAACTCTTTTGTTGGAGAAGCAGAGCTTATAGACAACAATCCAGTCAGACTCTATTCATGTATGACCTCCGATAACACTCTCGCTTATTATATGGAAAGTGAAGCTTTTAATATTGTCAGGAAAAACCATCCTGACTTTCTTAAAATTTTGAAAGAGAAATCCTTTGTTATCAGGTCCTACTTGCAAAGAAGAGAGAAGTATCTATTTGAAAATATTTAAAAACAAGACAAGGCAATGGAAAAATTACAATATCCTGATTCTACCAATACTGAAAGAGTCACAGTTGATGAATTGTATAGAGACACTAGTAAATTAAACTAAAAGATTTTGAGATCTCAATAAAAAAGTATGTTTACTACTACTGATATTGTTAATTCTAATAATTTAATTAGTAAGAAAATTACTCCTTAATCTGAAAATATGTTTATCTTTCATAAAAAATAAATTGAATTATTGAAATAAAAGAAATAGTCCTAAGTTAAAAGTAACAGTGTCATTCCGCCTATAAATTTATAGAAATCCATCTCCCAAAACAATTTTGCACTTGAATGTTAAGTCTTAAAATCTTATAGAAAAATGAGATTTTAGTAGTTTTAAGCCAATAGAGAAGTCTGTCTAAAAATTAAATCTTAAATTGGATCATTAATCACTACTCAATTAAGATCCTCATCGCATGACTCATCTTGTCCTTTGGCAACTAATGAATTTGGAAAAAGAATAAAAACTCTTCAAGAATTTTATTATGCCAAAACCTTTATTACAACAAATAGATGAATATATAAGTTTATAATTATCCATTATTTTTGTATTCTAGTGTTAAAATAAGTAATATTATTAATAATCATCAGTCTTAAGACCTCTACTATCCTGATAATTTGATAGTTAAAGTGAGTTAAATAAATTTACATTAATCAAAATATATTAGTTTTATGTATCATAGTTAAAATTAATCAATAAACAAATTCAATACTATTTCAATCTAAAATTTAAGTTGCTTTTTCTTTATTTTTTCAAAACAGGAGAATTTGACAATGGACTATATTATAATTATACAATTACGGAAGTTTTATAACTTGTGTATTTCTTTTGGCAATTTAGCTAAATTGAATTGATTCTGAATGCAACATAGTTTTATTTGGAGAGATAGAAACTCGTTTATTATTGTGTGTAAATCTAATAGGGGATGGTAGATTATTGCTTTCAAAGAAAATAGTACTTGTGCTACGAACTTGCTTAATGAATGAAGGATTTCGAGAGCTACTTCTAACTAGTTTCAATTTAAAATTAGTATTGGTATCTGCTGTGGAATCATTGAATTCATAATTACTAAATTCGCTAGGTATAATAGTTCCAAACTTTTGGCACAAAAATTTAATCATCATAAGAGCTTTAATTGTTTAAAGTGTTTTCATCTTATTATCAAAAAGTGTTTTCATATCTGCCATTGTAATTGGTTGCCATAATTCTCCTTTTCCTGAAAGCCAAGGATGCTATAAAGCTTGATTCGCGTTCATTCTTGCCTCAGGGGAATAAGCAGCACATTTTAAAAAGAAAGATTTTTGATATTCATTCATTTCTTAAAAATTAGGGTTGAATTATTGAACTCTATGGACAAAAGTTGAAGTAGATTCTGATGGATCCCAAAAGGGATGTTTCTTATTGATTAATTGATATGCAATAATGCCACAACTCCAAATATCAACAGATTTAAGATATGGTTATTTAAAAATCATCTCAGGAGCCATGAATAGGAGGGTTCCGCATTTATCATAAGATAGTTTGGATTCTGAATGGGAACTAAGACCAAAATCAATAAGTTTAAGTTATCCGTCAGTCGTAATAATTATATTGTCTATTATTATAGATACAATACCTGGTTTGATGTCTCGATGGATAATATCTTGAGAATGTAGATAGGATACTGAATTGAGTAATTCAATAATGATTTGTTTGATATGAGTTTCTTCCATCTCAACAGTTTTGATGAATTAAGTCAGTGTTTTGCCCTCCAAATATTCTTAGACGATGTATAATGAATTCTCAGTTTCTTTGCTCTTTGAATAGAAAATATTATAATACATAATAGTATTGTGCAAAACTCTGATGATGAATGGACTCCAAAATTTCTACTTCCTTTTTAAATTATTCAATGTATATAGGATTCATTACCTATTTAAATTCAAAAAGTTAGTACTTTTATTGCTACCTTTTTGGAATCATATTCACCAAGAAATACTTAACTAAACGCACCATGACCTATTTATTGATATACTTTAAGGTCGAAATCTAAGGAGATTTCCATTATATTTAGTTATAAATAAATATTTCAATAATTTTATTAGAATTGCTTCTTCATCTTGCTCACATTTCCTTAAAATATCTCAGTAGGGAATCTCTTGGGTTTGAGGATGATAACTTATTTTCCAAAGGTTTATAACATTGGATCCTAATGATTCATAGCTGGCAAAAAGCTTTGTTTTTTATTAGAATTATCATATGAAATTGAGATACTATTTTAGGAAATGTTTCTTTGTCGATATGGTACGAAAATGGTTTCATTGTCATCAGTCAAATCGGGTTGACTTTTGGAATTAGAAGGAGCTTTTTAATTTAGACTGAAGGCCCTATAATTTGATTGAGTTTTGGTTCTTTCACGCTATTGGCTTGATTACCTTAATTTGTTCTGTTCTTGTTACCATTTTGACAGGTTTTCATGTCTGTTGATAAATGAGAGGATCTACATTCAGCAATTAGATGAATCAAATACCTAACATTAGGTCTGGCTATCAGTTTTGCTTATTTTGTTTCTTATTGTTGATTATTATCAATAGATTGGTATTATTTGTAATAAATATAAGGAGTATTTCTAAGCTTTTTAATATCACTTAATGTTTGACGCTAATCCAACATTTATTATTATTATTTAATAAATGAATGATCTATACTATTAGTTAAAAGAGGTAAGAACTATTATAGACTTCCATAGACAGCTCAATAGAATGGCATAACAATAGAATTGATACTTCCAATAGATAATCAATAGCTGAAATGATGTCTGATTTTTAAAAGAAAAGTTCAATTATTAGGATGAAATTGCAATTAATAAGAAATAACAATGAAGAAATTAGCAGGTTGACTGAAATCATATAGTCAGCAGTATCCACTTAAAAAGAAAAAGGTTTAGTTTATTAAAATCTATTTATATAGAATCAATGAAGAAAGTTGATTAATTACAAGTATAAATTAATAAGAATACGGCCGAAATAAAAAGTTATTTGATGAAATAGATAAATTAGTTAAAGAAAATGATCCTCATTAACCAGAAACAAAAGCGATGATTTATAATTAGAAGGCATAACAATAGGAAGTGGCATCTATATTATAATTTGGTCAAAATACGATCTTTAATTATAACAAGACTATTCAAAAGAAGATGAAAAGATAATTATTGCAATTCATATTCAATAGTTAGAAATACTAGAACCTAATTTGACAGAAAAATAGAAATCAGATATCATTTAAGATCCTTAAGGATTAGAAAAGATGGTGTTGAAGGAGACACTAGGTTAACTATTGTTGTAATTAGTTTACAGAGTTTAAAATATTTAAGATAAATATTAGGATATTCAAAAGTTAGAGAAGGTATTCTACTTAATGTAGTTTTAGAGTACTCAGTATTGTTTTCAAATGTTATCTGAGATAACATTTTTGGTAACATAATAATGAGAATAAATAGAGAGCATAGGTATTGAATTATGATAATGGATAGAATAAAATTTGAATAAAGCCAAGAATTACATTGAAAAAGGAGAGAAAGCATTAGCAAAGGAATAAAGATTCATAAGAAGAGTAGAAAAGTAAGAGATAGATATTATAAACTAGAAAATGTGTTGTATTATTTTAATTGGATTAATTGCAATAGGAGTGATAACTGCTTCAATAGTCTTGAAGTTTGTGAAAAGTAGCGGTTGATTTTGATTGAATTATTATAGAAATGAAAATAAAATCTAAATTAGATTAATATTATATTAAAATGCAAAATAATAATAGGACTTTGTTAGCGATCATGGTACAATTTAGAATGATTGATTATAGACAGTGGAGATCACGCAAGATGAGAGTGATTAGATATACATTTATGAAAGAGATGATCCCAGAGATTTGGGGATAGCATTTGCATCAAAACATGACCTTCCTGGACGTTATCTATTAAAGTTGATTGATAGCATATCGTAACATAAATAATAAGCACAACACACTATAAATAACGAATAAAAATTGATCCATGATCAGAAATCAAATTATTTCAGAAATTCAACAAACTCAACTCCGTATAAATAGAATAGTTAGATTTCAACTCAAAGTTGTTAAAAGAAGAGTCCTTTGGTAAGCAGTAGATCACATTGTAGAGATTTCTCATAAGATAGTAAATTGTGTATTTATTCTTAGTTAGCAAGATGATGAGGGACAAGAGTGCGAGAGAAATCAGATAATAGAAGACTGGAGATGAGAACGAGTTGACATTCACTCCTCAAATCAATAAAAATTCTGAATAGATTGTCGTAAGAGCCATGATACAATATATATAGAAACTAAAACGCTAAGATAATAGTGTAGAACAAAGGTTGCTCAATTATGGCAAAGAGAAGTAAATCAAGCTACAAGAGTTGAGAATGCAGAAATAGCACTCTTAGGATCAACAAAATAAGTCATTCACTTATCATCCAACGACTACTCAGAGATCACATGAGATTTTAAAAGAAAAGTGTGTGAGCAAGACTTATAAGGACATTTATAATAAGACTCCAGAGTATGATAATTAGGATAACAAATCTAGTAATAATAATTCTTATGTATTGAATTTGCCATGTGCTGATCAAAGCGTCGTTTAATAGGTTTGGAGAGCCTCCTTGATGAAGCTATTTAATATGCTTGATAAGGAACAAAAGGGAGAATTGAATACTGAATAAGTTGATTTGTCATAAATGAGTTATGAGATGTTACAAATTGTTGCTCCTGTGTTGATCATCATGGAGGAAAGAGGAGGCACTTTCAGATTTGAAATGTTTGCTAGAGAAGTCACTAATTATTGTGTCAAGCACAATTTTGTTGAAAATTTATTTTCATTACTATTATAATGATGTTGACTGTTATATAAGAATATATTAAAATATAATGGGAAATTGCTGTAATGGAAATTAAATGCTAGATCGACAGAATCCACAAATTAATTTAATTACAGACTAATAAAATAGCTCTCTCCAAGTTGATAGAGCTGCAATTAAAATTCAATCTTATTTCAGAGGAATTAAGGTTAGAAAAGACATGAAATCTATGAAAAATTAATATCATTGTAATAATGAACATGCTCCTCTGACTTTGGTTGCTAAACTATCCAGAATGCCAAATTATCTTACTGAAAAAACAAAAAAAGTACATGATGAATAAGGACCATTTGAAGAAATGTCAGAACCAGATTTGCCAAAATTAGGCCCTTATGAGTATAATGATTAAACAGTCTATTACGGATAATACAAAAATGGATTGAAACATGGTTATGGTACCCAAATATGGATAGATGGATCAATATATGAAGGTTAATGGCAAAAGAACTCCGCTTAAGGTATCGGTAGACTGATTCATTGCGGTGGAGATGTCTATATTGGAGAATGGCAGAATGATAAAGCTAATGGATATGTAATTTATTATGGATAATAGGGGAACCTATATTCATGCAGATGGCGCAAAATATGTAGGTTAATGGGTAGACGACAAATAGCACGGAGAAGGCATTGAAACCTGGCCTGACAACTCTATTTTTAAAGGTCAATACTTAATGGGCAAGAAACATGGCAACGGAGAGTTCCAGTGGAAAGACGGATCTAAATATATTGGAGATTTTGATAATAATCTGATATAGGGTTATGGAGAGTACACTTGGTTCGATGGTAGAAAGTATATAGGAACGTGGAAGAACAACAAAATGGATGGGCAAGGAGTATATCTATAGTTTGAGCAATAGATTTTCACATGGATAGATGGTAGGAGATATAAAGGAGAATATAAAAATGATAAAAAGGATGGATATGGAGAATTCAAATGGCCTGATGGACGAGTATGCTGTTGATATTGATTATTAGATTTATCGAGGATAATGGTAGAATGGAAAATAGCATGGGACAGGAATTTATATAGGGGATTCGAATGTAGAGAAGCCGGGAATTTGGGAATAAGGAAAGAGGGTTAGATGGATTCATAAGGGGGAATCTATTATTACTGATTGAATTTATATATATAATTTCAATATAATATTAATGAATAGCACTGCTTAAGTCTTATTTTTAAAGGTCGAACAAGGGAATGTTAATAAAGTTATTGAAATACTCCAACAATATCCGAATTTGATAGATCTTGAGAATACAAAGTCAGGACAAACTTGTTTGACAATAGCTTGTCGTAAGAATGATGGTCCAATGATCGAGAAATTGATTACACAAGGAGCAGATATAAATAAAACAAATAGAGTAATTTATAAAGGTTGAAATAGTTAAATCAATCTCCATTGTGGATCTGTTCATTTTACAATTATCGCAGAACTGCTGATTTTCTGTTGAACCATGGTGCTGATGTAAATCAGTAGGACAAAGTATTTAATTTTGAATATTCAAGAAAGGATTTTCTCCTTTGATGATTGCAGCTTAGAGAGGAAATTTGGAGACAGTGGCATTATTATTGAATGCGAAAGCTAATATCTAACTGTTAAATAAAGTATAATTGTATTTTATCATATTATTATAGAATCAAGATACAGTATTTGATGTTTGCAAGGACTATGATACTCTATAGTTTATGATACAGACATTGCAAATAGAGGAAGTCAGAGTGAAATAACCAGATAAATTCAAACCAAAGCAATAATCGAATATTAATTCAATGAAGTCAACTCAAACAAAGTTTACAAATAATTCCTATAGAAGAGAGAAGTCCGAATCAATTCCTAACTTAAATGAAGAAGCCTACACTATATAAACTATGATCAATTCTATTTGTGAGGAGATGCAACTTATTTTTAATGAGAGTATTCAAAAGTTTAAGGATTGCATTTTAAATAAAGCAAACCTAACCGAAGCAAAGAAGTCAATTTCAATGGAATATGAAAGGATTCAGTAATCCTAACAAATTGATGATAATATTCAATTCCAATATGACAATTTTCAATACGAGGTTAGTAGATAAATTGGCAGAACACTATATTCTATTATTCATAATTTGGACAAGGCCTAAGTGAAATCCCCTTCTCCTAAGAATAAGAAGTATTTATCGGCAGAACCTTTGATTGAAGCCACTATTGAAGAAGAGTAATCAACTCCATTGAGTTAGTTTCGGAATCAATTAAAGAAGGTAGAAACTCCATCTTAAGTGAAAGAGCCGTTGAGTAGGGGTAGTGTTAAAGGTGAGAATGAGCAATTCAATAAGATGATGACCTAGAAATTGGAGATTTTAAATGAGATGATAAATTCTCGAATTGGAAATAGGAAATAGTGACTTATAATTACTAAAAATATATTTAATTATTAATGTAAATTAAAATAGATAGGTCATTTTTTGACGAACAGACCATTGATTCATCCTTTTGGGAAAAGTCAATATCCTAAATAAATATTGACAAAATTGATTATCAGTTTATCTTCTTTGAGAAAAGTTAAAAAACTGGGATTTGGGTAAGCAGAAACTATGCAATTTATGGTTCTAAATTAATCAAGCTTAGAGTATTAATATAAATTTATATGCTAGCCAAATAAAAAAACATTACATCAAATCAATCTTAATAAGAGTAGAATAGAGTAGATTAAATATAAAAATGATCAAGAGAAGGAGAGCTGTAATAGAGTAAAAATTTGATATCTATGATATTTTAGAAGAAGTATGGGATCAGAATAGTTAGAAATTAGAAATGTAGAGAATTCTATTCAAGATCATAAGAAATAAACCAAAAAATTTGGGAAGAATTAAAAAAATAGTCACTTCAGATAACATTCAAATAAGATTATGATATTTAAAAATTAATTGGGAAAGGAAACTTCGCTAAGGTAATTGAATGTTCTTCGATTTTTTAGGTGTATCTTTGTAACAAAAAATCTAACAAATTGTAATTTGCTGTAAAAGTTTTCGAAAAAAGTAAGATGATAAACACTGAAACGGATAGGTTGGCTTTATTAAAAGAAATATCAATTCTGCGAAAGTTGAATTACAAAGGACTAATCAAATTACATGAAGTCTATGAGGATGAGACACACATTTATTTGGTTCAAGATTATCTATAAGGGGGAGAATTATACTAACATATTAAAAAAAATTAAAAACTGCCAGAAAATATTGTAGCCGGAGTCATAGCCACAATATTAAAATCTCTAGAGTATCTGCATAAGAATAATATACTACACAGAGATCTTAAACCAGAAAATATGATATTAAGGAAAAAAGGTGTTTTGGAAGACATAGTAATTACTGATTTTGGATTGGCTGATTTTTATGATCCCTTTGGAAACTATATGTTTTAAAGGTGTGGCACTCCTGGATTTGTAGCTCCAGAGGTATTGTAGGATAAACTTTATGATTCTAAAGTAGACATTTTTAGTGTTGGATGTCTAATGTATTTATTATTGACTGGTAAGTCACCATTTAAAGGATCGTCGTATGATGAAATTGTAATGAGAAACTTTAATTGCAAGGTAGATTATCAGTCTATCGAATCAATTGTATCTATATAATGTATATTTGTATGGTAATGTAGGTCTGCAATTATTAAAATTATTACTCCATCGTCGACCATCACAAAGACCAACTCCTAATGAAGCTTTGAAATAAGAATGGTTTTAGATTAATTTAGATAAGTAAAGATATCTAGAATTGAATAATAATGCAGAATAAGGGTAATCTACAAAAGAAATCACAAAATCAATTTCAAATGATATTGGAAGTTGTGGATATACCAAGTATTTTAGCTGCATTTAACCTTGTGGAATACCTGAATTCTGTACTGCATAAATATCTATTATAAACAACAAATAAGATGCTTCCATATATACACCATAGTATGCTATGATGCAATCCATATAAGAATAGTTTAAAGATAGTGAAAAATTGATATCAATTCGAAATTTAGAAGATGATTTCGGAGATATGATATTTGAAGACGAACCACCTCAATCCCATAAATTACCACAATATTAATTGATAGGGAAACTAAAGAAAGTTGTGGATTAAAATCATTCAACGAATTAGGCTTCTCAAATATTATTATTAAAGACTTCATAACAAGATCAGACTATTTTCAATCGAAGTTAACCTAAAATTGATAATGAATTACTTAAATAATCTTGAATAGGTTTAATATAACCGATTTTTAATGACTAAAATATTAATTAAAATCAAATCCTTACATTATCTAAGTCAAAATTTAGTCTAAAATTCTTTATGAAATTTGAATGATTTGATTGATTATTAATTAAGTTACTTCTTAATTATATTCTGATTTCTAATCATTATCTTATAATTTGTTATTAATAATATACTCCTATAAAATGATATCCTATTTTTAGGTAATATCTTCTCAGTTATTGCTGACAATTTCATCTATTTTTATAATGAATTATAAGTAAGAATATATTCCAATCAAGTGTAAAATTTAATAAATAAGAATATGCAAAATAATGATAACAATGAATAAAACATTAGCTTATTTAAATAATACCATTATTTTAATTTAAGTCAGTCTGAATCCCCAAATGATTTAGATCAATTTCTTCAGCCTTCAAAAGACATTCTAGTGAAAAAATGTTAGATTTAAAATTAATGAATGATAGAATTAGGAGAAATTAGATCTTAAAAGTTGAAATCATTAGATCGATAATTATACAATTTTTATCGTCTTACTCTACCTTATTTCCACACTCTTTGAACCTAATTAAAATCCGTTCTACACTAAGGACAAGTTTACTTTTGTTTCGCCCATACCTCTAAGCATTTAAAACAAAAGGTATGCTTACATGTCTGAATAATACCCTATCATTTTAAGAAAATCGAGTTACTTTATCAATTATTTCTCCATAGCAGATACTACAAAATTCAGGAGGCTATTCATTTAACACTTTTTTCTTTGCTTAACCTTTCTTTATTCTCTTTTTGACTCTTCCACTACCTTCTTCTTAGTTTTCATTCTCATTTTGTTATTCAAATTACTCCATTTTATTAGAATTATATTATAATTAATATAATAGTAAAACACTTTCCGAAATAAATATTATTAAACCTTCACTAATCCCATAAATTAACAAAGAAGCATAATTCGATTATCTATTTTACATTTCATTATATTTTTTATGAATATTTAATACTATATATTATCTTTAAATCAAAACCTTAATTAAAAGGTGAAATATTTCTCTATTAACTTATACCCATTTTAAATAAATTTCAATTATAAATGAACCTAGCTTTAATGAGTTTTCGAATAGAAAGCATTTTCTATTTTTTTAGCCTAATAAAGTATATATATATCATTTATAATAATATATATCACGACTCATCCTTTTCCTTTGTGATAGGTCGATCAATATATAAAAAAGGATTGTAACCATCCTTCTTTAAGAAGCAAGCCTAATAGATATCTGGTTTCTTTATGACTTATTACAAAGGCTAAACCAAATGAATGGATTAAATCTTTTTTCCCAATAGATACAAATCTGCATCCTAGATTAGGGTTTTTTTTATTGTTTTCGGAGATTCATCATCAACTATCCTTAGACTTTCAAACTTCCTTTTCAAAGAACTGAATTCAGCCATTTTAATAAAATTATTTATTATATAAAATCGAAATGTTAAGACATTCAATTAAATCTCTTTTATTGAGACAATGATCTATCTTGATGCAGAGCTGAATATAATATCCAAGTTCAACTAAAACATTAACTATTAGTGTTCTGCTTGGATAAATAAAAAATTAGATAAATTAGTACTATAATTCATTGAAATGATTATATGTTAATAAAGTTACAATTTTGAATATGTTGCAACGGAATCCTTATTCACTAAATTATTCCATTTACTAACTAATAAAAATTTAACATCCTCTATTACATAATCAATATTATTCCTAGAAGAATAAATTACAGCTGTAGTTTTATTTATGAAAAACTTAGATTGTAATTATCTATGGAAAAAGGAGATCTGTTTTAATATGATGAATAATCAAATGATGCAAAATAATTGAAATTTTTGTTCCGATATTGCTGACTAAACAACAATCTTATGGAATATTAATAAGATACTGAAGTAATAGAGACATAAGAACTATATCTATTGATTTAAAATACTATTATATCAGATTGAGATCGTAATTTACCAAATTTTTTAAACATTTTATTTTATGAAGTTTCATCAATTAGTTATGTTCAGAATGTATAATGATATTAAGTTATTTAGTTCATTAATAAATCTAACGATCATAAGGGTTTGATGCACTAAGAATTAGCATCTCTTATTGTTTTTTAACTGTTATGATTGAGAATTTAAAAGATCTCAAATTCAAATATACATAAACTCTTTTGATATTATGTAATAAGAATAATTGGAGTCTTGGCTTTGAGTATAATTGAATAGAAAATTAGTTTAATTATTTATTCTACTTTATCTGTTATTTCTAATTGACATATTTATATATATATTTATAAAAACGAATATGGAGGAAAATATGTTTTATTTGGATAAGCAATCACACAAATCTAAATGGCATTTAGTTCTAATGACATCATTTGGATTGATCGCATCTTCATATTGTTTGGTTTTACCTGCTCAAATGTAAACTTAAATTGGAGAAGCATTTAATATTGATGATCCAAAATAATTCTTAACTTGGTTAACCTCATTGCACTTTTTATTGAATTCATTTTTACCTTTCTTCTCTGGTCTTATCAGAGATTTCTATGGAGATCGAAAAAGCATCATATTTTAAAATGGATTATGTGCCCTTGGTTAAATTATAGTCACTTTTGGTATTTCATCTGGAAGTCAAATTGTATTTATAATTGGAAGAATTCTATTGGGTTGGGGAATAGAATCCCTCTTAATAGTATTAACATCCTTTATATGTTCATATTATAAATATACATATTTGGTAATTTTGTATTTGTGTATATTTAGACTTTTGTTTTGGGTATGTACCAATTTGTGTATACTTTGGGATTTGTACTTTGTATTTGGTTTGCACCTCAAATTACATCAGTAGGGGCTTCAAATACAATAGCCATTTTGGCAACAACATTAGGAATGCTAATGTCTATTGTTGCTATTGATATAGATGTCGATGCTTAGTCAACAATCTTAAACAAAGGGGCTAAATACTTTAAGAAGCATCATGAGAAACTTAAAAGTTCTACATTACATTAATAGTAATAATAAATAGAAGGAGAAGAGATATAAGTGGACTAATTAAATCATTAGGAAGAATAGATGGCTGTTGAATAGGTAGAATCTGAAATCTTGCCACAATCATTTTTTGAGAAGTATTTTGGATTCTTTAATAAAAATCAATATCCGTCAATATATTGGTATTTATTATGGTTCTATTCTTTTGCATCTACTTCTGTATTAGTATTGGTAGACTATGCATAAGAATTTTTGTACGATAAATGGTTGATTGCAATTGACAACGGAGAAACATTAGCCTGGAAATTAGTAACTCTAATGTGGTTGTTTTCAGGAGTCATTACACCATTATTAGGTTTTGTTATTGATAAATATGGGCAAAGATCTTCACTTGTAATTATTATCCAATATAATTTAGACAATCTTTTCAGGTTTGATGGCCATATGGGCACATATCTTAGTTCTTTTGTAATCACCATTTGAAGGTCTTCTCTTATTAGGATTATCATTTGCATTGTCATATACAACAGTCTGGAGTGGAGTATTATACTTGACTCAACCAAATACACATGGCAGAAGTCTATCTTTGTTTGTTTGTCTATAAAATTTTGGGATCACTATTACTCCCTTCATTTGCAAATTGCTTGAATAGTAAAATTAATCTAATTTTATTAATAGATTGACATCATCCACAGTTGTTACTGAAATCTTTTTGTTAGTCTTGGCAATCTTAGCCATGTTCATATCATTGATGGTTTATAGTGAAGATAAGAAATTCGTCAATCTCATAGATAGAGGTCTGGAAGTTGTAAGTGAAGTATTCACAGAGTATGATATATTTACTAATTTAACAAAGACCCGCTTCCAAATTAAGATCCAAAGAGCATATCTGAAATTTGATTCAAATGTCAAAATAATAAATATCAAATCAATTTTAATTTAAAATATATTTATAATAAAAATAATAATCTCTTTTATAATTATACTTTTCTAAATTCTTAATTGATTCTTAACAGTATCTAATTATGTTCATTTATATATAAGGAAATCAAAAACTATATGATTAGATGTATTCAATCAAAATAAAAATTTAATTTAGGTAGAAATAGTAAATTAATTAATTAAATAATGGATTCTGCATCAATTACTTTAGATAATCAGCAAATCATCGGGTTTAAAGAAAAATTGATAAAAAGAAATACCTCTTGGTTTAAAAAATTATTCTTCGTTTAAATTTACCCTATAATGGAAGTAATATATAGGAATGAACCTTTTAGAAAGCCTATAGGACAGAGTTGGATGAGAATCAAATGAATGAACTAGAGACTACTGAATAATCATATGAGCGACATCAATAGTTTTCTTACCATTTAAATATCAATAAGCAATGCAATTTAGTTAAGTTAATATTGAAATATTACTTAAGTAAATATTTATTGATTGACAATAGAGTATTTTTTAAAAGGATTTTTAATCTAACTTTTAGTACTTCTTAGTCAATTGGCTATGCCTTTATTAACAAAATATATTATTGGTTATATTTATGAGAAAAATAAGGATTATTATTAGGCTTTTTTATTTATTTCTCTTGTGATAACGGTAAGAATAGTTAATTTATTGTCAATGTCTCATTCTAGATTCATGATGGTAATAAATTGATTTAATTAAGAAAATCTATGGATATGACATTATGTCAGTAATGAGTTTGGAAATAATGAATAAATGTCTAAAGATTTCATTGTTAAGCAATACTGATAAATCAATAGGAGAAATTACCAATTTAATATAAGTTGATGTACAGCGACTTATTCAGGTTCCCAATAGTGTAGTAAATATGATTATTATCCCAATATAATTGAGTAAACATCTCTTTTAATTAGGTATTACATTGGCTTACATCTATGAGGAAATCGGAATTTCTGTGCTTGTAGGAATAATAATCATAATTTTGAGCATATTTTAGAATAATTACATTGGTAGATAAATTGTTAAGGCCTAACCAAGGTGTTAAAGTCAAAGGATAATCGAGTGAAGGTTACAACAGAAGCGTTTTAATTAATTAAATTCATAAAGATTAACGCATTAGAATAATATTTCTTAAATAAAATCTATAAGTTGTAATTGAAAACATAAACACAAATCACTATTATAAATAAACTATAAGGGAGATTGAACTAGAATCTATATAAGACAGATTATAATACTTTTCGATAAATGTGTTTATGGGTTGGCTGTCTCCTTAGGTGATTTTAAGTTTAACTTTTGGATTGTATGTGCTTTTGGGAAATTAATTGATTCCCAGTAAGACTTTTCCAATAATTGGATTATTGTCTATTTTAGCAGCCAGTCTATAGTTATTGCCAATTTCATTGAATGATCTGCTAGAAACCAAATTATCCCTAAAAAGGATACAAGATTTCTTAAATAGTGATGAATTAATGAATGATCTATATTGTGATTATAAGAAAGTTGCAAATTCTGCTTTGGAAATAGAGCAAGGCAACTTTTATTGGAAAAAGGAGTGTAATTAAGAGCAGTTAATTCTAAAGAATATTAATATAAAGGTGGAGAAAGGGAAGTTTATAGCTATAATAGGAGATGTTGGATCTGGGAAGTCCTCTTTGATTTAATCACTTTTAGGAGAGATGATCTACAACATGGATGATGATAAACCAATCATTAATATCACTGGATCAATTGCATATGTGGGATAGAAGCCATGGATTTAAAATGCTACAGTTTAAGACAATATTCTGTTTGGTAAACCATTTGAAGAGAATCTTTATGAGCAAGCAATAAAATATTCATGCTTGACTTTAGATTTAGAAATCTTAGTTCACGGAGATCAAACTATGATAGGAGAGAAAGGAATTAACTTATCTGGAGGATAAAAGGCGAGGATAAGTTTAGCAAGAGCCATTTATAGTAAAGCAGAAATCTTCTTATTGGATGATCCCTTGAGTGCTGTGGATGCTCAAGTTGGTAATTTCATATTGAAGGATTGCTTTATTAATTTATTGAAAGGGAAAACAAGAATTCTAATTACTCATGCCTTAAATTATTGCAAATATACAGACTACATTTATTTGATTTAGAAGGGAGAAATCATAGAAGAAGGAGATTATTAGAAAATGCAGAATAATATAGTATATTAAGAGATTGAAAAAAAATTTGAATTTGATATTAAGAAGTAAGAGAATTAAGAGTACAAAAATATAGTTTAATTGGTTGGTTAAAAGGAAATCGAGCAAAATTCAGACTAAATTAGAGACAAGATTAAAAATAAATCTGATTTAATGACTGTTGAGGAAAGGAAAAAGGGAGAAATAGATTCAGAAGTATATGTTAAATATTTGTAATACAAAAAGAATTTAGTTTATTAATCTATTCTATTAATTGTAATGATAATTTGGATAATCAGTTAAATTATAGCCAATTTATGGGTAACTGAATGGACTAGTAGATACGCCTCATTATCAGATCATTATAGCGAGATCACTTACTTTTGGGTCTTTTTGTTCCTAGGATTTGTACAATCCTTGTTTGCCTATATAAGAGCTGTTATGATTGTATCATAGAGTATAAAATCTTCTTCCTAAATACACAATGATATGATAAACTGCTTAATATTCGCACCTCAATGCTAATTCTTTGAAAGAGTGCCCTTGGGCAGAATTATGAATAGATTAACTAAAGATATTAATTCTCTAGATGTTGAAATACACATTAATATTGCATAATTCTCCACTAAGCTAAGCCAAATACTGAGCAATAATTTATTGAGTATCTATGTTAGTACATACCTACTCATTTTTCCCTTAACCATCTTTTTTTATATATGCTTGAAAATCTAAAGATTATATATGAAGGCCAGTCGAGAATTACAAAGATTAGAGCTCATTAGTAGAAGTCCAATTCTCAGTTATTTTACTTAATCTTTGATGGGATTGACAACTATTAGAGCATTTTGTTAAACTGATTTTGTAATGAAAGAGTTTTCATAGAAATTAGATAATAATAAATAAATTGTCTATTATTCAACAGCAGCAAGTTCATGGTTTCTCTAAGTTCTGGGATTGGCTAGTCTGATAGTAAATACTTTTGCAATTGCTTATTGTATCCTATTCACTAGTAATCCTTCATTTGCAGGCTTGATATTGACATTTGCTGCTAGTTTGGATAGAAATGTACAATAAACTGTAGATTCTTTAAGCTTCTTAGAAAATAACATGATATCCTTTGAGAGATGTTTGGAATACACCAAAATAGAATCGGAAAATCTGGCAGAAATTACAACTGTTAAGTAACCTTGGCCAAATCAAGGTAGAATTAAATTTATTAATTATTCGGTTAATTACAGAAATAATCTACCATTAATTCTGAAAAATTTGAGTTTCTCCGTAAATTCTAAAGAGAAGATTGGCATAGTAGGTAGAACTGGCGCTGGAAAATCATCGATAACTCTAAGTATTTTAAGAATTCTAGAAGGCGTATCAGGTTTAATAGAAATTGATGATGTTGATATTTCAAAAGTATAAATGTAAAAGTTGAGATCTTCAATTACTACTATGCTATAAGATCCAGTGATTTTTACAGGAACAATCAGATAAAACCTAGATCCCTTAGAGACTTGTAGTGATGAAGAAGTTATGAAGGTCATTGAAGAGTGTTGTTTATTGTAATTGATTAATGAAAGGAATGGATTAGATACACTTATCAATGAGGGAGGAGATAATTTGAGTGCAGGTGAAAAATAACTGATTTGTATTGCAAGGGCCATATTGAAGAAAAGTTAAATAGTTTTGATTGATGAAGCCACAGCAAATATTGATATAGAGACTGAACAAAAAATATAATAAGCAATTTAGAGATTATTCAAGGATTGTACAGTATTGACCATAGCTCATCGAATAAATACTATTCTACATTGTGATAAGTAAATTTAGTGTTTTATGTATTTAATAGAATTCTAGTGATAAGCAAAGGATAATTAAAGGAATTTGGATCAATAAATGAATTATTAAATAATAAATCTTCTCTGTTTTATGAAATCTATCAAGAAGCTATAAATCATAAATGATTAAACTTTTAAATGTATATACTCAATAGTTTTAAATAATTTTAAATAAAAAATAGTGTTAAATACATGAAAATTATTATAAGGATATCACATTATAAAACAACATCCTCAATAATTCTCTTAGTAATAAATTATGTAATTCGTTCCTTTAACAGTTCATCTGAATGCTCTAGCTTAACTCTATTAATAATGTGCCACTTTGTCTGAAAAGCATGATCGATTAGCCAAAGGGTTGGACATCTTTAATGCGTAGGTTAATCATATTACAGTTGCTCCTATGTTTGATTAAGATAGAGTCTTGTAAGAATAAAATACTGAGGCTCCTTAAATCTAAGATCTTAATTCTCAGAAACCTCATTATCTATCTTCTAATAGCAAGTCACCAGTGGAGATTGAGTAACTAATACTTTTAACTCTTTAGTTTGGTGACACATGAAGATTTTCAAATTGAACAAGGAACCAAACCAATACAAAGTGAAACTAAAAAAATTAAGAAAATTAAATAAAATGTGGATAGTTCTAAATTTTTGCAATGTCCAGAATGTCAAAAACACTGTAAAAATTAGGCAGGCTTAAAAAGACATCAATCGAGAATGCATGTTGATAAACCTTTAAAACATGTTACTAAGAAATTATTAAACAAAAAACAATAAGGAAATAATGTTCAAAACTGACTTATTACAATTGTCTTAAATATATATATATAGAATTTACATTATTTAAATTGTACTATGATTTAATAAGTTTAGGATAATAGTTTTCATCGACATTAGTTATTTGTAATTTTTATATGATAATAAAAAAAAAATAGTTCAAAATTTATTCACTCTATTCTTTAATGATTATAATTTTATGGATTAATAAACATAGCCTGTGTAAATTTCTTTTGGTGAATAAAATTGCAGATGCGTTTCAAATATTGTAATCAACAAAAGACACATATTCGCAGTTGGAACTTGGAATGCTAAGAAAAATAATGAAGTAACAATGAATTTTAATTTATCTACAGATATATGTGAATGAATATTTAGAATTGGAATAAAAGATAATACAATTACATAAAATACCAATAAATGGAATGGTAGAGAAGATCATAGCAAAAAAAGAGTAATTATATGTTATCTACATTGATCGTATTGACTAATTATTAAACTGTAGCATAATAAAGAAAGACAAAGCTTTGTTGCATAGAATTAGCTGAGAATGGAAGATATCAAGTAAATTTCGATTTATTGTATGAAGGATTAACAAAGTATTACTTTTAATTTAATATCATAGTGTCATTTGTCCAGAAGATGAATCAATTATCTATTTGAGTTCCAATAAATCCATTATTCAATTTGATTTGAATAAACAATCATTTGACAATATCATTGATGACAATGATCTCTATAATTTATGTGAATAAGACCCACATCATAAGAATTTATTTGTTAGATCCTAAAACAATTATTTATGCATTTAAGATACAAGAGAAAAAAAGTAATTCAAATTATCATCATTAGAGTAAACAAATTCAAAGCACACAGCCTTTAAATATTAGATATAGATTTCAATCCAAATAAACAATACTACCTTATAACTGGTGGTGAAGATTGTTTGGCCAAAGTTTGGGATATTCGTAAAACCCAATACGCAATTAAATCTTTTGAAGACTTGTAGAATTCAGTATTATAAGCAAAATTTAATAAATTTCATGACTAATTAGTTTCATTATCATGTAAATTTAAATTTCAATATATTTAGTTGATGATGGCACTATTTCATTATATAATATTACATCTGTTTCCTCTGTTCCTTAATTGAATAAGGAAGATGATTACTTGGTAAAATAGTATGATGAACATGAAGACTCTATTTACGGGTTAAGTTGGTCAAGAGGAACTGCGTGGGTTTTGGCGTCTATTGGATATAGTGGTCATATGATAATAAACACAGTTCCAACAACCGAGAAATATAAAATATTATTGTGAAAATTGTGTTACAAATATACCTAAATATAAATTTAGTGCATATATATCAAAATATTTATGATTAATCTATTTAATTGTAATAGTTATTTTAATCCATAACAGTTCTTATTACTCAAGTATATTTTTAGAATAACATTCATAATTTTTTATATGAATGAACATTCTTAAATGCTTAATAATTAAAATCGCAAAGTTTGATTTCTTAGAGAGTTTTAATTACAACAAATTCTTGGTTATTATAGTTTTTATGTAAATTTTATTAATATTGTCTTGTTAATTATATAACAGATACATCTTGTAAGAGGGATAATCATGTCAATAAGTTATAAACTAATATAACTGAGTTTAAGGAAGAGAACAGTTACAAAAATAAAATCGATGAGCATCCACTTTATTACAATAATTAAGTAGGATAATATAATTTGATTAAATATCGAAAACCTAAAATAAAAGAATAATCTTAAAGCAGAAGATAAGAATGGATTCGATATTCCCTTTAAGAGTTGAATCGGTATGTCTTATATAGCAACAAAATCCTTGTCACAATGTTAAATGAACAAAATCAATAAGTCTAATGTAGATTATTGTTTTTACATCTTAATCTTAAACTCAGGATTAAATTGATATTATTAAAAAGAACCTAAATTCAGCACGAAGAAATAGTTGTACATTAATCAAGTTCAAATGCAATACTTTAAATAGTGTTTGATCATTAATTTTGTGAAACTTAATCGGAGGTAAAGCAGGTAGGTTTTAGTTTATAAGGTGTATTTTGTGTCCTAATTATTTTCATGAAGAATAATCATCACAAAAATAATTAGGGATTCCAGTAGCTATTAAATTGTGTTTAAAAATTGACTAATTATGTCAGTAGACCACTTGGAGATTATTGTTAAAAATGAGAAATTAGACACAAGTTAGTGGAGTAGCTAATACAATGAGGGGGAATGGATGATTATAATATACTTACAAGTGATCTGTATTAGTAAAATAAGAATTGCTACTATGAATATAAATATATAATTAACAACATTTATTCAGTTAATATATAACACATAAAAACACAAGTCAAAGGTTAAGAGCTTTCATTCCAATTGATCAAAGAAGGTGTCGAGATCATCTTCATAGTTGTCTATAAAGTTCTTGATCATAGGGTTTTCTGGTCTCTCAATCTCAGAAAAATGTGAATCGTATGATTGGGTGGATGAGACACTCACAGAATCTGTTTTTATTTGTTAAATAAGTCGAATTAATGGTTTTGGTTGACTAATTGTATGAGTGTTCATATGTATATAAAAATCTTAAAAAAAATATTAAAAATATACTTAACTCACATTAGGGATTTTATAATGCAAGAATTTTAATCATTAAAAAAACTCATTGAACAAAAAAAATAATCACAAGCCAATTCAATATCGATTTAGGAACAAAAGCAAAAAGTTGAATAAGAAAGACTAAGATTATTGTAGGAGTAACGGGAAAGGGAAAGAGAAAAAGTATTAAATTAATTGATTCAAAATAGCATGAAAAATTAGTAAAGAAACTAAAAATTTAGGATGAATATTATAAAACAAAGGACATTGAGAGAGTGAAAATAAAGAGATTGGATTAATAATGTATAAACTCTGAACGTGATAAAATTTAATAGGATGAAATCTAAATTCCTTAGGATCTTCCTCCCATTGAAAAAAAGGAAGTTCAAAAAAGACTGAGAGATTTGGGTGAACCAATTACATATTTCGGTGAGAGCGATTGGCAAAGATATAAGAGATTGATGCAATTTGTTTAAGAAAAAAAGGAGAATCACTAGAGGGAATTAGAAATCAAGGTCTTAGAAGGAGAAGACAAAGAGGAAATCAAGGTCTTTCTAAATAAGATAAAGGAGAGAAATTTAGATCCAAATACTGCACTTGTTCCTGTATTCCAATGTAAGGGGAAGGAAGAAATTGAATAATAATTATTGGATGGAGTATCACTTTTGACAAGGTGCGAGGATGTTTATTTGTGGTGTAAGAAAATGTTGAGAGAATGGAACATAAAGTTATTGGATAAATTCAATACAGAAACACTAAAAAGAAGTTTAGAAGGTTCTTAGGCATTTAATTCATATAAGCAAACACTCGATTACATAAAACCATTAACAGAACAATTATAGAAAGCAAGGATGGTACAGTCAATAAATGAAGAAATTTTGAATGCATTATATCTTATAATACGATTTTGTGTATATAAGGAGTATGTTAGAGCATATGATAAGTATTTGGAATTGGCAATTGGGAATGCTCCATGGCGTAAGTATACATCACAATCTATTAGCAATGGGTGTTACTATGGTTGGTATACATGAAAGGACTGGGAGGTCAAAGATCTCGAGTTCACAAATAGCTCACATTTTAAATGATGAAACTCAGAGGAAATACATACAGGCAATAAAGAGATTGATTACAGTTTCATAAAAGACTTATCCAAGCAATGATCGTAGCAAAATGGTTGATTTTAGAACAGAATATGCTTGGTGATATGAATATATTAATCAACAATATAAATGTATTGTAAATATTAAATAAATTAAGATAATTTATTACCATGATTTAATAGCAATAAGAAATCATAATGGAACCACCCCTCTATTTTGCTAAAGATCATTTATTTGATCTCAACTTCCATCCTTTTTAAGATGTTGTGTGTTGTGCACAGGTGACAGGAGTTGTGAACATGTAATCATTTATATCCACAAGTTAAGATTGAAATATTCATCTGATGATGTTGTTGAAATAGCAGCCTTTACACACCATTAATAATCTGCAAGAATCAGTTAGTTCTTTAGAGATGGTCAACACCTAGTCACAGCCAGCAAAGATTGCTCATTTGCTGTTTTAGATAATAATGGCAAGATGGTACTCCATCAACTCAAGGCTCATAAGTATGATAACAAATTTAAGTAGACATGCTATAAATGCCCTCAAATAATTGAATGATAGCATTATCGCCACAGGAGATGATACAGGCAACATCAAAATATGGGATTTAAGACAAAATAAATGTGTATTTAAAGTAAAAGAAGCAGAAGAAGCTATTTCTGGAATTGAAATAGATTCATCTAATAACTTATTGCTTTCATCAAGTTTAGATGGTTATTTAAGTGTTCATGATTTGAGATTCTAAAGTACAAATGAAAAATGTTTATATGCAAAAAGTGATTGTATGGAAGAGGAATTAACGGACATTTGCTTGGTCAAAAATGGTTAATTTGTTTGTATATCAACAAGTGAAGGTAATTTATTACTATTCAAATGGGATTACTTTGGAGATTTTAAAGATAGAATTATTGGTCATCCTAATTCAATTGATTCAATTGTAAATTGTTTCATTCTATTAATTAGTGTAAAATAGATGAACATTCCATCATTACAGGTGGTGAAGATGGTCTTGTAAGAGGAGTCTCTGTATTCCCAAATATGATCACAGGAATTTTAGGTTAACATGAGGATAATTCATATTTCCCAATTACTAAAATAGTTGTTGATAGAACTCAGAAAATTGCAGCCTCATTGTCACATGACAGTTCAATTAAATTTTATGATATTGCTGATTTTGTCAATAAGAGAAAAACAGCTAAAGTTCAAGTCAATGAAACAGAATTTGAATATACAAATAAATAAACACAAAAAGATATGGATATGGAAGGGGATTCTGATGATTCAGAGGATGATTCAGATGATGATGACGATGATGAAGATGACGATGGCAAGTAAAAAAAATAAAAAAGTTTAAAAACTAAAAATCTTTAATAATCTATTGCTAATCTAAAAAAGTAGAAGATTAAATAGTTTTTCGACAAAATGTGAATAGTGTTGTTTATGATTATTATTTCTTAAATTAGCAGTAGTCATTAAATATTAAATAAATTAATGAAATAATCATCTTATTCTTTATGGTGATGTAACTTAATTAATGATCTACTCCAAATTCTTTCTTTATTAAGGTGACTACACTCTAGATAATAGGTTATCCAAGACAACTTCATTTAAACCACTTTCACTATTGATACTATTTTTAATTGGATTAAGCATATGTTGAATCAAATTTTATATTTTATTTACTTTCGTAGTGTTTTACCCAGAATTATATTGAGAATTCACATTGACTCCTCGAGTCTTGAGATGTACATTTTTGATAATGATTCTTTCATCAACAATACACTATTCATCATTCCCTTTAGGAGGATATTGAATAGACTAATTTATAATAGACACTATTTAGTTCTTCTCAAAAATCCCCTCTGTCATTTATTTAGAATTGTAATTTAAATAAAATCCTTTTGTAATTAGATAATTAATTACCTTAACCCTAAAAATGTCCATTTTGCAATTGTCCATCATAAATATCTCCGCTTTTGAATATTATTCTTCCCTTTCCATTTAAGAACCCATTCTGAAATTATCCCATATCAACCCTGCCATTTTTATACTGTATGACCCCTAAACCTGTTAAATCGCATTACAATCCATATACAGTTCTGTCATTATGAGAATAGATTTATGGCAATTAGGTTTTCAATAACTAATTAATATCCTCCTATTAAGTTGGTTCTTCAGTAACATTTACTCGAATTCCATCCTTATATTGGACAACTTCTTTTCCTCTTCTACTTGTTTTGAATCCTAATCCTTATTGTTTCCCTTCCTTAAAGGTTCCTAAATATAACTATCCATTTTGATAACACAATTCGCAATATCCATTAGCTTTTCCATCTTAGAACTCGCCCTTGATATATCCCCCAATATTAAAAAAATATATTCCCATCCCATTCATTAAGTTATTTTTCCATTCTCCGTAATAAAATCCTCCTGTATTGAAATGACATGACCCTATTCCATTTGCCTTATTTAATTTGACTTACCCCCAATATTCTCCAATCGTTAATTTGAGATTCTGGAATTGTTATGATTTCTCAATGACTTAAGTGATAGAATTCAACTTAGATGAATTCCTATTAAATGACAAATTTTCTTTCCCTCTAGATCTTCTTTTAATAAAGACTGAACTCATATTTTATGGTGCGCACTCTTCAAAATATATACTCATAAACGTTAAATTATAAAATTAATTTTTAGTATGCAATCATTTCAACCATTAAACTAACTTGCCTTCCTACCACATTCCTCTCTTAGTTCTACCATCAATTGTCACATAAACCCCTTCTCCATGCTAAACACCCTTTTCCCACGTTCCTCTAAACTCCTTACCATCTACCCACTTATATTCCCCATATCCATGCTTTTGATCATTTAGATATTCTCCAACATACTTTCTACCATCACTCCAACTATATTCTCCATGTCCATTCATCATTCCATTCTTCCATTATCCTATATAACCTCTCCCATCAATCCAATGATAAGCTCCCAATCCATGAATTTTATTATTCTGCCACTCTCCTTCATAATAACTTTTATCCTTCCAAATATATTTGCCTTTTCCATGCTTTAAGCCTTTATAATATTGGCCTTCATACAAGGAACCATCAGCCCACTATTCTTTGCCATACCCATGCTAAAGATCCTCTTCCCATTCTCCTTCATAATATGCTCCATTCTGGGATCTCATTATGCCATAACCACATGCTTTGCTTTATTTCCATTCTCCTTCATATTCAATTTTATCAGCATGTCTAAATATTCCTTTACCATAAGCCTTATTATGTTACCATTCACCATCATATAGGGCTCCATCTGGCCAAGTTTGTATTCCCTTTCCATGTCTCTCTTTACCCAGCCATTAACCATTGTACATTTTCACTAATCTTAAATTCTTGGATGTGATTATACCTTTTTAAATTTGATTCGTTGCATAATCTTTCAAAGTAACTGCCAGTTGTTCTACTTCCTTCAGTTTCAACACTAGTTTTGATATTGATCCTATAAGGAAGTTTTTTCCTAACTGAATATCCCTTCCAATAAGATTAAATTTTAATAACAGCCTTAGTTTTCCTTGATTTGTCCCCAACAATATCCACAACACTTTTAGTGATGGGTTTAATATTGATCTCATATTTACTATCCAAGGGGATAGCATCTTATACAACATTTTTAGAACTTTTTCTGCTTAAAGTTTCATAAGGTTTTTCTGATAATATTTGATGTTACTCGCTTTTCTAATATAGAATTGAAGAGGATTACTATTATTTCAATATCCCTTTTGTAACAGCCTGCACATTAACCAGTGCAATTATTACCCATATATTTATTAATATATAATTAATACTCATTTTTTCTTTTTGATTTTATGTATTTTCTTGAACATATAATGGCCGTCTTTGTATTTATCATTCTTGATTCTACATAACTGTATTTCTTTCTTTGGATTATGAGACAACCCAATATCCAGCAATTTATTACCAATTCCTTCGACATTGAATTATACATTTAATCCCAGTGAGAGTGCCTATAATTCTATTAATCCACCCATAATTTCTCCGTTTTGCACTTGTTCAATATACTGTTGAAAGACTTCTTTGGATGCATCATATTATTTGAGCATTCCTTGATGTATCTTCTCTTTGAATATGGCCTGATTCTCTTAGATGACATTGGCACACATGAGTCTGAACTCTTGATGAGTGTTCTGAGTGCCTTGAAGTGCAAGAGCCACGCAACGAAACAAACAATTTCCATCGCCTTTCACATCAATCATTAAATTAATGAAATCATATATTATAGATAAAGACTTAGGATAAGGAACATTCAGCAAAGTTAAATTGGGGATTCACAAGCTCACTGGTGAAAAGGTATAGTAACATCGTTAGTTGAATTTAGGTGGCTATAAAGATAATTGACAAGACCAAATAACAGGAGTCTGATTATGTAAGGATTCATCGTGAGATTTCGATTCTGAGAAAACTAAGACACCCTAATGTGGTGCAATTATTTGAAGTAAGCCATTTGCATAGTAGATTGTCGAAAGTGACACCAAGTTGTACATTGTTACTGAATATGCTAGTGGAGGAGAGCTCTTTGACCATATAGTGCGCAATAAACGTCTTGAGGAACGAGAAGCTGCTAGACTATTCATCTAATTGATACATGCAGTTACTTATATTCACGATCATCAAGTCGTTCATAGAGATTTAAAACCAGAAAATGTACTACTCAACGAAGGCACTCTTAAAGTAGTTGATTTTGGATTATCCTCCACTTATCAGCCTGGACAGAAATTGAAAACGCCTTGTGGCAGTCCTTGTTATGCAGCTCCTGAAATGTTACAGGGACTCTCCTACGATGGTCTATTTACTGATATATGGTCTAGTGGAATCATATTGTATGCGATGATTTGTGGGTAATTCTATAAACTTAATTTCAGTTGCGTCCCTTTTGAGGATCAAAATACAAAGAGATTATATGAAAAGATCAAGACTTCCGATTTCCATTTACCCAAACATGTTAGCTTGTAAGCAGGTGATTTACTCAAGAAATTACTGATGAAGGATCCTTAATAAAGGATTACACTACAAGAAATCAAGAATCATGACTTCATCAAATTTGCTGGTTAATATTCTATCCCTCATTCACTTAAGATTGACAATGATATTGTACAATAAATGGTGTAATATGGATTGTCCAATCAATCAGAAATCATTGAGTAGATTCAAAACAATAAGCATAATCAAATTACAACTACCTATTACCTTTTACAAAATAAAAACCCTTAATCCCAATAGCAATTTCAGTAATCAACATTCAATAAAATTACATAACAACTTATTTCTTAGGTACCACACAGTCAAATCAACGAAAATACTCCCTACATATTTAAAATCAAACTTAAGAGCAAATCTCCATATCAATAACAAGATAAACAAAATGATGTTACATTAGCACACATTACGTCATCTCCAAGAAAAAATCATTTAGAAAATTCAAACAATATTTCTATTACTAAAAAGATGTATATAATTATTAAAAAATATTTCCAATAGACGAACCAAAACTAGATCTCAAGAACCAATTCAAAAACGTGAACCTTCTCTTAGCAATCAATAACCACTCACCAAACAAACAAAACAAGTTTAAATTGGAGAATTCTTTAAGAAAACTGATAATGATTAATTTGTAAACCAACCACGATAAAGTTCCATCCCTCAAGGATATAATAAATTTATCATCACTGAACGTGTCAGTATGCAAAATAACACATCCATCTCCAAGATACCCTCTAGATAAGGAAGATTATCATTCAAAATAGAGCAAAAACCCTTGTCAACCTAACCTAATGAGAGTAATAAAGATGGCAAACACTAAAAATCTACTTCAAATACAAAAAAACCAACTGAAATCAGCTCCAATTAGAAACTCTTACAAATGGATTCTATAGCTACACAAATTTAAAATAATATTTAGAATAGGTTTCTAATTTATAAAAAGAAAATCAAACAATGAGAATAAATTTTTGATTTTCCACTAACCATATATTTTTTCATTTTTACATGACTTCTATTAAGCAGTAATATAGTTATTTTTACGTTTATATAACTTTGTATAATAATTTTAAATAAATGGCAGAAGTTAAACCTCCTCGAGAGTCTTTGGTCAAATATGAAAATCCCATTGAAGTCAGCAATGCCAACGATGCCTCCAGGACTTTACAAGGCAAAAAGAAGGCATAACTGTCTCCTTTGGAATCTAAGCCAAATACAGAAGTAAGCAATGAGATGAGAAATGTTAGGATATATTGAATGCCATCTTACCTCCTATAGAATGGGATCACGATGGGAAGCATTATATTTAATATGTTTCACACGTTCCAGCCACAAGGGAAGATGTTGGTAATTTGTAAAAACTATTGGATGAGAGATTGTTGGCAAGATAAGCTAGGTAGTTATGGGGTTTATTAAATAATTTTAGAGAGACTGGGATCTGTCCTATAAGAGAAGAGTTGTTGAGTTAATGTTTTGATGAGATTATAAGACAAGTTACAATTGATTGTCCAGAGAGAGGTATTCATACAAAAGTCGATCGTAGGATTACTATTAATGAGAGTGAGAGACGAGTTAAAAATGACGATTGCTGCTTATTAAACATTGTATAACTCTTCTGTGACATTTGGAATGAGAAAATAATTGTAAGCTGAGATGGGCAAGAGTGAATTGGAAGAGAAGATAGTTTAATTGGAGCAGAGAAAATAGAAGTTGGAAGAAAAGGTATGAATCTGTATTAGAATTCAGAGGATTGATTTGCTTAATAAAAAGGATTCCTTGGATAAGAAGATTAAGGAAAGAAATTAGATTGAGGAATAGAAGAGGAAATAGGAAATCGAATTTCTCAAATATTAAGGGTAACATTTAGAAGCCTTTTTAAAATCAGTATAACCTGAATTGAAGTGATTTTCATATTATAATAATTGTTACAACTGAAATATTTTGTTTGATGTATCTATGTATTGGTATTGGGGTTATAGATCAATTGTGTCTTATTTTAGACTTTCTTAATTATTAAACATTTTAGACTTATATTAATAATTTTTATAATGGGATAGATTTCTGCTTTGTGTTGCAAAAAAGATTAAGTCATTATTGCAGAGAAAAGGATTACTTAAGAAATAGTAGAAGCATTTACGTTAGATGAAGGCAAGGAAGAAATAGAAAAAATAGACAAGGCCATTAAAATTCAAGCTTAGTACCGCGGTTATCGTATAAGGAAAATGATGAAATTAGAATAAAAACAACCATTGACTAAATAATCTGAAAGTTAAGGGGATACAGTAGATATAGTTGGTTATTCTGGAAAAAGGGAAACTTTAAAATAAAGTGTTGTTGCAGCAATCAAATAGAAGAGGGATCAATTACTAGTGAAAAATACAATGAATTGCATAGAACCAATGAGATTACCAGAAATTGAAATGGTTGATGGAAGTTTATATGAAGGGGAATGGATGAAAGGATAAAAATGGGGAAAGGGACGATTGGTTTATAAGGATGGTTCCATATATGATGGGGAATGGAAATAAAATATGGCTTAAGGAAATGGAAAATTAATTCATACAGATGGTGATAGTTATGAGGGTCAATGGATAGATGATAAGGCCAATGGGTTTGGAATATATGTTCATTCCAATGGGGCCATCTATTAAGGATTATGGAAAGATGATCAATAACATGGGAAAGGAAAGGAAGTCTGGCCAGATGGTTCAAAATATGAAGGAGATTACTTTGAAGGTAATAAACATGGTTATGGTAAAATTCACTTTTATGATGGGTCAGTTTATTAAGGTCAATTTGAATAAAATAATATTCATGGTACTGGGATCTATACTTGGTTTAATGGAAAAGTCTATGATGGATAATGGGTTCAAAATAAAATGAATGGAAAAGGTACTTTGAGATGGCCTGATGGAAAGAAGTATGTGGGAGAATACTAGAACGACATTAAACATGGTTATGGAATATACTATTGGGAGGATGGAAGAATATATGATGGTATGTGGAAAGATGGACAATAACATGGATAGGGGATCTATGTAGATTGTAACGGAACTAAAAAGACAGGAATTTGGGAAGGTGGAAGAAGGGTTAAATGGGTATGAATGTAAAATGAGTTGGTTTTTCTTATTGTAATTAGTTGTGAATTAATAATATATCTAGATTAAATTATAAATAGCATTAGATTTGATTTAATTAATGAAATTAGGAAGTGCAATTGAATATATAAGCATTTCAATTAGACAATAAATTAAAGAGAGAATGGAGAAAGAAATCTATAAAATTAGTTAATTTGATAATCAAATTAAATGATGTAAGTTCAAAATTTATTAATTGAAAGAACTGTTAATTTTTTCTACGTTTTATAGATAGATAGATTAACATGTTCTTTTTTATAATTTATATAATTGTAAAGTATATATTAATTATTTTACTTATGCAAATTCATCCAATTCAAGCTCTCAGTACTACTTTAAAAGAGGATTCTTAAATTCATATAACAGGAAGTGAAGAGAAATTATTAAAGACAAAGCAGACAATACTTGATCGTGCTCCAGTTAATTAGGAAGCATTGAATACTTATCTGAAAAATACTCATCCAACTGATGGTGATGATAAATTATACGATTGCACTAATTGTTATAACGTAGATGTTGGTTTTAATTGTTGCTGCAGTACTGAATTTGAATCCGACATAAATCAATATGGAGCAGGCATTACTATATATTTTCGATTCCTCAAATAAGTATTAAATCATGCCATATATAGATTATTTTATACTTTTTACTATTTGCTCTCTTGAGTATTCCTTAATTGATCTTCTCCTTATCTTGTGTGAAGGATACGTTGACTTTTAATTCAATACTCATGGGAACTACGCTAGGATCATTGAGTCTACAAGGAGATTCTTGTGTTAAAATGTCTTGGGATGATGTAGTATTAAATGTAATCATTTAAATCATTATGTATAGAATAATGTAACACTTGATTCTGCAACCATCTTAGAGAAAACAACATTTAATTGTAATTCTGGAACCATATCATCCTAAAATTTTGTGTTGGGTTTCTTCTAAGAAGGTAGCAGTTCCATCCCTTGCACTTATTATGATCCATCGCAGGCAATAATAAATTGTACTAACTCGAAAGCATTTGCAGAGATATAAAATAAATGTGTAGGACAACAGTCTTGTGAGTTCATAATAAGAGAGTCTTTATTTGACAATTGTCCTGACTTGCATTCAAATGTAGTTTATGCTTATTCGTTTTGCCAGGATTCTGAATTCTCTCTCGGATCAGTAAGTGTTAAGAATAACACAGTCTCAATCATATGTGGCTATATTGATTTGGCAATAGTCCTGATTCTAAGTATCTTTCTCTTTACGTATATTAATATAATTAATTTCAAGCTTGGAGAGATAAGAGAAAGAAACTATGAAAAATGTGAATGAAAGTCAAGTATTTATAGAAAATTTTTCATTAGAATTTAGAAATCTCCCTGAATGTTCCGATCCTAGGGAGTTATTTTAAAAACTAATTGAAATTGAATTGCAATTAGCCAAGAAATTCCCTTAGATACCTAGCTTTCATATCGTGGATATTTAATTTTCAAAAGGGAACAGATCAGTATTGATAGGTGAGGAAAGAGCTATGGCAATAAAAAAGCGAAATAACTTAGTTAGAAGATTTGAGAATAAATTTAAGGTTTCTCTCATAACTTCTATGGATTTGAAATAAAATCTAGCAACAGCAGTATTGTAATAGGCTCTAAGTCAATTACAATAAAAAGATGATGCTTAAGAACTTCTGGATGAAATCTAGAAATTAGAAAACCAAATTTCTGAATTTGACAATTAGATTCAAATGCCAGAATAATTCAATGAGGTTATTTAATATGCTTGGATAACATTTGATACAATTGAGCAAAGGAACATGGCATTTTTTGTCTATTAAGAAGATTACTTGCGAGATCTCTTTTCGTGTTGTGGATGTAATGAAATTATGAAAATCGATAATGCAATAATCAAAGCATAACCTGCACCTCCTCCAGATGATATTAATTGGATGAATTTATAATATTCCTCTGTGGAATTGATTGCTCGCAGAACTCTAAGTTTTATGCTAACTTTTATCTTGATGATCTTCACAATTGCAGCCATTATCTTCTTAAAGTATTACTGTTTCTATTTCATTTAGATATTAATAATTGACTTATTAATAAGATTACCCAGAACCTAATTGTACGATGTATCCTAATATCACAGAGGCCGATGTAATTGGTGATTAGAGTAAGAGTGTTAAGAAAGGATTGTTGGAATGTTATTGCAAAGAAGACTTTCTAAATAGAATAAATATGACTTTTAGTAACGGTGAACAATTGTGTTAGCAATGGTTCAATGATTATGTTAAGATCGTTGGTTGGCCATTTCTAATTGTAGTTGTCATTATTTTAATAAATCAAGTCATTTAAATAATATTCACAAGTAGATTAATATTTATAATCTTAGAATTTGCTGAGTTTGAAGCTCATCGATCAAAATCTAAATAATTATCTTCTCGTCTTCTGAAAGTGTTCGTTGTGCAATACATAAACACAGCCTTAGTAATATTGATAATTAATATCAAATTTACAAGTGAACTAAATCTATCATCCTTTTCAGTATTATTAAATGGTAAATTTGATGATATCAGTGTTCAATGGTTTAATTAAGTTGGAACAACAATTGTAATTAATAGATATTATATTTAGTTGCTTACTATGCTAATTTATGTGTTGGGTCCAATGATCAATATAATTCTAATGAGCATTTTCAGATGTTTGAAGAAATGTTTTGATCAATGTGGATTGGAAGACGGCCAATTCACAAGGAAATTAACACAATAAGATCTAAATGAGTATTATACAGGCTCAGACTTCAATGTAGAACTTAAATACTCTCAAATATTGACTGTTATTTGCGTTAACTTCTTATATTCCTCAGGTATGCCCTTATTGTATTTGACAACGGCATTATTTTTGTTTATCACATATTGTTGTGATAAATATTATTTGTTGCATTTTTGCAAGAATCCACCAAAAGTAGATGATAGTGTAGCAAGATTAGTGAGATAGATATTGAAGTTACTGTTAATTTGGCATGTAATATTCTCAATTTGGATTTATGGGTCGACTAAGTTATTTCCTGAAACTATAGACTTCACTCAATCTATCTAATCATCTTCTATTGTTCAATCAGCACAAAGTAATGTATTTGGAGAATTCTTTAAAAGAGCAATAACAAGCTAATGTATTGGTTTGACTTGCATACTGATTGTGCTTATCATCTATTATGTCCTTTGGCCTTGTGTCATAAGTCCAATTCTAAGGACAATTTTCTTCTTTTGTTATAGTGAAACTACGTTATTTGATAAAGTGGAGAACATATTTATTTAAATGCAGCAATCCATTTATGAATGTAAGTGAATTACGTTAATAGTTTAGTGTATTCGTAGGATTAGGCAAATTAAATAATGTAACTGTTGAGAATTCAAAGGTAGGATGCACAAGAAAAGGGAGAATAGTAGTTTGCATTGTTGATGGGTGAACGATTAGCAAGAATGCAAGCACTCAAGTTTTTCAAGGGGTTGATAAATGGACTTCATTCTTACGACATAGTTTTGAATCCTAAGTATTCATAATATCACACTCTTTGAGTGAATATTTAAAATTATATGTTATTTGAATAATATAAAGACTATGAGTATGATCGTTAGAAAATGGAATTGGAAAGAGAATATCATACACCTAAGACTATTTTCATTAAGGCATTTGGGATTGAACTCCTTTTTAGAGATGTTTGGCCATATTTAATTGAAGAGGATAGGAAACTTAAATTAGTAATTCTCAATTTCATTGTTCAATATTGCAAAACGATGATTCCCAAATGGAAGACAACTGAAAAGTATTATGAGAATTTCAATCATGGGAATATAGAAAACCCTAATAAAGAATATTCTCACACTTTATATTTTTTTTAATATTTAGACGAATGGTCTTTGTGTATTTATTCGACACAGCAAGAAACATTGTACAGCTATGTTCTTAGTGAATCCACATAGAGGAAAATTAAGTCTATTTTCACAGAAAAAGGAATAAAGGTGGATTAAAGAATAAATATAGGATAGAGTGTTACTATAGCTGAAGAAGACACAGTTGTAATGGTTAAAATACTCTATTACATCTTCAAATAATAAGAATTAATATTTGAATTCAATTAAGAAGCAGCTATAGAGTGGAGAAAAATGGTTAAAGTAATAGATTTATTCTTGTTCGAATTGCACAGGCAATACAAAGAATAAATGGAATATTAACAGAAAAATAACAGCAAATCCTAAATGTCAAACATTAAATCCAATCCCGACCTTTCCATTAAATAAGAACCTAAATCAATAGAATTCAATCCTGATAAATCCAAAATTGGAGAAGCTCCTATGTTAGATGATTCACTATATTCATTTAAATAACACTCATCATTTGATAAATCACTTAGTGTTTCGAGAGTGAGACACGGCAAAGTCACTGATGAGATGGTTGAATTATCAAAGGAAGAATATAATTATCTAATTGAATAATTCAAATAGTAAGTCCTTTAAGAACTTTAGCAAATTGAATCTTAACATCCAACTGTGTTCTTGCAGAAATATTTGAAAGGCAATGGAGACTTGATGGTTAAAAAAGATGATTAAGGAAAAGATGAATTGGTTGTTAAATTGAAAGGTGAATAATTATAAGTGCTACTACAATAATATGAAAAATACTATCAATAGTAAATTAGCAATAAATAGTTTGAATAACAATAGGAGGAGATTAAACAACAATACTAACAATATATGCAATTCCAATAGTTACTCAATTATTATTATCAACATGATCCTCCTAAATACTCTAAATTAGTTACTGAATATTATAACAGATTGAATGAATAAACATTACAAAAATTAAAACCCCTCTTCCCACAAAGTATGTAATCATAAGAGTCCTCCCAAGCAAACATCAGTTAACAATCTCTCAAAGTCCCATATTCTCCTTAACTGCAATCACTCTCCTATAGCAAATCGAGTGATCGATACAACAAACCTATCAATCCAGTAATACAACCCAGTTTCAATGTCTCTAAATCGTACAGTTAAAATTAGTAATTGCAGAGTAGTTTTAATATTTCCAAATCTATTGACAATCAATTCAAACCCTCTCCACAAAACACAGTAGTCTGTTCTAGATACAATAAACAAATCACCTATTTAGAGATCAATCTTTTACAAAATAAAGGAGAAATGACTGAAAATCAGCTTAATTTTTATATCAAGTATCTAGAAGAGAAGTAATCCTCTCAATAGTAGGGGACTCTAAAACAATTTAAACTGAGAATCTTGTATCTATCGACCACTTTCTACAAGACTTTAATTAAGGAACATAACAATCCTGATAGTATCTCATATCAATCTGCTTCTGTTTACACGTCCAAATATATTGGCAAAGACAATACAATATTTGATAAATTTGATATTATTCTTATACCCATTGTGATTGCATCTGGATTAGAAACAATTCTCATCAATATCAATCTAGCTTAATAAACGATTTATTTTTATGATAGCTTAATTAATGGTGTTGGATCATAAAGTATGGCATAATCACACATTGCCCAAAATGGTTTATTGAATAATCCATTTTTGATGTGTTGTCTAAGATTCTTAGAGATAGAGTATAATTAGAAATTGATGAAGACTTTATCTTTGTTGAAATGGAACATAGTCTACTCTCCACATGAAAAAATAATAGAAAACTCAAAATCGAATACTATGATAGCTTTCTTAATGACACAAATTTCTAAAGGTATTTAAGTTGAGAAGACCTTTTCAATATAGCTTGATCTGGCTAAATTTACTTCAAACCTTATAAAATTTTTTTCATAACTTGGTATTACTCAGAACAGAAAGAATGAATTAAATTTCGAGAAAATGGTATTATGATCATTGTTATTTTTTATATTTTTGTATCATTTAAAGAAAAAGAACCATTCTGATTGATCAGCTAATAAATCGAAATATTTTGTTCTAGTAATTTGTTCGATTTTTTTAATTTGAAGTTACCGTAATCATTTTTCATTTCTTTATCCTTTAACATTTACTACTTCTGTCTGTGGCTTTATTTAAGTTATTCGAGAGTTTGGAAATTTGAATATTGAGAAATCATTCGTTAACAGATATTTATATTGACAATGTTGTGTTATTATGTGAAGTTTGTGTTCTCTTATGGTAAATTCAACTTATTGTTTTATTATTCTATAATAATATGAGTAAAAGGCACATAGATAATCAGATATTTTAATAATTTTTTTAATTTGCAAAATATATATCAAGAACACTTTGGAATGTCCTAGAAGAAAACTAAAAGTATGAAAAAAGGAGTACCAAACTTTTTACTCAAAACCTACAACATCGTTATGGTATTAAACAATTTACACATCTACGAATATTCCTAAATTGATCATCAGAAATTTTGATGATTTTAGGAATAAAATTCTCGAATTATTAAATATATTCATTTGATTTTAATAACTTTTAGAATCCTGAAAACGAAGATATTATTGGATTTACTGATAAAGGCAATGCTTTTGTCGTAAAAGATCAAAGCAAATTGAGTAATGAGATCCTCCCAACCCATTTTAAACACCATAACTTCAGTTCTTTTATAAGATAATTAAATATGTATGGATTCAAGAAAATTCGCAATGTTAACAATCAAAATGAATTTAGTCATTATTATTTCAGACGAAACATGGAGTATTTGAAACATCTTAATCTAGAAACCTTTTAGTCAATATACCAAGGAGAAATGGCGGGGTTAAGGCCAAAAAGGAAAAATCCATTATATTGAAAAATAAAAAAGTGAAATAAATCCAGGAGGACCTATTTGAGAAATATAATTCTTTGAAATAAGACATTTAAAATATCAACATTGAATCCAACTTCATAAGTAAACAAGTAGAATAGGTATATTTTTGTAATGCTATTAGTTCTAAAACACTCAATCCACGCTGCTTGAGTCCTATCACTCTATATTCATGGAATTCAGTGTCATCAAGAACAAGCGCCAAACCTATAATGATTTGATGTGCCAATTGCTTTTTAAATTGACCACTGCCTCTCCTAATGAATAAATACAAAGTATTATAACCAAATTAATAATTTAGACATGGTTCAAAAATTCAATAATACAAATCAAAATACTATGAGCAACGGAGCTGGAAGTTCTGATAACAACAACGAACAGAATGGAGGATCTAGTAAAGATGGTAATTCTAAACTTCTATCATAGATACAAATTAGAGCAATGGAAGCAATCCCCAATTAGAAGAAGAAAGAATAAAGTCTGTATGATTAAAATATGTATTATATTTACTATTTAATTGTATTATTATAATTATAGACTTATAAATATTTATATTAATTAAAAATAATGCTATATTCAATTTTACATTTCAAACAATTACAATTAAAATGGCTTTTATGAATATTCCTTTTCGAAATTTCACACATATAGTTTTTTGTTTAATACTAAGTATAACTTATTATTAACAAACAATTTGCATATTAAGAACATCAAAACTCTATATTACTGAGAGAGGGCAATCTGTAAAATTAATTTAATTAAAAATATAATGATTATTACTGGATGTGGTAACTTTTACTAAACAATTAAGTAATTGGGTTCAGGTTCTTTTGGATCCGTGTATTTGGTCAAAGATCTCAACACTCAATATGAGTTTGCTTGCAAAATTGTAAATATTACAATAGGATTATGAAGATTTCGAAACATCTAATCAATATGTACAATGCTTCCCAAATGATATAGGGTGAGATTGCCATTCACTCTTCTTGTAATCATAAAAATATTGTGAAAATGTATTCATATTGGGAAGATTAGAACAACATCTATATTTTACTTGAATATTGTGCCAAGGGTCATCTAATTAATCCGAAGACTCAATTTACTGAGGATGAAGTATTCTAGATTTTCCATCAAATTCTAAGTGGAGTTGATTATCTTCATTAACATAATATCATCCACAGAGATTTGAAAGTAATAATCATCAATTCTAAGTAGTTCGAAAATGTCCTAATTCATGAAGATGGAACTCTAAAGTTATGTGATTTCGGATGGGCTGTTAAGGTTCAACAGCTACCAGTTGAAAATGTGATGTGTGGAACAACTGAGTATATGCCGCCTGAAGTAGTATCAAAATAAGTACTGGATTTTAAAGTTGATACTTGGTCATTAGGAGTTATCCTATATGTACTTAGAAATTCTATCAATATAGGAATTGCTGCATGGTTCTTTCCCATTCGATGGTCATGATCAACTGGAATTGATCTAAAATATAACTACTAATCCATTATTAATTTCTAGAAGAGATGGAATTAGTGAAGATTTAATCTTCCTCATTCAGGCTCTATTGATCAAGAATCCTGAACTCAGACCAACTGTTCAACAAATTTATTTGTGTAAGTGGATAAAGAAGAGTATGAAAACACATAACATTTTCAATCATTATGAAAACGAGTCTTTGAAATTGAAAGTCAAACAAAAAAATATCGCCTTAAAAGTAGTTCATGATGTTAAATAGTAAATGATCTTACTAATTATTTATAGTTTAACGCCAAATAAAAATATGAAGAGTTCCCATGATGATATCGATGGCAAATCAACAAATAGTATTAATACCCTCTAATCACTATCTACCAATACATCCCCAAAACCCAACAAATATGTTGATAAGTTTTTTAATTTTATAGAAATATTTAAAAACTTTTGATAATAAATATATTTGTTAATGAGGATCATTAAGTCAATTGTCTACCAATCAACCATTTCCTAATTTCAGTTGTTCCTGCTCCTATCTCATAGAGTTTGGCATCATTCATAATTCTTCCAACTGGATATTCTTAGGTATATCCATTTCCTCCTAAACATTGAATAGCTTCCAATCCAACTTGAGTGGCATTAACAGAAGTATAATAAATCAATGCTGCACAATCCTAAAGATATATATTAGTATATGTTACTGTATTAGTTATATTCCCTGCGTCAACAGCACGAGAAACTGAATAGAGCATAGCCCTGCTGGCTTACAAGGTAGTGTACATCTCAGCCAATTTGCCCTGCATCATTTAAAATTGACCAATAGGTTTTCCAAACTATTACCTGGTGTTGCAATATTCTCTTGAGATATCAAATGCAGCTTGCATCAACCCAACAGGTCCAGCAGCCAACACTAATCGCTCATAATCTAATCCACTCATTAAAACATAAACTCCTTTATTGACTTCTCCAAGTACATTTTCTGCAGGGACTTCAACGTTATCAAAATAGATGGGTCCAGTATCAGAAGACTTCATTCCAATTTTATCTAACTTTTTGCCTCTTGAAAATCCTTTCATTCCTGCTTCTACAATAAAAGCAGTAATTCCATGTTGTTTCTTTTCGGGTTCTGTTTTGGCATAAACAACAATGACATCTGCAACAGGTCCATTTGTGATCCACATCTTGCTTCCATTCAGAATATATTTATCACCAACTTTTTTGGCTGTTGTCTTCATAGATACTACATCTGATCCAGCATTGGGTTCACTCATAGCCAAAGCTCCAACCCATTCTCCTGAACACAATTTGGGTAGATATTTCTTTTTCTATGCTTCATTTCCGTGTCTTTAAAGTTAAGCTACATTTAAAGCACTATGAGCAGAGTAACTCAATCCAATACCACCAGAGGCTCTGCTGATTTCTTCCAATATCATACAATGGGCAGAATAGGATAATCCTGATCCACCATAAGCAGCTAAATAATCACAATTAGGTATTACGATCAACTGTGGCTCCCAATAATCCCAAATCTCCCATCTTTCTCCATAAATGTGGTGGAAACTTGCCTTCTTCATCTGCCTTGTCAGCCAATGGTGCTACTTCTTCTGCAGCGAATTTCGTGACATGGGATCGCAATTCTTCTATTTCTGGAGATAGGTTAGAAATAAAATTGAAGTTAAGAAGGGAGAAACTAGCTCTTAGTTTTATAAACTTAGGAAGCATTTATTATTAATGATATCTAATAATTACGTATCATTTTAATAATTAGAGACTCGGGGGAAATTAAAACAAATAATTGTTAATAATCATTATAATTCTCTAGAATATTATTAATTTTGAATATGAGACTTTTGGTCATCATCCTCATTGTAACACTCATCAGTACAACATAAGCTGATGCCAATTGTGTTTAAGCGTTCTGCGCAACTGAAATTAAATAATGTAAGGAAGATTCTACTTGTCAGCAACATCTCGCTGATTGTGCGAATGACTTCAGAAAGAGTGTTAAAAAGGCTTAAGATTCAAAAACATATTAAGGAACTGAACATGCATATGATGATGTAATAAGATTAAAATCATTGTTTTAGTTCAATAATTGTATGCGAACTCACTAAGTTGCAAGAGCCATTAACGAGTGCTAAGTAAGGCATTGTCTAAAAAATAATTTGATTGGCATTGACATCAATATAGGAAATTTGGAGAACATTATAGCATGATTAGAATAACACTAGGCGTTTTTATTCAGATATTATTATTTTTAAATAACCAATGAAGAAATTATTATTGTTCCTTACAGTCATTTCGATAGTATTTTCTATTCAAGAAACCACTACCCACAGTGATTGCTTAACTCAATATTGTAGTGCCGAAGTTGAGGCTTGTCGGAAAGATTCGACTTGGTAATCAATCGATCATTTATTCTAGCAAAAAATAAATTGCTGATTGTTATTAGACAGCTATGGATGACTTGTCACCAGCTGGAATCTAGAGGAGCAAGGCAGCAGTAATATTGTTAGTTTATTAATTAGTATGATTTATGTCTAAGTACTAATTCTTATGCGAAAGTATAAAATTTAGCAAAATGCAAGTAGAGAAATTGCCCAAATAAATTATTAATCATATGATAAATATAGATTAAATATAATATATATTTATTCTTTAATAATCAATGCAAATCAAATATCAAGCAATCATACTTGGAGGTGGACAAAAAGCTGGAAGCATGTTATTTCCACTCTGTCAAGATTATTCCAAAAGTCTCTTGCCAGTTTGCAATAAACCAATGATTCTCTACTAACTAGATATATTGGAAACAGCTGGATTTGGACCACAAGACATCTTAATTTTGTTAACTAAAAATCATTAAGCTGTGGCTGATCTAGTTTAGAGAAGAGCAGAAATATTTTATGTTAGCGAAGATTCTGAATCAGGCTCTGCATTATTAGAAGCACATGAAAAAATAAAGAAGGATTTCATACTTTTATCTTGTGACAGTATGATCGGAGCCAATCTCTTAGATTTATTGGATTTTCATTATTCAAAAAAAGCAACAATCTCTTGTTTAATTAAGGAAGAAGATTTAGATAAAAAATAAGGAAGAGCTCCCATTTCCTGCAATCTAGATGAATCTTTCGATATCATGTTTATAGGTTCTGATCAGAGCTTATTACATATCACTAATCAAGAAGATGATGATCAAGTTAATCTTTCAGTCAGTCGAAATGTTCTATTAAGTTGCTAGAGTGTACAAATAATGACCAATTTATTTGATACTCACGTTTATGTTTGTTAATATGAAGTACTGGAATTGTTTCAAAAACTTAGTAAATAAGAATTAGAAATTTAAAATTGGAGATTAGAATTCTTACCCTACATCATCAAACATTAAAAGAATGTGAATTTGCTAAATTTGATGTCCAAAAAAGAGTAGGGACTCTTTCATGAAAGAAAACATTAGCAATTTTCAATTAAAGTGTTTATCACTTAAGAATATGCAAGAAGATTGAACAACATTAAAGATTATCAATAAGCCAATTATGAAAGCATGATAAAAGGGAATAAAGGAGTTTAACTTTATTAAAGCGTTCAGGATTTCCAAATCCAAAATCAATACCCTCAAGATGCTCGTATTAGTCCTGACACAGTCATTGGAGAAGGAACGAGAATCGGTAATAAGGTTACCATTCAGAGATCGATCATTGGCAAGAATTGCACCATAGGGGATCATGTTAAAATTAGTAATTCGATTATTATGAAAAATGTAGTCATTAATTCTAAGTAAATGTTATTGTCACATTAAATGTAGCTGTATTATCCAACATTGCATTTTGTCAAATGAATCTGCTGTTGGACATGCGACTGAATTGAATAAATGCAATTTGGGAACTTTGGCATCTGTTGAACCCAATCAGAAGTTAGTGGATGAATGCATAATTAGGTGATGTTGTACAAAATATTGAAATAAAAATATTTATTAAATATGTTTGTGAATACAATAACGTTATTGATTTCTTTCATATTTCTATATTCATTAGGACATGTATACATGACAAGAGTTACATATATAAATAAGGGGAATGTGGAAGTAGTAATTGGTTTATTGAATCAGTTTATATCATAAAATTATTATTCTCCTGAAGCATTTACGAAGGAAGTAAATATCATTTCAATTTTAAGTTTAACACCATTCTTGTTTAGCCTCAACATGATTATTGCATCAAATCAGACACTTACAAGTACTACCATCCAGATGTGATTATGAATGACACATATACCTTCAGAGAATACAGAGGTGTTGTGAAAGAAGCATTGTAATAATATTTCTTTGATGTTTTGCCTAACGTTAATCTGCATAGAAATAATAAAGACTGTATGTTTCCTAATTATTGAAGAGCCTCATTAATTTAAACTACCTCTCAAACTTACATTACCATTTACTTATTACGATTAATTGGTCCATTATTTTAAGATTGGATAATGTAATAATCTAATAAATCATAGAATCTCTATGCTTATTCTAAAAGTATAATCATATGCCTTAAAGAGCATCCTTGTCTCATAAAAATAGATTGATGACAAACTAAATGAACTACCTGCGAAGTCTTCGTTAAAATGGACTTGATGCGGTTTGTATAGTATCTATATAAATTTAAATAAAAGGCTAATGCAACTTTTTTGCCTAAAACCTATAGATTATTCAACGAGAACGAGTGTTTGCAGTTTTTTACATACATAAACTCTGAAGTCTATGAAGACAAAATTAAGAAAGATGGTCCTTAGTTTATTATTAAAATGGGAAAGGAAGTACATAGAGGTCGTGGGATTAATATGTTATTTCCTTAAGAAAAAGAAGAGTTGAATAGGAAATTCGATAAAGGAGAATTATGTGGATCAGTAAAAACATTCAAAGTGGCTCAATAATATATTGTCAATCCTCTGCTGTATAAGGGACATAAGATTGAATTTAGAGTGTATTGGATCTTGGCATCCACAAATCCAATTATCGCATATGCTTATGATAAAACTCTGATTCGTAGATGTATATATCCTTTTGATAAATTTTCTCTATTAAAGGGAGCTCATGTGTGTAATACAGCCATAGTGAAAAGCACTTTAAAGAAAATGTAGAATGAGGATGATGATAATGATAGTGATGAGACTGATGATGATGATGATAATAACGATGAGATAAGCAGTTAGGAAGACACTTTATTTATAGATTGGAAGTTGGATCACTTATAGGAAATCTTATTGAAAGAAGGAAGAATTCAGAACAATCAGTGGTTGTAAAATGAGTTATTGCCTAAGGTTGATAGGATGATCATCCATGCAATCCGAAGTACTTAGCACACATTTGCAAAAGACAGTAAATTAGGTGAATTTTTTGCAGCAGATTTCTTATTAACTGATGATTTGGATCTGCATATCATGGAGATCAATTATAACCCTTAGACCCTTAATACAACTGAAGCAAGGAAACAGCAGCATTTTAAGATGGTCCAGGACATGATTGAGATTTCAAATGCATATCTGAGAAGTAGATTCACAAGGTTTCAAAGAATAATTGGGAAATTACTATCGGAGTTGGAATCAAAGAAGTAGAAAGGGAAGGACTTGATAACAAATCATATTGGTTAGGAAATTCATAAAGCATATGTGGATAGATTGGAGTAAGGAATCAGTATTAGTCAGGGTAACTTGTTTCGGTTATTGATGGATGAGAATTTGTAGGGGACTAGAGCTTATAAGGATCTGATATAGGAAAAGTGTTTAATATGAGAGAGATTTATATAAATATATTTAAAATTAAATATTTTTTAGATAAATGAGTTTTCCAAATTAAGATTATTTGGCCATGATCAAAAACAAATAGTAGCAATAATAATAGTAGTCACCTTTATAGCAATAGTTCTGTTATCCTATGATGTAATATTATTGATAGGATTTAAAGGTCACCTCAACCTTGGAATTATTTGATGATGTAGCAACAATTCCAGTAAATACCTTAGATGTAGATATCCCCGATGTTGTCCCAATAGCAAATGATGTCTCCAATTTCACCTTTGAATGTATCAATGATACCTCCTCAATTTTTGTTGCAACCCTAGTAAAATCAAAGCAGGTTATCCACATCTCAATCTCAACCACTTCAAAATAAGCAATATGTGGAAGTTAATGGCACCAAAGTTAAAATGAATATGAAATTGATCAAAGATGATGACGATATGTTGGATTATGACGAAATCAAAAGAGAAAAACAAAAAAAAGTCAATTAGACAAATAAAAGGAAATGAAATTTTTCCCTTTATGATAATAATTAATTTATTCACTTACCGTTGAAATTAAATATTAAAAATTTACAATTATTATGCTTGTCTAACAGCAATAAAGACATATGCCTGCTACGCCCATTCCAGGCAATGCACGTAAAGTTATAGAGAATTTCAGTTATGCCCTATCAGATGCTATCGGAAAGGGCTTTAGTTCCATTGTTTATAAAGGCAGAAATGATGAAACCAATGAGATTGTCGCCATAAAAGTGATAGATAAAAAAGGACTCAAGACTCCTCTGCATTATCAACTCCTGAGATCAGAAGTCGAAGCCTTATCCTAACTCAATTCTCCAAATATCATGAGATTATATAAAGTGTACTACACTGAAAATAATACCTACCTCATCACTGAATTTTGTGACTCAGGTGATTTGGGATAATTGGTAACTAAAACAGGAGTCTAAAAAGAGTAGAATATGCAAAAATTATTCTATGGTATCATCCAAGGCTACAAGTAGATGAAACAAAGGGGTATCTCATATTAATCTACTAAGTTAGGTATTGTACATAGAGATCTCAAGCCAGCCAACATCCTACTCAAAGGATCAGTTCCAAAAATAGCTGACTTTGGATTTGCTACCACACCTCAAACTGTTGCCACCATGCCTAATGTCAATGTCGGATCACCTTTATACATGAGTCCCTAGGCATTCAAAAACAGATACTCTGAAAAATCTGATATTTGGGCACTGGGCGTAAGTCTTTATGAATTATTATTTGGGCAAGTTCCCTGGTAAGCAGGAAGTGAGAGAGAATTAGCTTAAAGAATGGCCACTGTGCCAGTGCATTTTCCAGGACACGTCTCAGATGAATGCAAGGATTTTATTTACAGGTGTTTGATAGTAGATGAAAGTAGAAGAGCCACTGTTGAAGAATTGGAAAGCCATGTTTGGTTGTCAAAACAAGAACTCTAACCTATTAAAGGGAATGGGTTCTCTAGTATGTTTAGGAGTAATCAACAAAACAATCATCATCTCTTATAAAATAATAATATTGCAACTCCTTTGGGAGACACTCAGAACAAATAATCGATTTAATTTCAAACAAGGGAATCCAACTATGGAAAAGAAAATGCTATCATTGTTAAATAGTCGCAATAATCCATCATGTAATAACCTTTGAAATCAATCAAAAGAGTCTAGGAGTCAAGAAAGGAATCTTAAATAAGTTAATAGATGAATCAAGAACATTCAAGTCAGAGAGAGGAGGAAAGTTGGAGTGAATCTAAAAAGAATGATTACATCATTTTGGCTCAGCTAAACTTCTGTAGATATTTATATAGGGTTTCTGCTTTAATGGATAAATATCGATTGTTTTAAACTTCATATTTGAGAGAAAAGCTATTGTTTTTAGTGAACAAGAATATCATGATTAAGTTAAATTGTTTAAATGAAGTGATGTAAGGACAAAACACTCTTGGCTTAGAGAAATTTTAGCAGTATGTGTAGAATCCCTAGTATGCAAAATTATGTGCAGCTATCCATCAATATAATCAAAAATACACTCTTTAATTTAATACTGTTTGGATGTCCTTGTAGAATCCAGATTAGAAATCTTTATTAGCAATTGATAAAAAATTTGACGCTGTTTTTGATGACAATTTTACTGAATATGAATCTTTCTATATAATTTTGAATTCTATCTTAAGAAGTGCAATAAAGGAGATCGAAAGTTCACTTGAATCCAAAATTGTATTTTAAGACACTTAATAATTATTACCCATCGATATAGAAGGAGGTGTGATACTACTTGATTATTTAATCACTTACTTTTAGTTGGCCTCTCTCATTCAAGAATGTTTTGAAGATCCTTACGAATTTGCTATTGATTCCAAAATTGAATAAATTGCTGATGGCAAACCTGTCAGATTAACCTATGGTCATTATATTGAAATTAGAAATAAAATAAAATAACTTGATATTTGATTTATATATATAAATATTATTATTATTATTAAAAAATAAATGACAGATTTTGATGTTATTTTAGTACCAACAGCAGAAGCTTTCCATTTATTAAACTTTCCAATCACTCAAATGAAAGAGTTTGAATCTGTCTACTAGATTGATAAAATTAATTACAAACCAATATCAACACATATTGAATTAATCTATGCAAATACGACATAGGGAGATCAGAGATTGGAAGAAAAAGTTAAATTTAATTCATAAATTATTAATAATCGCACTTATTATGCATTGACCAAATTGGATGAACACAATAAGAAAATATACCTTTATGTCATAACTAATTTTTAAAATATGCGTGTTTAAACAAGTAAAGATATGGAGGTTCAATCACAACCGTAATAACAATAATAATAACAATAACAATAATAACAATTATAAAAGAAATATTTTAAACATTATTAAGAAATCAAAGCCAAGGAGACAACAGTTGAATTAAAGCTATAAAATATGAATTTAGAGACTCCAAAGAATATACAATCCTCTAAATAGATGTCCTCAGATGAATACATGAAATATATTTTCGATAGTTGATCTTGATTTTATTTTCAATAAATATTTATTTTTTTTATGAAAGGAGTTTCTAAATTGAAATATAGGATCGTGTATTGTTCAGGAGAAGATTAAGACTATCCTGTGACTGAGTTACTTACTCAATCACCATAAAGCAGAGGCTGGCAAGCACCTAAATATTGTGAATACCCATAGGAAATAGCAATCTAATTTGTTAGTGCAGCAAGAGTTCGACAAGTTCAATTCTTGTCTCATCATTGTAAGATACCTACAAAAGTATCATACATTAAAATTGGTTTTAGATTGAACTATATGTTCACATGCCAGATAAGAATATACCACCACAATATAATCAAATCAAATACAAGAAATTAGGATACTTATCACTTGATTCAAATGAGAGAGGAGGATATCAAGCAAGAGAATTAAAAAGTGTATATATTGACACACCATGTTTATTCATGAAATTTGTATTTCAAAAATGCTATGTGAACAAATTTAATCTCTTCAATTAAATTGGTGTAATTGCTTTATCCGTGTTTGGTGAACCTCTTGATTCCCCTCCTGGATATGGGTAGATGAAATAAAAAGAATTTTATAATGAAATTTAATTTGAAACATAATTCGATCAAAATACACTAGAAAGACTACGATAATTAGAGGAAGCAAAAGACAAAGGTATTTCTAAGTATCAATAATTAGCTGTTTCGAGGGAAGACTTCATGGAAGCAAAGCGAATTAAAGAGGCTATTGAAAGGTTGAAATAAATAGGAGTTCAATTAAGAACATTAGAAGAAAGAAAGGCTGTTGCAATTTAGAACGAAGACTATGATTCAGCAAGTATTATCAAGTAGGAAATAGAGAAGTTAAGGAACGCTGTAGCACCAGATTCAATGATAAGAAGGCCAGATAGTGCAGTAATATTATATAAATTAATTTAGTAATATTAATAACCTGTATATTAACCATAATAATAATTTTAATAATAATAATAATAATAATAATACTATTAATAATAATAATAGTATTAACCACCTGTTAAGTCTTAAATAGCTTTTGTTCCCCCTTATTAAGCACCTCCACCATAGATGCCTATTCAAGGAGAAGAAATGATTTCATAATCATAATTTGAGGAACAAAGAGCAGATCCATCATAAATGAGGCAAAAACGAGTAGCAAAAGAATTGAATTAGCATCATGAAGATATGGTCGTACCAGCTGCCCTAAGAAAGTAAAATAATAATTAATATCCTGATGATGACAAATAGTAATAATAATAATGTATGATGAATTTGTAATTAAAGATACAACCGAACCCTTAACAGGAGACAGTCTCCAAAAAGCTGAACCATTAATACCGATTTTGACAGAGGAATTCTGTTAAAAAATATTTAGCAAATAATGGGGAGCGAGAGAGGATGGATTAAAATGGTTGGAAGATTAGATTGGTAGACCAACTTAAGTTAATTCATAGGATCCATCCATCTTCTTTTTGAGTTCAATAGCATCTATAAATTATACTTTGGGTGATAAAGTTGCAGCTGTTTCAATTAGAAGTTTAAGTGTATTACAATCTCTACTTGCAAAATATCCAAAAATAAAAATTAATAAAAGTGCAGAATTCAATGAACATATCGATGGGATTTTATAATCTCTGATGGAAAAGCTAGGAGAATAAAGAAAGGAATATGCAGAAAATGCATTTTTATAAATGGCAGATCATCCATCTGTTGGTCCTGCTATTTGTGTATAGCATTTAATTAAAGGTTTTGTTGGAAAATCTAAACTGCAAAGCTCTACTAAACATATCGTCGGAAGATTGGCTATGTTAACAGAACTAGTGAAGAGATACGAAATCAATAATGCTAATATGCCATATTAACCAATTGTTGATTTTGCTGTCAAATTGTTAGATGATAAAGTATTCTCTTAATAAATTGCTTTAGAATGAACCAATTAGAACTTAAGCCATCTTACTTCTGGTAGAAGTGTATAAATTTTCTGGGAATAGACTTAAACAATCTTTGACAAATGTTAGATAAGCCCAATTAGATGTGTTAGAAGATTTCTTTAATAAAATAGATGGAGGAGGGGATGTTGATGATCAACCATAGACCAATCAATAAAGAGCAATAATTCAAACTAATATTGAATCTTAAGGAGCCAAAAAGGGGAATCAAAATTAAATATAGAATTAAAAACCATAGTAATAATAAAAATAGCAATAATAATAATAATTTGACTAAAATAATACAGCCAAATGTGATTATTGTGATAGAGTTGATCCCTCCTTTAGAGATCCTGATCAAATAGATAAACACCTTTGGTCTGAATGCCCTATGTTAGTTACTTGTTCATAATGTGGATAGGTTATTGAAATAGCTGAGTTAACTAATCATTTGTTGAGTGAATGTGATCATAAAAGAAAGTTTAAGAGATGTTCCAAATGCAAAGAAGCTATTCTATTGAGTGGTTATGACAAGTAAATACTCTATAAACTTAGACATTTGGAAGATTGCAGAGGCAGAAATGACAACACAACAGTGAGATGTCCTTTGTGCCATTAAGATTTGAAATTGGAGAAGAATACATGGAAAAATCATTTGATCAAACAAGGGTGTCTAAATAATGAAAGAACTGCTGGATGACATAATTATTAATCAATTCTATACTCAATATTTATTAATTAATTTGTAAGATATAACATAATCATAATTTTCGATTCAAACTTTGTTGAAAATATCATTTAATATTATTTACAAATAGATCTTTATAAAATATTACCATTATCAAATTCTATTCACTAAAGGTTATTGAAGTTGGCTGTATTAAGTTGGAATTGTCTTTAAATAACTTTGTTATTTAGATTTTTATCTATGATTATGACCAAATTTATAATTATGAATGTTTTTATCCTCAAAACTATTAGAAATCTTTCTAAGTAATAGTTAATTTAGTAGAGAATTACTGATATTCTTAGAAAATCAGAAAGAGATTTAGTCTTTGATGACTTTTAAAAATACAACTTCTAATTGATCTTAATGAATGATTTTTAAATTCTGCTGCTCTTAATTAGCGATTTAATTAATTAACGAATGTATTAATATGTGGAAGGTGCCAAATTTATCCAACATCTCTAAAATTTAGATTGGAAAATAGGCTACGAATAATTGATAATAGGAGAATAATTGGCTTAAGAATTATTGACTGCAAAAAACATAAGAAGTGTAAATTTTAATGGAAATGAAATTGTGAAAGGCAATACATTTCCAGTAGCTTATGAAGAAGCTTAATTAAATGATTCAATCATATAATTACTTGTCTTAAATGGATAAATTAGCATTTATGGACCCACTTTGAGTTTCTAAGTCATAGACCATTAGTTTTAATACATTTAGAATGAAGCTTTTTAAAATCGATACAATTTGTCTTCTGGCACAATAAGCTTTGATGACAGACAAAGAATTATACTAAATTCGGAATAATTAGTAACAGGAATGTGGAATTGTGCATCCATCTTTAATTTACCATAAAATTAACAGTTTATTAACTGTCTTCTTAATTTTATCAATTAAATCACACAAAAGGGTAATAAGAGAATCAAATTTACTAAACAGGATTCTTTCATCCTTGTAATTTTTGATGTATCAGCAACTTGTATATTGGTGTCATTAGGTGATCCTACACATAAACTAATCTACAAGCCAAAAGTGTATAAATTATGGGAAAATTTCTTAAATAAGAATTCGTTTTCATCAGACCTTTAATTTTCAATTAATGAATATGATTAATTGGAAAGTCATATATCAATTCTTTAGAAAGAATACTCTAGTATGTTGAAATTTTTATCAGAACCTTCTACTCAATTAATTGACAGTGTCCCCAATAAAACAAGTCTTTTAATTTTATCAAAATCAAATCATTAAACAAATAATCATAATTCAATGGCAAGTCATCAATTTTAAGGATTGCTTTAAGTAAGTAGCCAAAAATTGTTTACTGGTAGATCACATTTAGACACAAAACGAGGATATCACTTATCTGTAGGGTAACTCTCAGAAAATTCATTTCTTCAAGATGCTCCTTTAATCAATCAAATTAATTAATGATTTATTATTTCGATTTTATAATTAAACAATATTTTATTTTCTAATCAATGTAGAAGTAAATTAAAATTAAGGAAAGGAAAGTCATTATTACCAAATAAACAGTAAACAAATGTCTGATCAATGAACTAGGAACTTAGTAATTATATTATTGTATAATAGAATTATTCTAAATTCTGATTCAAAGGTCTTATATTATTCTATTTCTTGCGGAAAATTATTGAGAAATTTATTCATAGAATAATCCATTATACCTGATAATTATTATTTAAAGTATTCCTCTTGTAATAAATTTAGAAACTTAGTGGTTTCGAAGAAATTTGATTCAAGTAGCTTAAGAATTTATGATCTAACTACAGCTCTGTTATTAAAAAATATTATGAAGAAAGATTTATAAGTTTTATGTTTTACGATAAACTCTTAATAAACTCTGTTAGCATTATCTGATTTATAAGGAAAAATCAGTATTTTAAACATTAGAAGTGGATTGATCGCAACTTATAGGTAAAAACTAGGTTGTCCTCATTATTTAAAATTCAATCATTCTGAAACTATATTGTATTCATACTCCAAATAATCTGCCTAAGTATTTTGAAACTTATTCCTAGGGTTTTGATGTATTAAAGAAATAATTAGTTTGGTAAATTGAATTGAATTCTTAACGACCTGAGATATTTATTAATTCAAGTTGCAAACACTGTTTGTTCACTTTAAATTTTATCGATTCGACAAAATAATCATCCTCTTTCCAATTAGAGAATTTAGAAACAGGATATGTATAAGGTTATTTTTGTAATTTAGACTTCATTAAGGAATTTTGCATATCTAACAACGGTATTTGTAATAAATAATTGAGAGAGAAATACATTTTGATTGTATCTGATAAAACTATTGAAGTATATGATAGAGTGTTAAGTAATTTGATCTTATAATTGCAATTTTAAGATATAATTTTTAGAGCTACTCTATGTCATAATAGCGAATTGATACTCGTTACTAAAGAAGATTCCAAAATTTAGTTTTAGTAATATATGAATTTAAACGAAGCAATCTCATAGGGGAATGTATACGCACAATAGAAGGGATTAGCAACTTTTGGGTTGACATAGATTAGAAGAAATTCATTACATATATTTAAGGGTAATGTAGAGTATAGTTTTGAAATGATCAATATTTTAGGATAAACAAGATATAAATTATAATAAGAATTCAGTTTTAAATTCTAACAGATTTCCTTATGCCAAATAAATACATTTATTCTCCATTCATGTTTTAACATTAAATATTGCATAAATCTGTCAGTAATTATTTGCTATCAATAAGCATTCTTTAACAATGTAACAGTTTATTATATAAATTGAAATATATTAAATTCATTTCAGTGTAAGAATTAAAAATAGAGTTTAGTAATATATACATATCTTCTAATTTTTTAATTATTTTAACATATTAATTCGTTAAATCGCTTCCTTATTCTTACTTACTGATCTTTATTGACATTTTTAGATTCAATCTCCTTCCACTCTTTTATTTGCTACAATAGCAATGAAAATGTTTATATTCTTGGAGTACTCCACTATTAATTCAAAATTTCTTATTTATTTTTATAATTTAGGATTAGATTTTAATATCAATATACTCGGTAAATTTCTATTTTACCATAAAAATCATATTAATACTAATTAGATTCAACTTAATATTCAAATTATAAATATCCTAATACCTTTTAATTAATGTACTTTAAAATTTTATCTAAAAAGAATAAATTCTCGAATTCTCCTTTAATTTCATAGTTTTTGTCTTTAAATTAATAAAACTCAGAATTCATTCAATTTTTGCATTAATCTTAAAACAATTATTTTAAGATATACACAATATATTATATTTAATCTCCAGAATTCTAAAATATTAATAGATAATTTTAAGAAGAATCAAATTTATTAAATTCAATAGAATATTTAATTAAATTATAAACATTTACGTTAGTTCAAAGCTTTACGTTAATTCAAAGTCAGGCATTCCCGTTTTTCAAGATTGTTGCTTCAAATTCTATTTATACATAGACAAATTTCAATAATATTAAATGAAGGCAATATTAGGTTTATTAGCAATAATTGTGTTAGCACAAGCTGGATTTGTTTAAAAATATCCATTGAACTATTCTAATAAGAGAAACATTATGTCAATTATGACAGAAGTTGAAAGCAAACTCTAAACTAGAAATCCACTTGACACAATCAAAGGCATTTTGAACAATTTCAAATCAGAAGTTGCTTAAGAATAAGGCACTCATGATGAAGTTTATAATGCTTAAAAAACTGAATGCGATAGTGAAATTGAATACAGATCAAAGGAAGTTTAAGAGGCCAACAGCATCCTTACTAGTGCTAATGGTATTTTAAAAACAGCCAAAATCATCAAAGGAAAGACTAGTGCAACACTTGATGCTACTGAAGAAATTTTGAGCACTGCAACAAGACACATTGAAATGATTAATTCAGCCAGAAAAGAAGATACTCAATCATACAACAGAGCTGCTGTATCATTCAATGATGCAATCAATGCTATTGATGATTCAATTGATTTGGCTACAGCTTTGGCTAAGGGACAAGTCAGTTTAGCTTAAGTTGCTGAACTATCAACTAAATTATTGAAATCAGCCTTGGCAACTAAATTAATTTAAGAATTCAGACAACCAATGGCTGCTTTGGCTGCTATTTCACAAGAAGAAGAAGCAGGTGCTGCTGAAAGACTTGTTTAATTACTCCAAACTTTGAGAACTGCTGTTGAAACTGCTTGGACTGACTATACAACCTAAAATTAATAAGGTCTCCAATAATTTATGAGTCAAAAAGATTTATACACAGCCACCTAAGAAAGATTAGACAAAGCTAAATCAAGATTGGTTGCTAAATTAGAAACAACTGAAGGAGTTATATCAGTTTAAACTGCTGTTGCTCAAGCTGCCACAAATAGAAGATCAAGAAATCAAAATTTATTGGAAGATGCAAATGATTTATGCCACAGTTTCGATGTTGAATATGAAGCCGTCACTGCAGGAAGAAGATAAGAATTAGTCTTAATAAATGAATTAGAAAGATTAGCTACAAGAAGAGCTGCTGAATAATAGATTTGATTTATTTTCATTTGCTTTTACATTCCGTGATTAAATTAATTTTGATTATTAATTATATAAAGTGTGTTTTAGATGAAAATGCATAAATGATTGTTAAATACAAGCTCAATATCTTCAATAAATAATATATATACTTATATTACAAGTTTACCTTCAATTAGGAAAGTATCAAATAATTTTCGATATTTTTTTTAATTCTCCCCTTTTTTCATTTGGATTCAAGATCTATAATTAAATTGCTTATAAACTGACTGACTAGAATATAGATTTATTGAATGTAATGCTGTTTAATTAGATAGAAATATTTAAAATTAATTAGATCTTGGATTATAATATAGGGTTATATTGAATAAGGAAACATTTTTCAATAAAAGAATATTTCATGAAGTATATAAAAATTATGTTTAAAATAAAGATATAAATTATATTAATTAATGGAGTTGTTCTTATCATCAGATTTAAATTCATAATTCTTAACACTTTTGGCGCATTACACCAGATTGGTTACAACAGGAAGAGTTAAATTAGTGGTGCTTTCACATCAAGCATTAAAATTAAATGAGGAAGGAGTATTAAAATTCCCATCAATTCCTTCATTGGTGACAGAGGATGCATAAATTTTAACAAATGTTTTCTCTATTGCACAGTATTATTAAAAAATACTAATTTAGATATTTAACGAATATTTCTTTTACAGAATAAATTCTCATCGGCGCAGATAATTAAACATTGGGACAAGTAAAATAATCATATAAATTGATAGGTTTTATAAGTTTTTGAAGCATAAAGAAAGATCCAAGGAGAAGAATTAATTGAAGTATTAATAGTGTTTAAATTAAGGCATTTCTGAAACATTTAGAAAGCAGAGTGTTTTTTGTTACAAATCATGTAACATTAGCGGATTTGTTTTTATATATTCACACATATGATATAGTGTCTACATGGAATGATGAACAAAAAGTTGGAAAGTATGTGCATTTCTTCAGATGGTATAAATTTTATTAATAATTCTTTCTTAATAGGTTTAAATAAGTTCAAGCATTACCACAAATTGCTGAAATAAACAAAACATTGGGTAGAGTTGATGTGAAGCCTGCATCTCCATTTGCTGATATTTCATCAACAAGTAAGTAAAAAAAGTAGAAATGAGATTATATTGCATTCCTATTAAATATTAGAAAAATGGAATTTATATTAATTCAATCATCATGAATATTATCTTCAAATTAAAATTTATTTAGTTAGTAAATTTCCTCCTCCAATTTTATCTCTTAGTTTTATTTTCTATTTTCCTTACATAATTTTCTAATGTATCCCATCTTTTCATTTTTCTTTTCCTCTAAATTAACTAAAATATTTAACTAAAACACTTTACCTAAAGTTTCAGCCTTCCTTAATAGATAATAGTAGTCTTCTAATGTTTTTCGTGGACAATCTACTAATTCTGCAGCCTAATCTAATGTGATCGAACAGCTCTGCCATCCACGATTTTGGTTCCAGTTTAATAAACTTATCTACTTTATGATGGAATGAACAAATTCTCCATAATTTAACTAAATTGATTGCCTCACTTACAAATCTCTCCTTTGTCCTTTATCTTGGCTATTACTTTTATTATTGCATTATTATANTGTTTAATTAGATAGAAATATTTAAAATTAATTAGATCTTGGATTATAATATAGGGTTATATTGAATAAGGAAACATTTTTCAATAAAAGAATATTTCATGAAGTATATAAAAATTATGTTTAAAATAAAGATATAAATTATATTAATTAATGGAGTTGTTCTTATCATCAGATTTAAATTCATAATTCTTAACACTTTTGGCGCATTACACCAGATTGGTTACAACAGGAAGAGTTAAATTAGTGGTGCTTTCACATCAAGCATTAAAATTAAATGAGGAAGGAGTATTAAAATTCCCATCAATTCCTTCATTGGTGACAGAGGATGCATAAATTTTAACAAATGTTTTCTCTATTGCACAGTATTATTAAAAAATACTAATTTAGATATTTAACGAATATTTCTTTTACAGAATAAATTCTCATCGGCGCAGATAATTAAACATTGGGACAAGTAAAATAATCATATAAATTGATAGGTTTTATAAGTTTTTGAAGCATAAAGAAAGATCCAAGGAGAAGAATTAATTGAAGTATTAATAGTGTTTAAATTAAGGCATTTCTGAAACATTTAGAAAGCAGAGTGTTTTTTGTTACAAATCATGTAACATTAGCGGATTTGTTTTTATATATTCACACATATGATATAGTGTCTACATGGAATGATGAACAAAAAGTTGGAAAGTATGTGCATTTCTTCAGATGGTATAAATTTTATTAATAATTCTTTCTTAATAGGTTTAAATAAGTTCAAGCATTACCACAAATTGCTGAAATAAACAAAACATTGGGTAGAGTTGATGTGAAGCCTGCATCTCCATTTGCTGATATTTCATCAACAAGTAAGTAAAAAAAGTAGAAATGAGATTATATTGCATTCCTATTAAATATTAGAAAAATGGAATTTATATTAATTCAATCATCATGAATATTATCTTCAAATTAAAATTTATTTAGTTAGTAAATTTCCTCCTCCAATTTTATCTCTTAGTTTTATTTTCTATTTTCCTTACATAATTTTCTAATGTATCCCATCTTTTCATTTTTCTTTTCCTCTAAATTAACTAAAATATTTAACTAAAACACTTTACCTAAAGTTTCAGCCTTCCTTAATAGATAATAGTAGTCTTCTAATGTTTTTCGTGGACAATCTACTAATTCTGCAGCCTAATCTAATGTGATCGAACAGCTCTGCCATCCACGATTTTGGTTCCAGTTTAATAAACTTATCTACTTTATGATGGAATGAACAAATTCTCCATAATTTAACTAAATTGATTGCCTCACTTACAAATCTCTCCTTTGTCCTTTATCTTGGCTATTACTTTTATTATTGCATTATTATATTAATTATTTAATAGACTCTATAAATACAACTAATCTAATAATTCATTTATCTTCTATATTATTATTTTTAAGATTGCTTAAAAGTAACATGTATTTCCTTCTTTCAATTTCTTTAGCTAGTTGCTGATATTGAATGAACAATTTTCCCTTTTCATCTTTAAATTATTATGCTTTTTCCAATTTCTCTTTTAACTTTTTTTCTTTAATTTCCACCATCTCTTTTAATATTTTCGCAGCCTTCTTTTTGTGATCCCTAATGAGTTCTTCTTTTTTTTGTTTTTCTTATTACAATTTGAGTGTATAAATTGATTGAGTTTCTGTAATAGACTTTAAATGCTCTTATTCCTTTTATTTAAGCTTGTCTTTTTATGTTTCTGATTTATGATTTTGAATACTCCCATTTCTAAATTTAATCTTAAAATTTAATAGAATTTACATTTTATCTATGTTTTGCCTTTTCTTTTTCTAATTACTCCATTTTATCTTCTGTTGATTTCATCCTTTCAGAAATCTAATTGATCTTTTGGTTTAATTGTGAAGCTTTTTATTTAGCTTTTTCTTTCTTTTCATCCATTATTTTTTTATAATTTTCCTAAAAAATCAAGATAATAAATACACCATCACTTTTTTTAATTTTTCCATTTTCTCCTTTTTTTTTTATTCAATCAATTCAATTTTAACTTATTGATTCACTTCAATATCATCTAACTTTTTCTTATAATGCTCTACTTTTTGTATATTTTCTTCATATTATGCTTTATATTCTGCTTCATTTTTTTGCTTCACTTTTTTTAATTATTTTCTTTTTGCTTACTTCAACTCTTTCAATAACAATTCCTTTCTCTCTCTCAAATCTTATATCTATTCTTCTTATTCCTTCTTTATTTTGTCCAACTCAACTTTCTTTATTAATATTTCTTCCTATTATGTATTTATTATTCCTTCAGCTATTCTAACATAAAATATACTATTACTTTTTTACAATAGATGGTTTAATCTTATCTACAATTGCTCCTTATTGACTATGTTTATTGCTATGCAATTCTTATATAATGAAATCTCTACTGATTTCCCTTTCTGTCAATTCTTTTAATTTATCTTATTCCATCTTTTGCACCTAAAACAATTTTTCTTTCTCCTTTTCTTTTCTCTTCAATTCTATCTAGAAGATTTATAAAATGCTTATACTCACCATTTATCTCTTCTCCTTTAAGGCTAATTCTACTTATTGCTATTTTGAACGAGTGGATTCTAAGAGAGTATATTTTCTTCTATGTTATTCAATTTATTATTGCTCATATAATTTTAATTGCTCCAATTCTCGTTCCTCTTTTAGACATTATCATACCTGTTTCTTTTTCATCTTCTCAAGTAATTTATCCTCCTAATTAGCTATGTATTCATTTTCATCTAAGAATATAGTTCATATTATTACAATAGTTCCCATCAGTTGCTTTTTTCATGATTAAATAATTATATAAATCAATAATCAAGATGCTAAACTTTTTCTGTCAAGTTAAAATGAACAGTCACATTATAATTAATGTATAAAATCATTCATTGAAAAGATACTAACCTCATTCAAAACAGGATATTAAAATATTGAAAGATTGAGAAATGTATAAAATATTAATAATAATCAAAAATTGACTTTATATATGAAATATCTTATAAACTTAAATTTATAATATATCAAATATATTACATTATTATCATTCCTCTTTTTTAAGCTATTGATCTGAATATTAAAATTACATTTACATTTATAGAAATTTCTTAAAATTAAATAAAAAAATAAGGAATCTTTATAAATTGATTATCTATTAACTAAGATATATCCTTAAATAGAAATTCATGGCTGTATTGGAAATTGAGTATGTCTCCAATTATTTACTATCTAATTATCTAAATTTCCGTTAATCGAAATTAGTTCAAAAAATTAATTCCTTAAATAAAATCATTCGAAAAATTAATTAATAAAAATACATGGATTAAAATTAATTTTAAATACTAAATAAGAAACAAAACAACACGTTTTTAATAAATAATTATGTTTTTTTCATGCCACAATCCGTTTTTAACCTTACAATTTTGTGGTATAAAAGGAACTTTCGAAAATAAGAAAAATCAATTATTAATAAATGAAAATTGCATTCACAATCTTGGTTTTCTTATCTATAAGCAATGCTAATTTGATGTCAAAGTATCTAGTCCAATTTGGTGGTAAAAGAAGCATCATGAACATCGTGGTTGAAGTTGAAAACAAGTTTAAAACTCATTCTCCATTAGATTCAATCAAGGGAATCCTTAGTTCCTTTAAATCAGCAGTCGCATAAGAGCAAAATGGACATGATGATCTACAACGCATAAAAAGGTGAAAGAGGTAACTAAATTTTTGGCTATACTAACAAAAGATAGGCCACAATTTCCAAGTTGAATATGAAGCTTGAATTAGAAAGATTGGCTGCCAGAAGAGAAGCTGAATAATAATGATGTAAAATTATTAAACATTTTTTTATCATAATTAAATACATTAAATTTTAATTCTTTTTTTTATCAAGATAGTTTAATAATCTCTGACTCACTATAAGCAGGAACTGATAAATTAAAAATAATAAATTTCGTCTGATGAGAATCCTAAAATGAATAATATTTTATTTTTATTAACACTCTATAGATTATTTACAAGATAAATTTGTTAATGGAATGACCTAATTTAAATAGATCATTTTCTTATTTTATATTATAGGTAAACTTTGGGCTAGCAAAGTGATTTCAATAATACTAAAAATTTACTTCATCACTTCCATTTATAAATGATTATAAGAATTTTGTTCAATTTTAAGTAGAGTAGGCTGAATACTGTATTGCTTTTATTAATTGTATTTGTTTAATGAAAAATACAATAGAATCATGTTATAATTTCTTCAAATATTATATAATTAATTTAATGTCTCAAACACCAGAATAGAATCGAAATTAAGAAGTGTGGCTCAGAAACTCATTGAACAAAAACAATAGATTAGAATTCGAGATAAAGTCTTTGCAAAATGAAGTGAAAACTAAGAACCAATAATTGTCATAATTGGAATTGGATTATAAGGGTCAAGTTAATTAACTTTAACAGCAAATTCAAATAAATCAATCATTACAACTTCAGATTCAGTAGATTTCCCAAGCTAACACTGATCAAAAGAAAGCAACTGAATAATTAACTGACCAAAATAATTAATTAAGAAATTAGCTGAAGTAAGTTTAAGAAACTAATAACATTGAAAAAAATTAAAGTAAACAGCTTTTGGAAAGAGGCAACGCAGATATCCAAAAGTTAAGGAATGAAATACTATAATTACAGAGAAATAATGACAGTTTATAATAATAAAAAACATACCAGGTCTCGTAATTGGATTCCAATTCTAAAAAAGTAATAGAAGAACTCTAAGAATAAATTCGTAAACTGTAATTGTCAGCTACAAGTAAAATAGAATCATTGACTTCTGAGTTGTCTTTAAAAAATGATTAATTGGATAAATTAACGAAGGAAATTAATATCAAAAAGAATGAAATCTACTAGAGTACTGCCAATTATGAAGCTGTAAATGCAACAAAGTCCTAATAATTGATTTAAGCATAATAAATCTAGTAGAAATTGTAATAAGACTTTCATGATAAGCTAGCCTAATTTTAATTGTAAGCATAAATGAAGATTACTTAAATGGAACAAGAAATAGTATAAAAAAATACAATAATTGAAAAGGCCAATTAAGATCTGGCCAAAAAGGCATAAGAAATAAAAGAAAACAATTAAAATTTTGAATAGATCAACAATTAAAATCAAAAGAAGTTGTAAGAAATGATGATTCAGATTCAGAAATTATAATTAGCAATTGAATCAGAAAACACTCAATTCGATAGAAAAAAGGGAGATCTAAAGGTATAGATTGATAATCTAGAAAAAGATTTAAATATTTAATAATAATCCACCAATTAATATACATAAAAATTGAATAATGAAATCAATCAATTAAAGAACTAAAATTTAGATTTATAAAGGTAACTGAGTGAAAAACACAAATCCTTTTGTTTATCATAAACAGAATCAGATGCTTAGATTAAATAATTGAATTTATAAATAAACTCGTTTTAAAAGGAAATTTAATTGAAAAATTAGTAGCTTTAATAATCGGAAAGCTAATTATTGGAGATCAAAGTCTTGAAAGTTCAAGAAATAGAGTAGATGAAATTGAATTTTGATCAGAGAGAGAAAGAATTATTAATCTAAAATGAATAATTAAACAATCATAATAAGATGTAATCCTAAAAGGTTATAACTTTATCAAACGAAGAATTAAATCGATAAATCAAATAGATAGATTCATTTTGGACTGAAAAATATAATAATTTATCGAAATAGACTAAAGAAGATATCTAACAATTAACTTACTAATATCAAATGCAATAGGCATAGATAGAATAATCTAATAAGGAAAAGATTTACGTAATTGAATAAAATCATAATTAATTTTTAAATTCTTAGAAAGAATTATTTAATCTTTAAATAACAATACTTAATAAATAAATTTTAGATTTATAAAAGGAGAGAGAGAATTTGATTATTGAATTAGATATGATGAAGGTCAAGGTAAATGAACTTTAGGATAAGGCATCAAATTTTAATAGTAGAGATTAAAGAAAAGATGAATTAATATAGAGTTAGATGGCCACATTAAAGAATAGCAAAGAAGGTATAAATTATATTGAAATTGTAGAGTTATTAAATGTTATCAATTAATAAAGTTTAGCCCATAAAAAGGAGATCTATATCTTTTAAACTAAAATAGACTAATTGTAACAGCAATATGATAATTCTGTAAGAGAAGGAAAGTAAATCAAAGAATAATTGAAGCTCTCTCAACTTGAGGCACAGCAAGTCTATAATTTGAGCCATTAGAAGAACAAGGAAACATTAAATGCTCAAGCTGAGAAAGAATCAGAGATCATAAAATTATAGTCAGAATTGTCAAGAGTGGAAACCTTATATAAGTAAGTTGTTTTAGAATTAAAAATCATCAATGAATAGAAAAATGATCTACTAGTTATTGATGATTTTCAATTAAAAGGGAAAGATATTGAAATTGGAAATTAGAAGAGTTATATATTGGAATTGAAACAGAAATTACATTAATTTTAAAAAAGAATTAATGAATTAGAATTATAGTTATAAAATGCTAATAAAAAGTTGGGATAAAAAGATTAAGAAGCTAAAAAAGAGATTGAAAATCTAAATCAAAGAATCACTATTCAGAAACGATAAATTTAAGAAGAAAGAGAAAGATGCGATGAATTAGCAGAAGCATAAGAAATGGAGGTTTAAACTTGGAATGAAAGATTGAAAGAATAATAGAAATTAAATGAAGATTTAATTATATAATTAATGAGGCTACAATAATAGACATCACAAAATTCAGGCTTAATAAATGAATTGCAAAATTTAAAACAATAATTTGAAATAGTAACTAATTAATATAAGCAATTATAAGAAGATGCATAAGAAGCTACTAAATAAAAGAGTATGGTTAAAAATGTATAAATTTAAATGTTATAAAATCATTATAACAAATAAATGGATGTGTTGACTTAATAATTAGAGGAAATGAAAGAATAAAGTTTAAATTAAAAACTCGAATTCCCTATCATGGATTTTAATGTTTAAATCATAGCATTAAATGATTTATTAGTAAAAAAGAATGCTGAAATCAATTAGTTAAAGTCTTAAACCCAGTTAAAATTATCAGAAAAAGACAGTGTTATTGATTAATAAAGAGAATATACACAACAATTATTAAGTGAGTTTGAAAAATTATAATAACAACTAATAGATCAACATGAATTTTAAGAAAGGGTTGATAATCTCTAAATGATTAATGAGGAAAAGGATAATTCGATATTGTATTTAAAAGAAGAAATTGTGAAGTTAAAATAAGAGAATAAACTAATAAAAGGAAAGTTGGATTTGAAAGAGTAATCCATGGTTGTAATACAGGATTAGTAGCAATTGATCAAACAATTAAAAATCGAATTGTAAAATAAATAAAAGAATGTCTAACCTAAATAGATTGCTGTTTCCCATTTATAAACAATGAAAAGTTCAATACACAGAATGAGCAAGAGATCGGAGTCGAGTAGGTAGGAAAAATCAGAAGTTGATTGGAATGGAGAATCTCAGTTTTTAATGGGAAATGGAAGCAACAAATTACCATGCTTTCATCAACAGTCTTCGGAATCATTTGCTGATAATAAACTCATCGAAAAAATGAATTCAGAAATAGTTGACACAAATATAAGATTAAGAAACTAAGTAGATTAACTTAATTAAGATAAATAAAATCTATAAAATGATTTAACCAGAACAATTCAAAGTTTGAATTAAGTTAAAAATGAAAACAGTGAATTGATTCTTAAACTTTAATACGTTCAAAAGGCATTGGAATCTTCATAATAAAATTAGGAAAAATTGGAGAGGGAAATAAATTAAAAGAGGAAAAACGAAATAAGCAGTGTATCATTTGATGATTAAATTAATTCAAAAGTAAAGGCTATGAACCAATAATTAGAAAACTTATAATCATCAAAAACCTAATAAATTCAATTAATAAATCAATTATAATAAGAGCATTCTGAGTTCTATCAATAAATAGATAGGCTAAATGATTAAAATAAAGAATTAAGAAAAAATATAACTGTAATAAATGAATTAAACTAAACACAAGAATAACAAATTTTAGAATTATAGATGAAGTTAAAGTAAGAATAATTGGTAACTGTTAAGTAAAATTCTGAAGTTAGAGTATTTTAATTGAAACAAGATTAAACTTCTTAAATAGTATCATTTGAGAATTAACAATTAAAATAATAAAATGTAGAATTATAAAATAAAATTTAAGAATAAAATTAATTAATTTCGAATTATGAAAACTAATAAGAAAAGAAAAATGGAATAGAGAAGAAATATGAGGAATAATAGAAATAATTATACTTATATCTTGATAAAATAGATAATTTGGAAAATGAGAAAAGATAGTTAGAATAGGAATAAAATAAGATAATAATAGATAGTAACAAGCTGTTGGTAAGAAATGAAGATTATGCTATAAAGGTCAACTAATTAGAAAGGACATATTAATAGTTGAAATAACAATTACAAGAACAGTAAGCTTAACATGAAAAATAATAAGTATTTTTAGAAAGAGAAAAATAGTAATTGCAATCTTAAGTTAAATTATTAAATATTTCTTTGCAAAACTTATAAAAATTAAATAAATCGCAATGTTCTGAGGAAGATGCTAAGAATAATTAATTAGTAGCTGATAAATAAATTAATGATTTAAATTCTAAATTGCAAGAAAAAATTCTTCAAAATAAAAATCTCTAATAATAAACTGAATAATAAAATGCAGAGATTCGAAGTCTAAATTTATAAATATAATCTTTACAATAAATGTATATGCCTGTTTAGAATTAAATGTAAGAATTATAAATTCTGATAGAACAATAATAGAAAAAAATTGAAAAATAATCATAATACTAAACTACATTTTCTTCAACTTAGAGAATAAATGAATTAGAGAAAGAATTATAAGAAAAGTCAAAAATAAATGAAGAAATAACGTATAGGAAGAATTTCTTTGAATCATAGCTTTAGAATAATGTTAGAGAGATGAATGATCTTAGATAAAAGATTACATAGTACTAATTAATAAATGAATAACTAAATGAATAAATTGATTAATTGATAAATGATTAAGAATAGGTGAAGTTAGAACATGAGTAGAAGATGATAGATTATCAGAATAGTGTAAGAAGATAGATATCAACATTTCATAATAATTCTGTTGATCTATTGGATTAAGTAGATCAATTAAACAAACAAAATTAAGAGAATAAATAATAAATACTAAAGATGGGTTAACAATTAAGAGAACGTGAATTTGAGATATAGAGACAATAACAGGACTTTTTACAATAATAAAATTATTATCAAGAGTTATAGGTGACTATTGTGAATGAAAACAATTAACTTAAAAGTTAGTTACATCAAATGGAAATCGAGTTGCAGAATGTAAAATTCAAAGACAATCAATCTGTGACAAATTTGACAGCCTCTTAAGAATTGAAATTTAAACACTTATATGAAGCAATACAGGAAAAAGAAAATAAAACAAATTAAATGAATAAAGAGTTACAACACCAATTAGTATTGTATGATAAATAAGCTAAAACATTGTAAAATAGAATTACTCATTTGGAGGATGAGATTAAGTAATACTAAGAAAAAGAGTCTATAAATTATGAATCTACTGTTACCTTCCATCAACCAGAAGAGATCTAATAATTGCATGAATAAAATATCAAGTTGACTAGTTAAGTTTAAATGTTTTCATCTTCTCATTTTCAATTAGAAAAACAACTAAATGAATATGATGAAAAGGTTAAATATTTATAATTTAGACAAGAGAATGAAATCAAAAAACTATCAGAAGAGCATAATTAACGACAATAATAATTGAGTGATTAGTTAAGCATGTCAAAAAAGGACTTAAAAGATTTATAGAATAAACTTGGTCAATTAACTTTATAGTCTTAAGATTAAACTGTTTAAAATGAAAAGCTTTAAAAATAAAATTAATAATTATCATAATAAATATTTAATTAATAAAAGGATATTAATACCTACAATCAATAAGCAAACGAAAAGTTAGAATCAGCTAATCAATTGAATCAATAACTATTAAAATAGATTAGCCAATTGAATAATATCAGACAATAGGATTAGGATGAAATTAGAAAATTATCAACTTAGTTAAAATAATTATAGGATTAATAAGGAAATTATCAAAATTAAATCAGATTTTTGTAGAATTAACTGAATGGTATCAATTAGGATTCAACATTAGAGTAAAATGAAATAGCCGAATTAAAGTAGACTATCGACTAATTGATTAATGAGAATGAAACGCTTAAGGGTGATGGATAGAAGTCAAAATTTGATCAATCTAATGAATTAAGAAAAAAAATCAGACAACTAACTTAATAAAATGAAATATAAAAGTAAGAAATAATAATATTAAAATAATAAATAACATCAGAATAAAACACTAATTAAAATGAACAATAAAACTATAAACGACAAATTGAAAAACTTTAAAGCTAATCTAAGCAAGGAAGAAATGAAAATTCTACTGCGTCTGATAAGCAGATGGACTAAATAAAAGTATTATAAAAAAACTTACAATAACTGTAGAAAAGCTTAAGAGACTCAGAAGAATAAAATAGAAATCTGCAAAGATAAGTTAATTTATTATAAAATAATGAATATGAGTAAAGGTAAAAGTAGAAAAAGAGAGCTCTAAAAGATAAAATTATAGAGCTTTAGTAGTAATTATCAAATTCTTAAAGAGATTATAGTCGAAGTGAGAAGGATCAGTCAAATAATTTGGTTAAGTTCTATGATAAGGAAATCGAAGAAAAATAGAGATTAATTAATTCGTTGGAAGAATAATTTAAGATTTTATAAAAGGGCTATGAGGATTAGGATCAAGAAATAAAGTTATTAGAGGATGAGAATAGTAAATTGAAATATTAATCAGACAACTACTAAAATGAACTTGCGATCCTAAGAATAAATCAGAATTTATCATTAAATCCAAATATCACAATTAATAATCTCAACATTCAATAGGAAAACAAAATACTTGAATTAAGAATCTAAAAATTAACCACACAATTAGATGAGTTGAATTTAAAGTTATAAGACTCAGAAAATGACTTAGCTGATATGATTGAAAATTATAAGCAAGAATAATAAGTAATTATATAATTAACCAATTAGAAAAATAAATAATTAGAATTAAATCTTAGAAACTCCAAATTACCATAAAAGGATACAGAAAATTAATATCGATAAATGATTTTATAAGAATTTCCTATTTATGTATGCTTTATAATTATGTTATTAGAGCGATTAAACATTGGAATAAATGATAAATTTGCTGATTCTGAATGCAATTCCCAATCGCTCATCACAAAGAAGCCAATAATTTGTTGAGCTCTAATAATAAAATTAAGAGATGTTAGAAGAAATTCAAATCTTAGTGGAAAAAATAAAATCATAGGATATTGAATATAATCAACTCTAGGAACAACTTTAATAGTCAGGCAAGCAGAATTCAGTTCGAAGTGCCAATCACAGTTATGGAATGAGCAATGATTTTGAGAAAGATAAAAAAATTATAGAATTAGAAAACAAATTAGCTTTGCTAGCCAGTGAAAATTCTAGATTAAATCATATAAAAGTATTATAATTTTTATAATTATTAATAGAATCAACAGCATAAACAGTTACAATCACAACAACTTACTTAATAAGAAATACAAAATTATTGATTCATATATAAAAGTTATGGATATCTATTTTATTTTGTTTGAATTAATTCCATAGATAATCTATTTGATATTTAAGATCTTCAATTTATAATCTAATTTTTAATATAACTATATTTTGTGGATATTTAATTTTATCTTATAAACCTTCTAAGTTTAATTTCAGAATTCAAATTTTATAGGGCCAGATTCCTAGTAAATTAAATATTCACTTAAAAGATTTTGATCTATTCTTTAGGATAAAGATAGATATATCTATATAGTGTTTAAAAACAAATAAATGATGAAAATTAAACTATTGCTGAAGTAGATGTAGGATTATAATTAAAATCTCCTTATAGATAATTTTTGGCATTTAAAGAAGCACAATTATGTAATCAATTATGAAATCATAATTTGCAAGGATGTACATAAATTTATAATAAATGGAAGATAAAACAGTGCTGAGTATGAGGAAAGTTTCTTTTTAGTTAGAAAATAATTTTATAATAAACCACAAACCAATCCTTAATTAGATAATCTGAATAAATGGTAAAATGAAAAAAGCATAGGTTTCGTTTGAAAAGGGAGTATAATTTACAATTTATTTTATTAAAAGGATAATAATTATTGAAAGATCAGTTAAAATGGAATGACTTTTAACTCAAAATAAGGAATAAAAGAAGGTAAAATTAATTAATAAAGAAGTTAAAATAGAACGAATTGAACAACAGATAACTCTTCAAGCCTAGTAATTATTTAAAGCCTTAAATAATTTATAAGTAAATAAGTTTACAAAAATATTATAAAAACTTATGGAGTGCAATATGGTGGCAATTTGTTTATATTTTAAGGATAAAAATAAGATGACTAATATATTTGAACATGATTGGGATGTTAAAAAAATAACATAACAATATAATTAAAAAATGTAGTATTTACCCTAAAATCGTGAGAATAAATTAGAAAGTTTACATTATTTGATATTCAATCAAAAATAAACTTAAAAGTTTCATATACCTAATGATATTATGTTCTAATGCATGTTAAAAGCTTATTCTTCTTTATATATTTAGAATTTCAATTCTATCCAGTAAGTTCTTAAATTCAAAAATATAGTTTAAATAATTCCTAGTAATAATTTTCTTATCATTTAAACCTGATAACAATTATTAGTTTTAAGAGGCAATATACTTCGATATCTATGGGAAGAATTTAATTGTTTCTATAATTCTAATTCATTCCTAATAAGTCATTCTATTTCAGAATACTAATTTAATATTTTTTAATATATCAATGTTGTAAGCGAAGTAAATTGAGAATTTCTAAAAAAAGAATTGCATCAAAGAGAATAAAGAAAAGATTGCCTGTAGAATAGAATTTCTCAAACTTGTATTATGTGATAACAAGACTATAAGAGCCTCTGCTTAAATTTGTAAGATTAACTTTTCGACCGCTAAAGCAATTTTAAACAAATTCAGAAAACAAGGAATTATCAAACAATCTCTTAAAGGTATATATATTTTCAATCAACTTTAGATTATGATAGACAAATTGATTTGCTAAAATAGATTGTTTAAATTCAAAAAGGTATCAAAAGCGAGCAAATCTCCAGAGATTAGGAATTCAAATAAAAGCTAAACCGATAATTATAGCACTTCCTGTAGCACATCTAATCTTAAAAAGAGGATGTAAATTAAATAATGGATCAAAAAGTACTTGAAGAAGAACTTAGGTAGGAAAAATAAAAAGAATATAGCTTAGTTGAGTAAATTTTAGAATAGCAAATAACTTTGATGAAGAAAATATGTCATTGAAAAATAAAACACTATCTTATATATATTTTAATTATTAATATCTTAATTTACTTTTTATATATTTATGTTTTTTGCGGATTTAAAAGGGTATATAAAAGAGGAGGTCTATAGATTTCTCTGTCTATATTTTCTCATAAATATTAATCATAATTTGTGTCTAATCAAATCACAATTTGAATAATCCATTCACCATTTTTTAGGCGATTTTTCGATATCACTAAAATATTGGAAGAAATAATATTACATTAAAAAAATCAATAACAAAAGGATTGCAATAGAAATTGCGAATTCTGAAATTAATGATTATGTCATCCAATTACTTAGAAAATATTAATTTAATAATTTGATTAATCTAATATTCGTCTATTTAATTAATAAACTTTTAAATGTATAATAGTGTTGGAGATGAGCATTTCTCTTAAGATATAAGCTTAGTGTTAGTAATCAGATATTTTAAACGTTATTTTCACCTATAGTTTTTATCAAATATCCATTAAATTTTTATACATCATATTATTAAATATTTATTCGTTAAAAGAACTTATGAACAAATACTACATAGATAGTGAAGAGAAGCAATTCTAATTATCAAATAGGGAAGTCTTGAAACCATTAGATGTTACTAACAGATCAGAAGCCTCTTTAAAAACTTCAATGGTTTCATTTGCTTGCGATCGAGATAATAAATATGACCTTGAGGATTATAGAACTTAACTTGAAGAATAGTTGGCTGAGAACATTGAATTGAAAAGAATGTTAATGGATGAGATAGAGAAGAATAAACGGATTAGTGATGTGGATAAATCGTCCCAATTTTTAGAGTAATAAGATAAGTTTGCATAAATTCTTAACAAAAAGGATAATGAGATTATGAATTTAAACAAATTATTAAGATAATTAGAGATTGAAGTATTTGATTATCATATAATTAAGAACAAACTATTACACAAGGACGATCAATTAGAATCTTCGAGAAGAATGGAAAAAGAAAAGTTATAAGAAAAAAGAGTTATGGAATATGAACAGAAGATAAATTTAATATTAGGAGAGAATTCAAAATTGAATTAAGTATTTATATGAGCATCAATAGATTTTATAAGAAAGGATTACTCAAATAGAGAAGATGAAACATACAGTTGATTAATTAGAAAGAGAGAAAATGCAAATAGCAGAGAAGTATGAGATACTGATTGCTGAAGCAAACAACCTATCCTCCAGAGAGAAGAGTACAATAGAGAAATGTCTTAATGCATAAAAGTATATTTATTAAGTCTGAGTTTTAGAAACGAGTTCTAGAAATAATTGAATATTGTTAATACACAGAATAATTAGATGACTAATATACTTAACTAATAAAAGAGTTAGATTGAATAAATGGAATTATAATTAGATGAGAATTAAGCTTAATTAGAGATGACCAAATAAAGTTATGATGAATAACTAAAGGAAAGGGAGAGTTTGATTTAGCAAAAAGAGAAAGAGAACCAGGATTTAATGGTTAAATTTAATGAATTGGAAAAGAAATTGGTTTAATAAAATTAATAGATTACTATATTGGAACAATAATTATTAACAAACAATGAATAGGTTGTGATTGAAGAAATGTAAAAGTACTTTGAAGAATAATATGATATCAAGGAGAAAGAACTTGAATCAAAACATGAAAAAGAAATCTCAAACTTGATGAAGTAATTGAATGAAAATTAAAACTTTATTGAAGAACTATAAAATCATCTAACAGAAATACATAAGCAAATCACAAAATTCAAATAGGAGAAGCAAACTTTGAGATAGTAAAATTAAGAATTGCAATAATAAGTCAAATAATTACAATCAGAAGTTCATTAATAAGAAGAATTAAGATATTCTCAAGAATATATGTTACCTCAATTTAACATTTCTTGTTAAAGTGCCATTACTGATCAATCCTTATAGGATGAAAAAGAGAAACAAAATAAATACGGAAGACAATTAAATAAAACCAAAGACAGTATACAATAAAATAAAGAAAATCATGAAAAGAAAGATACCAAATCTAATTAATGCATAAATTAATTGAAGCAACAGTCTCAATAAAATACATCTTACAAAGCTTAATTCTAATAGAAGGTGAAGAAAAGTAACCCTTCAAATAAGGATTAATATGCTCTCGATACATTTGGAAATAGAGATAGATCAATTTCATACTTAGATATGATCAACAAGGAAGTAAAATTTAAGGAATCCTCGGACGAAGAAGATCAATCACCTATAGCATAGTTTAAATAGTGGAAATAATAGATGACAGTTCGTTAATGATCAATTTTATACAATTATATGTATTTTCTATAAAATTATAAAAATTTATCAGGATATTATATGGAATTTGTTCACCAAGTATTTTAGTTTATTATAAAGTTCTTAATTCATTTAAATCAAAAACAATTAATTTTTTCATGCATTTCTACATAATATTTATTGAGTTAGTATTTGGTTCTCACCTATATTCGAGATCAAATGGTAGTGTGGAGAATCAAATTTTTAAAGAATGCTCTTACTCTGGTGCAAATTCGGATCACTACCTATTCCAATGTATTTAGCATTATGTTTTTGTTCCAAAATTAGAACTCACTTACAAATAAGTAGATATTAGATGGTTTATATAATAGATTGGCATTTATTCTTTTGAAAGAAATGGTGAAATTTAATTAAGCAACTATGTAATTTGCCAACTCATCACAACTGAAGAATAGAAAACCTTAGAAATAAGAAGGACTCTATATACTTAACATTCAAATTTGATTAAGAAGGAAAATACTCTAATGTTTTATGAACTCACATAAATAGATTCAATCTGTGTGATGGTATCGCTCTTAAAAAGATAAGGTAAACAAGATTACTTGATCGAAATGCATCCAATTTATCCTGGGAATGTTAATTAGTTTTAAAGTATTTCATACAAATTCAATTCAGAAGATGATAGAAGCATTTTTGGATATTCATAATATTATAACAAAGTAAGAAATGCACTATTGTTAATTGTATTGAAGTAGAATCAGATCTAATTGTTTGAATACTCTCTATTTGATGACTAATTCAGAGAGGCATCTACATACTCTTTATCTGAAAATAAAGTTCCTTTTAAGTGGAAAGTGTGGAAATCAGGTTACATAATCATCACATATGAGCAATTTTAAGTACTATTTAGCATAGGTGAGACTTTATATGAAATTTAAGAAATATATTGGTTTGATTAGCAACCTCTATAAATGATAACTAATTTTGATGGAACAGATTCTAATTACATATTGTAACAAAATATGAACTACACTAAAATATTTATTATTGAAGAAACTCAATATTAATATTAATCAAAATCTGTGAGATTAATTCAAAAGATCGATTTGTAATATTCTAAAATTGCTTTTCTTTTAGACGAAACTAAATTGATATTAATTTATGATCAATTTGAAATAGTAGAAGTCCATATTAAAAATATAATAATGGACTAATTTTAATTTTGTTAATATGCTATCGAGGAGTTACCTTAAATGAATTTATAATCTATCAAGTATTAATAATCATATGATACAAAAAGTTAATCATACTCAGATGAATCTGATGTTAAAGTAACAAAAGAGTGTACAATGCCTTGTGATCTAATATATGAACCTTTGAATATTTCCTTATTACCCTATAAATCGGAGTGTATATTTGAATCTTTGTATAATAATTTTTTACATGGTTGCAATAGATTTAATAGTTGTTATGCTTGTATGTATTAAACTGGTTGTGAGTGGATAGATGATATTTGTTAGACTCAATAGAGTTACGAGGGATTAGACTTAAATTAAGTGAAGGAAAGCTCAAAATGGTTTGTTAGTAAAAGGTTGAAGTGTGGCTAAGAAATAGAGTTTAATTAAACTTACTATGGGAATGTTTCAAAAGGTACGGTATTTACATTATTTCATGATGCAACTATTTTATAAGAATTTAATTTGGATTTTAGTTTATAAGTAGAATAATTATCAAACGTGAATTTTATTTAACAAAGTATATGCTTAGGAAATGATTTGATATAATTATGTGATGAAATATTGATTAATCATTTTAACTCTGTTTTTTAATTTAAAGGATATTATTTTAGAATAACTTTCGTAATTTTGGAGGATATAAAAGTGAATGATCTAACAATCACAATCAAGTCACCAGATTCTTTAATAGATTCAGAAATTTATCCAATTTAGAAGCTAGTAGGTTGGTTGAGTTTAACCATAATGCTTTTTGGAACTATCATTTATTTAGCAAATAAAAGAATGAATTATTTAATTTAGTTATCTCTTCAAAATAATCAGTAGAGATTAGATAATGACAGTCTCTGCATAGTAATAGAGTCGATGATTAAGGACAAAGTAATAGTAAAGGAGAGATTTTCATAATAGATTCTAAAATATGATGAAGACAAGTGTCCTTTCTGTATTGAGAAATACTAAATATAGCAGGATATCATTTAGATATTCTGCGGACATACTTTTCATTTAGATTGTTTTGAAGATTGGGTAAGAATTAATACAAAATTAGTAAGATGCCCTATTTGTAATTAAACGTAATATAATTATATATATTTAGGATTGAATATTTTTTAAAGAACAAAGAGCAATTTAAAAAATCAATCAATGTTTGATTATTTTGTAATCATTGATATTTATAATTGAATAATATAATACAATTAATTAATTTATAAATTAAAGTTATTAAAGTTCTTTTGTTGAATAAGATGAAAATGTTTCTAAATGATATCGCTAAACTATTGGTTGAATTGGATACTATTTTATATATCAAATTGGATTAAATTGATTAGATTAACTTAACTCCGTGAAATTTTACATATTTTAATTCGTACCTAATATCGATATCAACTTAAGAATTACTGCCTATGTTCAATTTTTTTTTGTGCCTAATTTAAACTTAATGCAATTTGGTGAGATTAAAAGTTCTGTCCATCTAATACAAGGGAGGAAACTAATAGCCGCAAAATTCATATTTTAAAGTTATTTCAATAAATTTTGTCAATGTCATTATTTTAGTTTATAGTTAACATTATAATAATTTAGATCTTATAAGTTTAAGATTATTCCTTTTTTGAAAATAATATTTTAGTTGGATCTGTCTACTAACATATTTTTAAAGTGTCAAGACCACTACAAATCTTGCAAAATGGATACACTAAATAATCAAATATGAGTCTTCATGCTTATGAAAATCTGAGTTCTTTTGAAACTCAAATAGGCATTAAGGATTATTGAACATACTTCACATATACATTACTCTCCTCTATCCTTACACGTAATAATAAAGATTATTTCTCGTTCCTGTAATCATATGGGATGTTTTCTAATGTTGAATCGTTAAAATATGATAATATACCTTAGTTCATGATTGAATCAATTTTGACAGTTCCTCATATTTTTATTATAGTATGTTAAATTAGGATGTTGATTTGAACATCCAACCGTTCCTTAATCAAATTCCTAAGGCCATCACTCTTACAGATCATAGCTTCAGCCTGGAGAATGACATGCTTCTTGGATGGGCTCCAAAAGTTGACTATAGTAAATTACTCACACTCAACTTTGCCAATCACTTAAACGACTCAATCATAGCCAAAGCATTACACAATAATCAATTAGTTTATCTTGGATTCAGACCAGAAGACACTGGGCAGATGCATAAATAATACTCAAATGGCTCATCCTATCCTTTCAAATAAATTAAAATATTGCAAAGAAAACCCCAATTACCATTTCTAGGCATGAATCCCAACCTGAGCAGTAGAATCATTTTCAATTCAACTTTTGAGAGTGGTAATTTAGATGTTGTAGTCAAGTGTTCTGAAACAGAATACGATTTGTATATGAGAGTAGATGGTAACACTAAAGGACATACCTCATGGTACAACTTTGAAATCACAGGAATGAAGAAAGCTGAAACTATTCAATTAAATGTGTGTAATTTTCGCAAATCACGTACTCTTTATGAAAGAGGAATGAAACCGTATTTATGGAGATCAACAAATCCAGAATGGTTGTAGGGAGGAGAATAAATGCAATATAAAACTCATCATCATTAACATTATAATTGCTTGTCTTTTAAATTAGTTTGCAATGGAGATAATGAACTTATAAAGGTTGCTTATTGTGTGCCATATACATATACATAATTGCTTGAATTTTGTTGGAACATGCAAAAAAACTGTAACCATGTTGAAAAAACAGTATTTTGTGAATCATTAAGTGGTATACAATTACCACTTTACACATTCAGCAATGGGAATAATTATTAGAACCAAAAATGTATGATAATTCAAGCTCGAATCCACCCTGGTGAATCGAATGGTTCTTGGGTTATGTAAGGATTATTAGAATTCCTGTCTAGTCAGTAGGGATTGAAACTGATCAAGAAGTACTGATTATTGATTATGAAATAGGTGTGTAATAAAGGTTGTACCTATGATGAATCCTGATGGAGTGATTTTGGGAAACTATAGAACAGGGATAGCAGGTAAAGATTTGAATCGCAGGTTTAAGTTGACAGATCAGATGCTGTTTCCTACAGTATGGGCAATGAAAAGATTAGTGAAAGAGTAGCATAGTATATTTGGGAACAATCTCATAGGATTCATTGATCTGCATGGTCATTCTGGTAAGAATAACAAATATATAAGTAAAAAAGAATGTATTTCTTTACGGTCCTGAATATCCATTGTGGAATTACAATTATTATAAGTGTAGAGTGTTAGCTAAACTATTGGGTTAGAAGACAGAAATGTTTCGATACTATTCTTCAATATTCAGAATAAGTCAATCGAAGAAGTCAACTGCCAGAGGAGTGTTTTTAGACTTGTATGACATAGTAAATTGTTTTACAATAGAATCATCCAATGGGAGTTATTATAATTCAACTTAGACCTTTGAATTTACATGCAAGCACTGGATATAGATGGGATGGATAATAGGAGAGGCATTGACTGAATTAGTTGAGATGCAAAGTGAGATGGATGTCATATACAATCAAAAAAATGATGAGACTAAAAGATCAAATCGATAACTAAAAAATTCATCATTCAACAAAAAAAGAAGTTTCACTGGTTATTAAGAAGATTAATGTTATTAATAATTTCAAAATACTAAGTTTGCTAATCTATTTGATGAACTTAAACAAGATGCTGATAAAATGAACATATCAGTATCAGAGAAAGAATCTGATTCATCTGATGATGATGGAAGTGAAACTTATTTGGAAGACATAAAATAATAATTATTACTGTCAGAAGACTTAACGAAATCGAGATACAAAGAAAAACCAATGATTTCTATCTTGCAACCTGTTTCAAAATCAAAAATAGAATAAAGATTTAGTCCCAGAATATAATAATAATAATAGTAATCTTCACAATAATCCATTCTGCTCAGCATTCAAAAAAGTGAAAAGAAGTTTAATAATCCTTCCAGATCTGCCCAGAATTCAATCATCAAAAAAGTCTCATCTAATTCATAATCCAAAAAGTCTACCAAAATAACTAATTACATCACCAACTTTGCAACTGGACAGAATTCAGCCACCCTTGTATTTTAAGAGGATTACAATCTTAATTAATTCCAACCATTATAATAATTAATGCATACCACTTTATAGAGACCATCTACTGCAAACTTGGAAGTCACAGAAGAAGACATCTAATTTCCTATTCAATCCTTTAATACATCAAATTACAATGTGTTTAAATAGCACACTAGATTACGAAGCAATATTACCATAAACAAGTAAATTAAGGATCAAAAAAAGTTGCAATCCAAATCCCATCAAACAACACCTCCTTTATTACAATAGATGGGTATCAATGTGAAGAATAAATTAAATACCTAAACTAATTTGGAACAACTAGGATTGAAAGTCAAACCATAGCATTTCTTGGCTCCAAAGAAATCAGAAGAACCACTAATAACGGATCTATCTAAAAACATTAATAGTATTATAGAGTCTTAAAAATCGACCAGACCTCCTAAACCTAATGTGCCTCCATCCTTCTACTCTGTAAAAAGGCATATGATGCTTCGACTGAAAAATTGATTAATTAATTATACATTTTTTCTATAAGTAGACAATAATATATAAAAATTAACTGATGAAACAATATTCAAAAGAGAACAGAAGACCAAATCACCTTAATATCACTAGTAAAACACCTAGCAGATTGCAAACTACTCGTCTCTTGCGAGTTCATTCACCAAGCACCTCACAAAGTCCATTTAGATGCATTGATAATAAAATAGCTGTTGTTCATAATTTGCCACCTTCTACTATGCCAAAATCTCCAACTTCATAAATTACCTATTTTAAGAGAAAGAAGAGCAAGTAAGAAGACATGCTTGATGAAACTATAAGCAAATTGAGTTTTTTAGAAAAAAAGATAGCTCATATAATGGAAAAGAATGACTAATTAAGATCCCAACTTAAAAAGACAGAAACCGATTCAGTAGAATCATATTCATATTACTTAAGTGGACCCACAAGATCCAATAAGTAATCTAATTGTATAAGTTAACATACATTGCAATCTTATATGAATTCTGTTAAACATACAATTCACACTACCCATTCTCCAATTGATAGTTCGAGGTTGCAAGACAAGATGATTTGTCATCACAGAACTTATAGTAAAACACCATCAGTGGGGAAATTCAAGAAATCCAACATAACCATCAGAGAGGATGTTTAGAATGGGAGAGGTAGAAAAGTATATGAAAATGGATTTGTTTATGAGGGTGACTGGGTTAATGGAATGAGACAGGGCAATGGAACTTTGAAAGACTTTTATTAGAATATAGTATATTAAGGTTAATGGTAGAATGATCAATTTTCAGGAAGAGGAAGATTTGTGAATCAAGATTACTAAGAGGATGAATTTAAATTGTTGAACTTTAAATAGTTTAAATTAGTTTAACATCAATTCACTTCTTATGAGGGAGAATTTAGAAATGGATAATTTCATGGTCAAGGAGTAATGAATTTTAATTGCAAGGGAGAAGAGTTTAAGTTCGTTGGAGGGTTTGCTTTGGATGCCTTTCATGGAGTGGGTTCGTTATCTCAAGATGAGTGTGTAATATTACAAGGGAAATGGATTTATGGATGTTTTGTTTGATTTATTATATTATTTAATGAACTTGATACCTGAAACAGATAAAATAGATATGGCTTATTTAAAGTCTGAGCGCATCGGGAAGGTCATTACAAAAGGGTTGGCTGAGTTATATCGAGTGAAACCGCAATTCCCAATTGAGTATTTGGCAAAGTGGTTGTTGAATCATAATCGAACAGAGTCCAATAGAGGGTCAATGCAAGATCACATTACTTATAAGGAGGCTTTAATGTAATTAATAGAAATAATTTAGAGAGCAACAGAAGAAGGAATAAGAGGTTTAAGAAGAGAAAGATCGCAGAGAGAAACAGTTACAAGATGAAGAAAATCTGAAGGAATTGGAATTTCAAAATATTATCAAAACCCATGAATTCCACTAAAAATTATTGGTCAAAGACTTTTGCAATCATCTCCAAAAGAAGGGTCTTACAGGAGTCTATGTAGGATATGTTGATTTCCCAAATAAATAAATTAATGAAAATGATGATGATGAAAATGCTCATCTTGATTCAGAATAACCAAAATTGATTAAATATATAGGAGCCAACGATGATCATAATTTCATGATTGGTCAAACCCTCCCTCTAAATGAAGTAGGAATAACTGGTGAAGTATTTAGAGAAATTCCACCTCCAGAAGAAGGACAACAGCCTTAATCTCCCATAATTTACATCCCAGATGTGACTAAAGAGTAGAGACTAATCTATTTTAAATGGAAAAAGTTAGGGGCATTCTTAGCAATTCCACTTATTTATTAATCGTGCTTGTTTCCAGCGTCATTAGATGCAGGTATTGAAGAGAGATTGAGATTCAAAAAAGCAGATGTGGAAAAGAAATTAGAGAAGGAAAATAAAATTAATGAATTCAATGCTAGACTCAAAGAAGCCACAGAGACTGAACAAGATCCCACTCCCATTCAAGAAGAATTAGATCAATATTTAGCCAATTGGCAAGATGAGAGTGAAGCACCATTCCAATCTTAAAAACGATAATTCGTTGTATGTTTTGATACTTTGGGCAAAGATGTTGAAATCAGTTAGCAAGATAGATAATACTTTGAGGATTATGTGAATTTGTTTGCATAAAGTTGGAATTAAATGGAGAGCAAATTATTGTCAGAAGACATAGATCATATGATTGCTTATTAAGAGTAAGGAGTTAAGGAGAGATCAGAAACGTTGACAGTTTAAGAAGAATAGGCTGTGGAATCTTAACAATCTTAGTATGAGGATTTAAAGGAAAGAGAAAAGGAACATTAATTTGCATTGCTATCTATTAGAGCTAACACCGTTGCTTAATAAATTCAACAATTGCAATAAGAATTGTTTTCTTTGAAACAAGTCAGAGTACTTAAATATCCTGGTCTATTATTGGCTTTAATGCTATTCCTAAATTATAATAAAGAGAATCTACTGGAAAAGGGTACTAATCAACTTGATTGGACTGGAGTCAAACATTACATTTGTGAAGACTTGATTCAAAAAATACTTGATTATGAATATAGAGGAGCTAGAACTGAAGAAGTGCCAAAACATGCTAAATTGAATAGAATTTAAAAGAGAATCAGCAAATTCACAGTTGAACAAGTAGAAGAGTACAATGTTTGTTATGCTAAAATTTTGAAATGGATGCAGTACATCATCAAATTAAGAGTTCTAGATATTGAAATCAGAAGAGAAAAGATTGCCAATCTTAGAAAATTGATTTAGGAAACAACTGAGTAAGTTGCAAAAATCAAAGAAGTAATTTATTTGTCAATTTCTTTCTTTAGGAGAAAGAATAAAAGTTTGAAGAGTATAAGAATTCTATCCAATAATAAGAAGACCAAGAACCACCAAATAGAGAAGAATGGGAACTTAAATATGATGAAGAGCATCCCTTACCAAAAATACCTGAAGATGTGCCAGATGATGTTGATAATGATTTTGATGAAGAATGATTAAGTATAAATTACATTTATGAATCATTTGTCTCTTAATATCTTGTAATACATTTTAAACATCAATAGATAGAGTGGATTTTTTATGCAATTCTTTCTTCATTAAATGTTGATTATACTTCAACTATTTTCCTTCTTGACACCTTTATGACGAATAAAATTTAAATCAATCTTAAATAACTCTTAATAAAATTAGCTTAATTAAAATATTCAGCTAACGTATTAACCTCCTTTAATTAGCCTCTTTAGTTTATTTTATTTTTAGGCAAATTTTTAAACTCTAATTATCCATATACTACCTCCATATTTTTCAACATCCATTGTCAAACAATTTTGAAATAAATAAAATTATCCATATGATCATTTTAATTGTTCATGTTCTTATTTGAAGGAGCTAAGAAATGATTATGAAATCTCTTCATATTATATTTCGTAATATAAATATATTAATGTATGGATTATTAATTAGAAGTTGTCAGTTTGTCCGAGTGGTTAAGGAGGCGGACTCGAAATCCGCTGGGTTTACCCGCACAGGTTCAAATCCTGTAGCTGACGAATTTTTTATTTTTTTTTGTATTATTAAACAATAATTCATCTTTCTTCTCCTTTTCTTACACTTTCTACATAAATCTTTCGCATTTCTTCAAACAATTCTCTTTCCCTGTATTCTTGACACTAAAATATTAAAGGTTTTATTTACTCTCACAAATATTTGCTACTTTTTTGCACAATTACTTAGAGCACTTGCAAATGGCAATGAATGTATCAATTTGTTTTCAAAAAATCTGGGATTGTGTCTTAGACATTATTGGTAGTACACGTATTCATCTACGCATGAATCTTATAAATAATATGGCACTTTATATGAGTCAAGTATATACTCTGGTTATTTACTCATATTAAATTTAATAATAAATTAATTTATCATGTTGATTTCCAATCATAACCAAAGGAATTATTGTCTATTATTGTTCAATTTGTTTCCTTTGGTGATATTTGTTATTTAAATAATAAGGATCAGAGTAAAAAAAAATGAAAATAATAACTCATTAGCAAATAAGATCAAAAAATATACAAATAAAAAAATTTTGTTTTAAAGATCTTCAATTCAAGCTTGGTGACTCTTATCCAATTGGATTATAAATAATGTTAGATAGTATTAATATTCCAGAACACTGATGTCTTTTATAATTTCATAAACTAACTAAACTGTTCTTTTGAATGAATATTGTATCATTTAGATATACTAGATTTGCAAGAAATTTGTCTCTTTTGTTCAATTGATTCTTTAAATTTTTGTATTGGCATTCTCCTAGCTTCATTGTATTAGTTAGAAAATAGGTTTTATGTTTGAAAATCTCTATATTTATTCAATCATAAATATACTACTATTGGTATCTACTTTTGATCTCTTTCAAATTACTTATATTTGAGAACAATTTATATTGATTAATATATAGAAATCATAAACAAATGAAATTATTACATCATAAATATTCTTTATAAGATTTAATTTAAATTTACTTAATTTTCTTGGAATTAAATAGATTTGGAAGAAATAGAAAAGTTGTTGCAACTAAATATAAACCTAAATAACTGCATGACCTTTGAAAGGAAAAGAACTCATCCAAAACTCCTGAAAATACTGGACCTAAAAAATCTCCAGTTGATATCACCGCATTAAATAAACCAGATGCTAAGGAGTTACATTTATCGTGATCTGACTTTTGAAATTTCGCTTATAATTCTTCTGTAATTTTAGGGAGAGCCATAATATAAGGTGGCGCAGAAAAAAATCCAAATGTAGCTTAAGCACTAACAGTTATGAAAATCTTGGGACTGATATTCATTAGTGGATCTGGACCCATAAAAAATTATGCTATCGACACAAAAACCATCCCTATAAAAATAGCTTTTGATTTATTCACAGTAATTCTTGATACAGTCAATGCTCCAACACTATAGGCTAATGAAACTGCAGACATGTAAAAGCCTACATGTTCTGGGGGAATGTTAAAATTCTCTTCAAAATAAATTGCATAAGTTGGATAATAAAATGTAAAAGTGATACATAATGCTAACATCACAAATAATGATGATGATACGGGGAAATATTTGATAAGGTCATAATAACCAATTGATGCATCAGTTTCCTCATTTTAAAATAGTGTTGTTGATGGACTTTCGATATCGTATATATCAGAGATGACAGGTTCGTTAATTTCATTAATGGCTTTTTTTTCCTAATTCTCAAATTGTAATTTAATTATTATGGCTATGACAACAGAAAAGGAAGCAAAAAGTAGAAATGGAAATGAAAATCCTCCTAGTGTATATAAGACTGATCCGATTACTGGACCACATAAATAACCAAATGAGGAAAAAAATTCTGTTGTAGCCATTTTTTAATTGATTGAATCTGCATATCTCTATGTAATAATGGCATAAAGCGGGGTTACAAATGTTTATGCTCCCTATAATCTTTATAATATATTTACAAATCCACTTATAAACCTTCCTAATAAAGAAATTGTAATAAATATTGTTCTATTAGTCGTAAATGTTAAAAGTGGATAACAAAACATTCCAATAGATTGAATAAGCATTCCTAAGGATAAAATATTGGCTTGGTTGTTCTTTATATAAATAAGTACAAAATCTTACTTTATTTAGAATTTTTCCAACAATTAAGGAAGACAATATTCCTCCTATTGGATTAATACCAAAAATTAGACCTAATAAGGATCCTGATACATCAAATTTTTCTGCATATGTTGGATAAAAGGGAGCTATTAATGATAAACCAAGACAACAGATAAGATTTCCGATATTCAGCAATGAAAATTCGGAGAGCAATTTCATTTAATTGAATATGTTAATAATTTATTTTCCATATAGATAATTCATCAATTTAAAAAAAAAATTAATTTAAATTGTGAAATTTTTATTTACATTAATTTATAATCGAAAAAAACAAACAAAATCTAAGCTCATAATCCAATAAAATTAAATTAATACACACAATATCCAATTTGAGTCAATTACTACGATTAGTTATGGAAACTCTTAAAGCTGAAAGAATTAGGAAAAATGTTAAATTTAAAGTTTTTCATTATTTGGTATTGCTTCAACATCATGCTTATCTGAACTTATAATTTGGAAAATATCATATAAGGAGAAGCAAACAAACTTTAAAAGTAAAGTCTAAATTTATCATACTTACTTTATATTAAGCTACAATAAAATTAATCTTTGAGAGGGCTTTTTAGAAATATTACCCTAGAAAAATAATAGCATAATAACGAATCTATAACCAGGAGATGAAGATATGTGAGAAAAATAAAAGTTAAATTTCTCTGTTTCAATTGTTTGAATTAGGTTTATAAATAATTGAAATTAAATACAAAATTCATATTAATACAATGCTTATTCATCATGACTTTTATGAAATGAGGCATTATGAATTGAAAATAATTATAACATAATATTGTATTGATAAACTAATTTTTCCAAAGAGAATAAATTATAATATAATTAAATTAATAAATATATATATAAGTTTTCATTCTAAGCTTTCTGATATTTGTTTTAAGGTCTAAAGAATCTAACTGGAATTTGGTCGTTTGAATGGTTCTTATTACCAACAACATCTTATTAAAGTTGCTATATTTGAATTAAATGATTCTGGAATTTTGGGCCTAGATTACTATTCTTTAACTAGTTGTACTATGTCTTTTTGTGGCATATTCTACATAGGAAATATATATTTACAAAAAAGGGTGCAGTTTCTGTAAATAAATGATAGAGAATCATTCCAAATGAATATATATCTGATTCCTTTATGGCCATCTAGGAAACTACACTTCCTCTATCATTTAAACATTCAGGTGCCGTAAATCCATTCTTGTTGCAATATCCATTAACCAAACTAGCATATTTTTTAATAGCTCTTAGTCCATAATCAACAATTTTTATTTTAAATTTATCTGTAAATAAAACATTATTGGAGTTTAGATGTCCATGAATGATATTTTAGTCATGCAAATTCTGGATTTCCTTAATCAGATCAGTAGCAATATTAACTCGAATTGATAGTTATTTATTAGTGTAAGAGGTAGTAATAACCTTTATTTGTTCATTTCCAATATCTGTATTTTTATGAATAAAGTTATTTAAATTTGAATTTGGATAAAATTTAGATAAAAGATAAATACTAGATTCATTACAATCAAACCAAAATAATTTATATCCCTTTCTAATGTTATTGATCGTTTAAATTTCTTATTTTGTTTCGTCAATTAAAAAAGTGCTAAGTTCTTTAAATTACACAACTCTTAATGCATATTTCTAAGAGTCTTTTTGCAAAGTTGCAATTTTAATTTCTCCAAACCCATTATATTTTCTAAAGAATTATCTATCATTGATTTCTAAGTCCTTTAACTTTAAGTTAATAAATAAGGAGTAATCTTTTGTTGTATTTTTCGTTGGAACTATCCCCTACGTCTACTATTATTGATCCATATCACCAGAAAAAGCTTCTACACTAATAATTTAATTTATTTTGATGTGATCAAGCAGTAATGCACTCAAAAAACTATTAGACATTGCCATCAAAACAGGAATAATTTAAACAATAATAATATCACCAACTATAAACAAAATCAATAAAAGCTATTCGATAAAGGTTACTTCTAATTTTCCACCCATTAAAGCTATTAAATCATCATTGTAAACAACAACTATTACATTAACAGCCAATTAAGGAATTCTTAGTAAAATCCATATCCATAAAAGTTATTGTATTTTATTGTTACTCTTTTCATACCTGTTTGAAACAAACGGTGATCCAGAGAATTTAATATTTAGGTACAAAACCATTATTATCACAATTATTGGAACAGAAGCATTAACAGCTATATCACATATCATTATTGCTTTGGGTGATAATTCTTAAGCCATGAATTGCCATATCACAATAGCTTAGCCTATGATGTATAAGTATAATATTAGACGCACTTTGGAATTTCCTTGTTCTGGATTCCAGTTCCTTTTTCCTGATATTAATGATTTTTTTTACCAATATCAATGCTACCAGTTTTAATTCTACCGTGATGCATCATTATTAAGAACTGCCAAAATAATGAGAAGTAAATCACAAAAAATATAGCATCTGGAACATAGATAGTTTGAAAGAATATAATGCGGAATGATTCTGTTTATGACTAATCATCTTTTTCTTTCTTTATTGCTGTAATGACCTTTGAAATAAGTTCAAAATACTTCATATAAATAGAGTAACTAGTATGTAGCTTGATCACAGCAGATTGCCAATATAAACAAATAAAAAACTTTTGGGAAGAATTGTCTACATTTCCAAGCCTTCCATAAACAAGGTATGCTATATAAAGCCAGGAATATAAAAATCAAACCCAACAATAGATATGCAATGCTGAGTAAGTAAGCTGACTCTTATACATTGTCATCCATTTATAATGTAATTAATTATATGCTTGAATATTTATCAGAAAATACTCAATTCATTGAATCTTTTCCAACAAACACAACGTTAGCTTTAAATGACAGATCAAATCTATTACTATTTTAATCGAGTTAACAATATTTTTAATACAGAGAAAATGCGACGGATTAGACATTCCTATCGCATCCATAGAATATTTGATGAATATATATAGATATATATATGGAAACAGTCATTTTTTAACTTACAGATTAGTTTCCTTCCAAATTTTGCATGTGTTATCTTTAGATCCTGTGATTATGATATCTCCTTCATAATTGAATGCACAACTAAATATTTCATCAGTGTGACCTTCCAATACTTACAAACATTCTCCAGTTTCTGAACTGAAAAAGATTAAGATGAATTTTACAATATTCTAGCTGTATTATCTGCACTGGCAGTAATGATTTTGTTTCCCGAGGGATTGAAAGCAACTTTAGAGATTTCCCCTTTGTGTCCTAAGAGTTGGGCAACACATTATCCAGAATTTACATTGTATAGTCTTCCAGTTGCATCAGCTGAGACTGTGACTAATCTGGTTCCTTAGAGATGATAGATGAAAATAGAAACCTGTGGAATTGAAGCAGATATCTTGTACTTCATCTTAATGTCCTCGAAGTGTTTCTATACATTTTCCTGTTTTGATATCCCAAATTTTACAAGTTCTATATAAATATATAAGTTAGATTACTTATCTATTGAACCAGTAGCGCAATAGTCTCCTGTAAATTCAAATTAAGTACTTGAAATCTCACCTGTGTGTTCATCTAAAATGTGTATACATTCACCAGATCTCACATCCCAAATCTATGATGTGATGAATACGCCTTACCATTGCAGTTTTATCAAATGAACCTGTAAGCAATTTATCGCCATCAGAATTGAAATGCAAACTGACAATTTCACCTTCATGTCCATCCAATCTAGCTATTTATTTTCCTGTTTCAACATCCCATAACCTTGCAGTTTTATCCATTGAACCTGTTGCCACAAGTAAGGAATGAGGATCAAAGGAAATACAAACTATTTCATATTAATGTCCAACAAGGGTCTATAGACACTTTCCTGAAGTGGCATCCCAAATTTTAGCAGTTTTATCAAAAGAGCCTGTCACAACGCGATCCCTATGGAAATAACGATTATAGACTACCCAAAGGGGTTGTTGAACGCTATGCAATATACGACATTCTTATGACCTTCCAAAGAGACCAATTATTCTCCTGTGAAAGTGTCCCATACTTTACAAGTTCTATCATAACTACCTGTGATGAATCTACATAGTGGAATCATTACTTGTCCCCGTTCTTGTTGAATGCGCAATTTGTTAGAGGCAACATGTGTGCTTTGAGAGTCTTGAACAACTCAAATGATTGCTCCTTCTTTGATTCGATCTTTTCAATTAGTTCTAAATTTAATTAGTTGATACTGCGAATCAATGCTGCTAGTTATGGCTTTCTATTTTCTGAAATGATCGGTTCCTCCATCACAATTTCATCAACCAGCTGATCTACATCAGTGCTATCGATAAATTGCTATCCTTACTCATTGCTTAGATTTAACAAATCAATAGACTTAGTCTCCTATTCTCCATTACTGCGAATGTACTCTAGAATGATGCCAGGAGGGTAGTATCTCAAGAGAAACCTCTTCAGCTTCATATTTAAATTTAATTATATAAACAAATCCCCTTTACCCACATCTATAAATAATATTAATTAAAATGGACGACGTAATCCCAGTTGTGGTTATAGATAATGGATCAGGATACATCAAGGCAGGAATCTCAGGCGATGACGCTCCAAGAGCAACTATTCAGACGGTTTTGGGAAAGTATGCTTGATTCTTAATTTATTTTAACAGACCTAAGCAGCCGGGTCAAATGGTTGGCATGGATCAGAAGGACACTTACATTGGAGATGAAGTCAATTCTAAATTGGAGTATTTCAAATTTCCTATACTATAGAGTATTGAATGTAACTTACCCCATTGATCATGGAATTATTACTCGTTGGGATGACATGGAAAAGATTTGGCATCATGCTTATTACAATGGTAACTAAATTCATTAAATTAGAATTGAGAGTTTCTCCTCAAGATCATCCTGTCTTAATGTCAGAACCTCCTCTCAATCCAGCAGCCAACAGAGAAAAAATGATTGAAATCATGTTTGAAAAGTTCAATGTCCCATCCTTCTACCTGGCAATTCAATAGGTTTTAGCATTATGTGCATCTGGAAAAACAACTGGTTTAGTTGTGGATTCTGGGGATGCTGTCACAGAAACTGTTCCTATTTATGAAGGCTTTGCATTGTCTCATGCTGTGATGAAGATCCATCTTGCTGGAAGAGATTTAACTGATTATTTAATAAAATTGATGGCAGAATAAGGCAAGGAATTCTCAAATCAAAAGGAAACAGAAAGAGAAAACGCCAAAGACACCAAGGAGAAAAAAGTATAATATTGTTACTATCATAGTGCTATATTGTTGGAGACTTCGAGGCTGAAATGAAAATCTATTAAGATTCTGGAAAAGAAATAGTTCATAGAATGCCAGATGGAAATGATATCACTTTGGGAAGTCAATTATTCAAATGCCCAGAAGCTTTGTTTTAGCCTATTAAATTAAGCAAGGAATTTTAAGGAATTCACGAACTTACATTCTAATCCATCATGAAATGTGACGTTGACATTAAAAAAGTAAGTGATCATATTTATTACTAGGATTTATATGGAAACATTGTTTTAGCAGGAGGTAGTACTATGTTCAAAGGAATGAAGGATAGATTATAAAAAGAAGTCATTGCCTTAGCACCCTCAACTATGAAAATTTATGTTTAAGAACCACCAGAAAGAAAATACTCAGTTTGGATGGGAGGAAGTATTTTGGCTTCCTTAAGTTAATTTTAACCCATGTTTATTACTAAAAATGAGTATCAAGATTACGGCACAGGTTATGTGCACAGAAAATGCTTCTGAATTTATTATTTAATTTTAAAATTTATATTATAGATTCTTTATATTTGTATGGAGGACTATTGAAATTCATTTTAATAATTAATATAAAATAACGAAAATATGAGTTTATCTTAAAGATCATTTCATCCAATATTGGTAAATTGGTAAAAATCCATTTTTTAATTTCTTTTACTTTTGCGATTAAAATTTAAATGTTTTCTATTTTATTTTTATATCAATAGATAGAAGTTATATAATGTAGTATTTAAGGTTTGTATACAAAATTATATCTGTATTAAAAATATGCAATATTAAATATATTATTATTCTTAGGTGAGGCAATTAAGAATGAAATTTAAGGAAAAATCCAAAAATCAAATTTACTTTATTGTAATTTTACAAGCCTGATGTTCATTGAAGTAATGTTTTCTTAACAGAATTTTTGGCTATATATCGCCAAGTATTTTGACTTATTTTCTTTATAGATTAAAATTTTGAATAATGAATGTCTAAAGTTTTTGAATAATTTATATTCTAATATAATCATCTAAAATTTGATATTTAGAATAATAATTTGATAAGTAAATGTATTTTCTCCTAAAATCACATAAGTTTCAGGTATATATTCAACATTATTAAGTAGTTACTATTTTAGAATAGAGATTACACTATCTTTCATTATTTTTAAGGATTCAAGAATTCTAATTGTTATTTTTATCATATACTTGTCCAGGCGTTTAATTTAGCTTATTGTAAAAATATATAAATTTTTGATTGCAACCTTTTATAAAGAAAGCATAAGAATAAAATATCTATGGAGTGTTTTCATAAGGTTCATAGGGTTGATTCAAAGAGTATAACTTTCCTTGCTCAATTTTCATTATCTCTTATGAATTAGGATTCAAAAATCTCAAAGATTTTAATTTTTTTTCTTGATTTATTGAATAAATAAAATCTGCAATTTATTTTCTAATAGTTTATTGTCATTATGCTATGATTTTGTACTTCAATTTAAAATATAATGTATGAAGATATTTTTAGATAAATAGAATTTTTATTTATCATGCTTTATAACAAAATGTAAGAAGAGATAGATATTTTACTCCTTTATTTTTATAAATTGGATTCTAACGATAAGTTGTAAATCAAAATTTATTTTTCTATTTCTTCCTAACTTTTTGGGGATCAGAATTTTGTATTAAAGAATAAGGCATTTCAAAGTAAAGTTTAGAGTTTGAATAGCAGCATTGAAATTTCTATAACAAGCTAAAACGTTGATTATCTCCTATAAAAGTAATATTTCAGGAAATATTATAAATCTTATCCTGCTATGAATATTATACTACTTTAAATAAAACTAGGCTCTCCTTGTATTTTTTTAGGTAAATTTAGCTCTAAAATATTTCTATTTATCTTTTAATTTATATTGTCTAACTGTGTTAATATTTTTAAAATTCATAATTGTATTAATTTATTAGTTTTATAATTCAATCTGCTGCATGTCAACTTATTCTCGGTTAATTGCTCATTAAAGTAAAAAAAAGTTTACTCAAAATAAAATGATTATTTTTGTCTCTTGATACTTTTATTAAATTTAATTCCTTACTATTAGAATTCTTCATTTTAGTGTTAAATATCCTCCTCTATTTGATTTAAATAACTATATTATGAGAACAGTCTAGCAACCATGGATCTAAATTCATATTTCGTTTAATATGTGTTATTTCTTATAATAAAATAAAATATTTGATGATTTCTACTAACTTTCGCAACTTAAGTATTCTTTTTCTTTATTTTATTTTATTGCAAGAGGAAATATATACAAGGGGATATCATTTATTGTAAAAATAGTTTATAATCCATAGTTTTAATTATACTTTTGCTTAAGTCAATTAAAGCAACGAATAATATAAAAAATAACATAATTATTTAGTAATGGTTTCAGTATTAGCAGGTTTCTTTAATATATTATAGAAGGTATTGCAAAACTGGATATTTTTGGATAAATGGTGTTCTTGAGGATAAATAAGCAAGCTTACTATAAGACCATTTTGGGAGGTTGTGCTTCAATTGGAGTGATGGCAATTATGATGACTATTTTCATCACAAATTTTATTACCTTTATATAGAAAGAATAGTTAAAAGTAATTACAATTTCAGAGTACGATGATAAAGTTGATCAGATAGCTTTCAATAACTCTAACTTCTTATTCGCTGTTTAGATTGAATAAGATAATTTTATTGAAAACCCGTATTTTAATATAACTTTGAATTAAAAGTAGCCTATAATTATAATCATAGAGTTTATTCTCGAAGTTAATAAGGAGATCTTTAAAAGAGGACTGAATCAATAGAATTAGTTCCATGTACACTGGATCGTTTTAATTAAATTTTTGCTGAAAACAATGTCAATTTCCATTAATAATTTTAATAACTTGAATTATAGAATTTTCTCTGCCCATCGTATTGATATTATTGTTATATGTATATTAGGATAAATTCAGAAATTCAAATTGGAGGAACCTAATCAAGTATGTATCTTGTTTGACAATAATTAATAGGCACCTTGTTTCAATTTATTGATCTGTCAGTTTCAGAATGCTAAAATAATTCGACTAATCAATGGAAACCTATTTGTCGTGAATAAGATTAACACACATTCAAAATTAAATTACTCACAGTCAATTAAGTAAAACAACACACATATGAATAGATTATAAACCCTTATAAGTCCAAAGAATCTTATGTTCAACCGTTCATAGATGATTCATTTTCTTTTTCATTCAACATCAATTTAACTAAATCTATTAATGCTTTCATTACTAAATTTGATTTTCTTAATGACGAAAGTTTACTTCCTATAAGGTAAGTTGAACTTACTATTAAATTTAGTATGATTGAAGAAAAGTCTTTTTATGTATTGGACCCAACTGATGTATAATAAGATTACACTGAGAGAATAGATGACTCTTTTGTTAAATTATTATTTCGCAAAAAGCCATTCAAAACTAGATTTTAGAGACAATATCAAAAAATAGATGAGTTACTTTCCAATATAGGAGGTATTCTATAAATATTCTCCTTTTTTATTGGACTATTAGTGACTATATATAATAGAATTAACTGTATTTTTTATTTGACTTTAGATATGGTCGAATTGGGAAATAAACTATATGATTTTAGCATTGATGATTCAGACCAAAAGAAAATATATCATGACAATCTATAAATTCTTGTTGAAACTTAAACTAGTGGCCTTAATGCCCAGGATTCCTAAATATACCAAAAAATGTAATAGGCAATTATCGCAGATAATGAAATTAGAATAACTGACAGTTAGACATAACCACTTAAATAAGACTAAAGTAAATAATTATAATATCCTTAGGATTATCAACTAAATTATGTTGCTCATCTGGATTAGATTACTTTTAAACTTAATTACAAAAAATGTTTTAGAAAAAGAAACCCATAAATTTAGACTTTCAAATATTTTTTAATTTTATTTCTTGTGGCATGTTATTTAGTAAGATTCCAAAGGTTTAATTAATGAATAAAGCATAGTAATTTGATTTATTAATTCTAAGTGATTAAATCATTCAGCAATCAGACATATACTCATTGTTGACTAGGTTGAATGAAATTGATAAATTGAAAGAAGTATTATTATCACCCAAGTAATTGGTCATGTTTAATTTTACCCCAAAACCTTTAATTACTTTAGAAGAGGAAGATCTTAAAATCAATAGAAACATGGTGGAAAACTAACTCAAAACTCCGTAAGATAAGTATTAATGTGTTTTTATCGTATCAAGTAAAGAAGAGATGTTAGTTTATACAAGAATGATGATGAAATAAAAAAGATAAAATAAAATTGGAATGAATCATGAATCAATTAGAAAAAAGAAAAGATCTAGTTTTATTCCATAGCCTCTTAATAATTATGTGTATTAATAAATCTATAATGTAAAATTGGAAACTACAATTTAGGCATATGAAGAGATTGTCAAAAGGAAACCTGGATCATCTTCGGAAACTCTGAATTCGCAACTTATTTCAATGTTAGGAGCTGAATTAGAATTAATTTATTAAGTCTGTCAAAAAATCGATTAGGATGTAAGACCATTTGCTAAATACCATCAAAAATTAAAATCGTCCCTTTCTTAGAAAAGGAGTTTAATTAAACAAGATCTTGAAAAATAAAATGATAGCCCTTGAAAATAAGTTGACTCATATTTCGAAAATATACTAAAAATAAATTTAATATTAAAATAATCTGTTTATCTCTACTTCTTAACCATTTTTTTAGTCTTATAATTTAAGTATGTATATTAAAATTTAGAAATTTTGAGATTAAATAATTATCAAAGTATATACTTCCTAATAATGTGCTCCAATTTTTGGATGTCTGTAGGTTTCGAAATTCTTTCTTTCATTCCACATTAACTCGCAATCAGAACATCATCGTCACCAGAATACGCTGAATACATAGTAATTATACATTTTTCATTGAGAGAATTTTACATTAACTTTTAAGATATCTAAATTGATGATATTTTATAATACTTCCGAAGATGCTTGAAACCCATTCTTCTATGGCATTTCTATATCCATAAAAATTAATCGATAAGTCTGGCAGCATTATTATTTCAATCTCTGTTCTACTAACTCTATAGCCGAATTGCCATTATAAGCGCTATCAGTTTTCACTTTAAATTTTTTTAGTAAAACCTAAAGTGCGATATGATTACAAATTATATCATCAACAATCAATATTTTACTGCAACTACAATTATTTTCTAGCATAGATAATTAAAAGCCCATCTAAAATTCTGAAGAGTAATTTTCAATAAAATTTGATAATCTAAAACTTATTTTAGTGTATTAATTAAATGTAGATTCTATCTAAAACTTTTGCTCTTTATATAAGTAATCTGAAAGTAACATCGAGATTCTCAATCCCAATCCTAATTTATTAGAATGGTATTAAATGGAGTCTTGGAATAACATTTCTGCCTATTCTTCAATTTTTTCTATGATTTCATCCTTTATACCTTATCCATTATCATATACAATGAATTTCAATTGATCTTTATTTATCTCTGATGATACTTTAATTGTCCCTCCTTTATTTGTAAATTTAACCGAATTATCAAGTAAATTAATGAAAACTCTCAGCAATCTCTCTTTATCTGTATGCAATCTGATTTAATGATCATCCTCGATCACTAGTTAGATCTACTTCTATATACATTCGAAATTAAATAGTTCTTACAATTATTAATATATTTCCTCCAATTTAAAGTAAGATTTATTTAGAGTTAAGGCATTGCACTAAATCTAAGCATAGTCCAAAATATCATTTAATTAGTATTATAATCTCTTAGTTGATACAATTGCAGGATTTAAATGTGATTGAATTAAATCAGTAATCAATTCGTCTTTTAATGCAAATAATTAAGAAATGACACCATTAATTGGAGTTCTTAATTCATGACATAATGAATTTAAAAGGGCTTATTGAAATTTATATTTATGATTAAGCAATTTAAGTTCCTCTCTCTTTGTAATGTTTTCTAATAAAAATAAATAGACATTTTGTTCCCATAATCCATTCCCATCAATTTAAAAAATCTTTAGTTTTAAACTCTTATATTTAGATTTACAATAAGAATTTTCCATAGAATCTAATCTTAAAATAAACTAAAAAGTTTCCCTGGAAGCAGCTGTTTATTAACTTTAGTTGATCTTCTAAAACTTTTAAAATATTGACTTTAAATTTCCTTCCTACTAGCTTTCATTGTCCATTCTAGATTGGGACCCAAAATTATAATATTGAGAAGCTAAATCCGATATCTACTCATCATTTTATCTTTTTTATAGATTAATGGAAGGTTGTTGGTGAAAATATGATTTTTTTGGGGATTTACTCAAAGACTTTTTAATTTTTTTTGCAGAACGTACTTCTTAAATTTCTCCACTTCTGTTATAATCATTTATATTATTTACTTTTTAATGGCTTCATCTAGAAATGGAATTATTTTATTAGGATTTGTAATTCCTAACAATGAAGTCACTTTTTAATTATATTCTAAAATCGTTAGCTGTTAATCAACAAAAAGGATTCCAAAGGGAAGATTACTCATTATTGCAACTAAATCGGAATATTTAGAGTCCATATTGTTTTCTATCTTTATAGGTTCTTGTTAAGGGGAATCGGAAGAGTTTGTTGTTGTTTTCCACACATTTATAGGTTTTTTTATGATAATTCTTTGTTCAATAGTATTTTTGTTAGTGCCTATTGATTTATGTTCTTATTATATTCTAGGAGATTCAAAATTATAGTCTATTTAATTAACAATTACACTCTCATTCAAATCACATTTTAAATTATCTTATTTGCTTTCGTTAGATAAACATATCACTTATTCTTATGAATTCTGTTAAATTATTAATTAAGCTTGAGTTTACTGTGAAAATGATTTTTTTCTTAGTGAATAAAATATATAATGATTTAAAGGTTATTGGAATATTATCAATAACAAATATTGGATTCTATAATCTGAATAAGCAATTATTGCTCTAATTACCATGTATACTAATACTAAGTGTANATTAATATATTTCCTCCAATTTAAAGTAAGATTTATTTAGAGTTAAGGCATTGCACTAAATCTAAGCATAGTCCAAAATATCATTTAATTAGTATTATAATCTCTTAGTTGATACAATTGCAGGATTTAAATGTGATTGAATTAAATCAGTAATCAATTCGTCTTTTAATGCAAATAATTAAGAAATGACACCATTAATTGGAGTTCTTAATTCATGACATAATGAATTTAAAAGGGCTTATTGAAATTTATATTTATGATTAAGCAATTTAAGTTCCTCTCTCTTTGTAATGTTTTCTAATAAAAATAAATAGACATTTTGTTCCCATAATCCATTCCCATCAATTTAAAAAATCTTTAGTTTTAAACTCTTATATTTAGATTTACAATAAGAATTTTCCATAGAATCTAATCTTAAAATAAACTAAAAAGTTTCCCTGGAAGCAGCTGTTTATTAACTTTAGTTGATCTTCTAAAACTTTTAAAATATTGACTTTAAATTTCCTTCCTACTAGCTTTCATTGTCCATTCTAGATTGGGACCCAAAATTATAATATTGAGAAGCTAAATCCGATATCTACTCATCATTTTATCTTTTTTATAGATTAATGGAAGGTTGTTGGTGAAAATATGATTTTTTTGGGGATTTACTCAAAGACTTTTTAATTTTTTTTGCAGAACGTACTTCTTAAATTTCTCCACTTCTGTTATAATCATTTATATTATTTACTTTTTAATGGCTTCATCTAGAAATGGAATTATTTTATTAGGATTTGTAATTCCTAACAATGAAGTCACTTTTTAATTATATTCTAAAATCGTTAGCTGTTAATCAACAAAAAGGATTCCAAAGGGAAGATTACTCATTATTGCAACTAAATCGGAATATTTAGAGTCCATATTGTTTTCTATCTTTATAGGTTCTTGTTAAGGGGAATCGGAAGAGTTTGTTGTTGTTTTCCACACATTTATAGGTTTTTTTATGATAATTCTTTGTTCAATAGTATTTTTGTTAGTGCCTATTGATTTATGTTCTTATTATATTCTAGGAGATTCAAAATTATAGTCTATTTAATTAACAATTACACTCTCATTCAAATCACATTTTAAATTATCTTATTTGCTTTCGTTAGATAAACATATCACTTATTCTTATGAATTCTGTTAAATTATTAATTAAGCTTGAGTTTACTGTGAAAATGATTTTTTTCTTAGTGAATAAAATATATAATGATTTAAAGGTTATTGGAATATTATCAATAACAAATATTGGATTCTATAATCTGAATAAGCAATTATTGCTCTAATTACCATGTATACTAATACTAAGTGTACAATCATTTTTGTTAGGATGGCATTATCATAAATCTTAAACAAAATAAGCATTATATAAAGTAGTTAAGCAGCATTAGCAATATTAATAGATTGTTAGAACAAGGATTCGTAATTTATTACACATTATATTAACAAACCTACCTTAAAATAGATCTGCTATATTTTGTAATAATCTATTATTACAAGTAGTATGCATATTGATAGGGATAAGGCATTTAGTATAATATAATACCATTAGGTATTCATCCAGATAAAACTGATTTGAATGATGTCCTGAATTATTAATTAGCATATCAATAATTTAATGAGGATTTCCATTTATTATTATAATATATAATCATAATAAATATTTTTCAAGTAATTGTTTGAGTTATTTTTGTTCAATAGGCTTTGGAAGTACTTCTTTTATTCCGCAAGCCTTTGCTTAATTACTATTTTCATATCCATTATAAGCTGAACACATTACTATAACACTTTAGTCTGTTAAGTTAAATTTATCTAAAATGCCTGTTATCTAAATTGTTATAATGAAAATTACTTCTTTTGAAGCCTAATATCCATTTATGATTGGCATTTCAATATCCATGAATATTAATTTATACGTTTTACAGCATGTTTAGTCTAATCTTTTCTTGATCATCTGAACAGCCTACTCTCCATTATAGGCACTTTCCATCTTGATTTTGTGTTGACTCAAGAGAGCTTCAATTGCACTGTGATTAAATCTAACATCATCAACATTTAGAATTTATATGCAATTACAATTAATATGGAAATTACAACCTTAAAAAGAGGGGAGTTTTAAATGACTTAGATATTTAAAATTAGAGTCTACTCTGAATGAAATTTTAGTAAATTATTTTTCTTTACTTTCAATTTTGAGTTCTTTATCAACACATAGAAATTTTGCAATTTATTAAGACACTTTCAAACCCAAACCAAGTTTAGTTTCATTTTGATGATATTAATCCTCCATTTAAAAATCTTTATTGCTTCTAATATTTGTTAAGACTTTATCAGAAATACCAACTCCATCATCCAAAACACAAAAGAGAATATAATTATTTTCTTGTTAGACTGTAACTGTAATAGATCCACCTTCATTTGTAAATTTAATAGAATTGTCCACCAAATTTACCAATATTCTTACTATACGTTCCTTATCACTATAGATATTATAATCATCTTTCATATGGTTGAAATTTAGAATAAATTAAAGATTTTTCTCTTTGCACTCTTATTCAAAAAGTTCTCTTAATATTTCAAATATTTCCTTAAGTTCAAATTGTGAATTCACTAAATGAAAATTCTTACAATCTATTTGTGCAAAGTCCAATATATCATTCAATTGAAACATTAACTTTTTGGCAGAGATTATGGCAGGAGTGAGATTCTTATCTCTAATTTAAGGTGAAATTAAGGATGTTAATGCATTCAATTGAGATAAGGTGCTATTCATTGGAGTTCTTAATTCATGACATAAAGAATTTAGCAAAACTTATTAAAATTTGTATCTTACACTTAATTAGCGCAATTCCTCCTTATTTGTAATATTTTCGATCACAAATAAATAATTCAGTTTATTTCCTATATTGTCTATTTCATATACTTTGATTCTAAAATAGTATTTCTTAGAATCTATGTCCTATACTTTTTTAATTATTTGAATATTTTGACCTATAGATTGTAATGAGCAATCTCCATTATTATTATTGGTTAAAGAATATTATTTCAAGGCAAATTTCTTAAACAACTAATCTAGATTACGATATCTTGATTTGGTAGTCAGAATCTCATCTCTTATCTAATTGGAAGTATTTGGAATGAAGGCAAAGTTCGCATTGATTTGAGAATGAGTTCCACCATCTGGATTTATTGAGTTCTATTCATGATTGCTTTTGGAAATTAGGGACAATTATCTTTTTGTTTGAAATCTCCTGCTTTAACGATTGCTATAGTGTGAGCCATATTAATGTACGGATTTGCTCTCCCAAGATTCAGGACTTATTATGTTAATTGATATACCTTTCTAATAACAAATCCAAATTTAATATGATATTTCTTCCATCATTATCTGACGCTTTTAAAAAATATAATAATTTTTAATTGTAAGTCAATATTTCAAACTTACTGTTAATCAGTGCAATACCAAAAGGCAACAAATTCCAGATTTATGGAACATCTAAAGTTGAAGTTTATTTTTAAAATTAAGAAAAGGTTTTTTAATCGAAATCTGCAATCTGGGAAAATGGATTATTCATTTAAAGCTATTTCAACTTCTTTAAATTTTGAGATAACTTAGAACTTCCCTAAAAATTGCTGCTGCATTATTCTTCCTACTCTGAAGATTCTTTACACAATTACGGAGTTAATTCAGACTGACATTTACTTAAATCAAGCGATTATTTTTTTAATTGATTTATTCTCAATAAATTCTTTTAGTGCAACATCCAATGGTTGATAGGCTGCCATAATACATATGTCAGTAACTAAGTTATATTAAACAAGTCTTTATATTGTAAAAGAGTCCTCAAAAATATGTAAAATATAATAGAGTGTTTGACGATTTTATGCCATGTTTCTTCCTCTTCAAATTACGTAATTAATATTACAATGAATATTACCAACTAAATTGTATTTATTGATGAAATCTCTTCAAGCACTATTTCTATGTTTAGTAAGCATAATATTAAGGCACCCACACGTTTAACATAAATAGGCTATTTTTTAAATAATTCCATTCCAAATAATAAAATAGCTATTAACAATGAAAATGAATTGATTATGATATACTATAACTAAGTTTATTGCTTCATTCCCACTTCCACCAGAAAAATTGTATTTTTTATTGAAAATTACAGATATATTGAACTTGTGTAAATTAGCATTTATATATAAAATATATCATAATCTCCACACTTGACATGTTGAATCTTTTCCTACAGTGATTACTATCTTTCCTTTTGAATCTACTAAAAGAGTCATAAGTCCGTCCTCTTATCCCTCAAAAATCTATTGGCAAACACCATCTATTGTGCTATTGTATAATTTGAAAGTAATACTATAATCTAGCGGTCTTGTCAGTGCTAGCTGTAAGAACCTCATGTTTCTAAGTATAAACAATTTTAACTATTTCATCTGTGTGACCGTAAAACCTTTAACTCATCTTACCAGTAGAAGCTTCATATAAAAGTACAGTTGAATCTTATGATCCTGTCAAAACTCTAGTTCCCTATTAATCAAAGGTAAATGTTGTCAAATCTTATGTGTGTCCTGTCAATGTGTATAAAGGTTTATTGAGATGTTTAAGATCCCAGATTTTGCATTGTTTATTCCCACTAATAGTTCCAAGATACTTTCCTTAAGGGTCAATAGTCATTTAGAATATCTCCTTAGTCTCATCCTGTAGTTTAATAATTTGCTTAAATGTTTTGGTATCATTTACCTATTATTATTATTGAAGGTATCATACTGAAATTTATCCATCAAAGGAAGCAGTGTACACATTAGAATCATGAAACTTGACACCAACTATAGAAATCTTGTGATCTTTGATTGTATGCAAAATTTTGAATTTTTCTATATCATAGACATTGCAAGTTGAATCCATTGAACCAGAAGCCAATTTATTATTATGGCCAAATGATAAACACATGACTTCAGCATCATGTCCTTTGAGTGTTTCAACACATATTCCTGATTTGGGTCTCCATAATTTGATTGTGTGATCAAACGAGCCTGTTGCCATTAGATCACTAAGATGATAAAAATATAATACTCTTTGCTCTAATCGATTTCTATACATTGGATTACATTACTATGTCCTTACATTTCGTTTAATTTTGCTCCGCTTTCAATATTGAATATCCTGCATGTTTAATCGTAACCTGCAGTAATAATTCTAAATGTTAATCATGAAATGCATTACTGAGTTTCAAATTTATTTAGGATACAACAAGAAAGGGGAAGAGGATGGGTGAGGAAAGAGTTTTCTAATTAGAATTTTGGTCTTTAATTCATTAATCTCTTTAAATGTGAATAAAAAAATAATAAAGATTTCCTTATGCTAAAACTAATTAATATTTACATTCTTCTTTGAATACTAATTAAGCTCCCTCTTAGCAATAATTAAACTAAACTATTATCAAGCTAGAGAATCGCCTATTGTAAATATACCTGAATAATAAATTATGTAAAACCAAAATTCATATATTGTGACTAAGTTATTATGTTCTGTCTTTGATTTAATAATTTTATAATTTGTTTGCAATAATGTTGAAGATTCAGAACAGAAATATCGGAATATCTGTATTCTCAGGGGAACCAATAATAATAAAGAATTGTAATACAATTAATATATAAAACTATTTAAAATGCTAAAAAAATATAAAACTTTCTCCTTTTGCACAACTCTCTATTAAAAATTAGGAGTATAATCTAATGATTCAATTGATTCTATTAAGTCCGCCTACATTAAGTTGGCTAAACTATATCATCCAGATGTCAATCTAGCTTAGACAGAATAAGAGTTTAAGGAGATTACAAATGCTTACAACATTTTAAAAGACCCAGTTAAAAGGAAATTATATGATTAATCAATAGATGCCTAATAAAGTTATAGCAATTCATCAAATGAAGATTCCAAACAAGAAAAACAATACTACAACAATCCTGGATGGTAATACTATGGAGAACAATAAAAATAATGGCATGAAAATAATAAGCAGAAAAATACATATCAAGAGAGAACCTATTAATACACTCAATCCAAGAATAATTCCAATTAGATATATGGATATTTGACTCTAGGTGGAATATCCATTGTGTTTTGGTCAATCATTTCAGATGATGATTATTCTGAAAAACCAGAAATAACTAAAGTTAAACCTCCTTAGATCAAAATTAGTGACAATCCAACTTCTTATGCAGAACTCAAATAAATTTATGATTCAATTGAATAAACTGATAGTAAAAAGATGCAAAAGTATTATACTCATTAATTGGAGGAAGATTAGACTGAGCTGAGAAGATAAAATGTCATTTATTTAGGATAGAATTTGAATGATTCTCCATTTATCATTGAACAAAGAAGAAAGATGATGAATGAGGAGATGAAATAAAAGCAATTTAAAATTCAAGTGGAACAATATGAAAAAGTTATAAAGGGAGATTCCAAGATTCTCAAACGAAAAGATTCCAATCCTAAAAAAACAGAATTAAAAACGAAATAAGGCGATTTAACTTTACAAGGGTTTGCTATATAAAATAAATTAGATATCAATAAATCAACTCCGACAGAGTAAAATCAAACTATCAATATAAGCATAGAACATTTAGAAAAAGGATACATGTGATCATATTTTATTATTATTATTTCTTAAAAATATCAGACTTTAATATGTGTTGCTACTGCATTATCTAATTTTTCGAAGAATTCTTATGAGTCATATAATAAATGGTCTTCGTTGATTTCATATTCTAGATAAGCTCCCTATAATTCATCCATGTAATTTATACTTTCTATTGATAATAATCAACAACTTCAGCATTGACTTAATCAGTTGGAGCTGAACTAGATTCTAAAGCACATTTACTTGGTGTTTAACACTAAAAATTCGCCAAAATTATACATTATTTTAGTATCCTGGATGAGTAGGTGTAATGAAGGGTAAGCTTGTGTTGAAAACCTTTCCACATGACTAACATGAAAGAAATGAACCTGCTATCTTCTGAGCTAATGATTCTGATAACTTGAATCTAACAGCTAAATTAACTCCATCCAATAATCGATCAAGTCTAAAATTATTTTTATTCTGTTTTCAAGTACCTTTCAGCTTCAACAGCTGTATTTGGGAATCCAAATAATAAAGCACCATTAGTTTATGTAGATTGCAATTATACTTGTTCTCCCAACCTAGCTAAACCGTCCTTTGATAAATTAAAAACTTTACTTCTCCATTTGAATTTTAAGCATCTATTATTGAATATTAAAGGAATTATCTACTATATATAATCGAAATACTTTTCAACAAGATTTCTGAAAAATTGATTTGATTGCAAAAATACAATTTTTGGATATTGTGGCATTTTTGCTGTGTATTTGAATTGATCATAAATCACTGATTAAGTGAAGAATTAGTGAAGTTATTAGGCTCTTTGAATTGCCAACCTTGAATTACCAAAGAATTATTGATTCATTATTAATACTAATAATAATTAATATCTTAATCTAAATTCAAGTTAGATTAATACGAAATATGTAGTTGAGATTATTCATTTTGTTATTTCTTAACCTTCAATGTCAGGTAGGCCAATCCAAAAAATTAATTTGATACCTAAAAAACTTTATTAAATATATATTACATGACTAATCAATTGTGAATTTTTTGAAAAACCATTCTTACATTTTTAGTCTTTTGAATATGAAATTCTAAGCTTTCTCATTTACTACACCTTCTATTTTTATTTAGTAATCATTTTCATTTAATTAAGAACAAGTGATTTTTATATAATTTGTAGTTAATTATTCAATTACATCTATGAGAACCAAACATAAGACAGATTTATTCCCCATTATACTTGATGATATTGAATTTTATATCTAAATGGATCTATTGTTGTAAATCATCTTGATTTTCTTTAATACGCTTTGAAGTTTAAAAGTGTAAATAATTTACTGAGAATTTTATTCACTTAGTTCCTTTAAATAAAAATACAATATTTGCTTATACATAGAATGTATGATTACGAAAGAACATTTTTTTTTAATCATTTTATTTAGTCTTTGATAAACAATATTTAATAATTTTTTATATTTGAACTAATAAGAACTTTCTAATTTTGTGAATTATTTATCCTCAGCTATTTGGATCTTTGAAAATTTTAAGATTTAGATCAAGATTAAAGGTTAAAATCCCAGAAAAATAGAGTATTAAAGAGTGAATTCTTTTTTTTCATGAACTATTTATATTTGTTTTTTTAGCTATTGATTTGTATCTCCAAATATACAATCATGAATACTCCTAAACAAGAATTATTCTAAACTAATTTTCCCCTCATTTAATTTAGTGTTTCTTAAAAATATTTTTAAATCAAGCTCATTTTGACAATTTAATTAAAACTTATTAGATTTCTTATACTTAAAGCTTAAATTGTTTTCGTTGAAACAAATTAACAGATAGGGGTCATCAATTAGAGTTGTAATTACTTAATCCCATTAATTGTCCAAACATGATAATTGAAATTGTGATCTAAAAGCAAGATTATTTTTGTAGATAATATATAATAGGTAAAATATCAATAGGATTGCTACTATTATTGATGGATAAGGAAATATTGAATCTTAAAGGAAAATCGTAAGCAATCTAATTGAAGTGATTATGATGAGTGAAAAAAAGGCGTCTACGAATTCACTTTGTAATAAAATAACAAGATGAATACACATCATACTTGCTCCTCTTAAATAGTAATAATGTGGGGAACATTCGTTGTCAACTTCCAATGAAGTTATTATAATCAAATGATTAATGAGTACTAATGCAATGCGCATATATTTCTTTTTTATTATAAAAAATGCCCCTAAAGATATGACACCAATTACAAAAAGAACAGGTATAAACCATATAACTGAACCACCATAAATTAATATCTAGCATAAACGCACTATCCCAGCTAAAGTAAGACCGAGAGTTAAATGCTTAAAGAGCGGTAATCGATTTGATATTAATTAGTAATCCTAATATTTTTCTTCAAGTAGTTAATCCTTAAATTAAAGAGTAAACTTGTTCAGCATATATTGTATTACAATATAAAAATAATATCGATTTTATTCATGAATTCCATGAGAATAAGAAAAATAAATAATAGGGGAGAACTAACCCTATAAATAGAACAAATATTAGAGATTTTAAAAGGAAAATAAATGCAGTGACGACTAATTCCTATTTATATTCAAAATATATATATAATAAAAATTAATTCTTAATAATAATAAAATAATATCATGGTTTTGATTCTTACAAATTCAATATTAAAATTCAATTCAGTAGTCTAAATATCTACCTAATGGACATATACAGATTATTCTTTAATATAGTGAGAAATTTTTGTATTTAATAATCTTTACTTAATCCCAACAAAAGTTAATTTTATAAGCCAATTAAGTTTTATTATCTCTATTATGATTTAGTATTATATTATCTTTGATTCTATTATTATAATTGAATTGCAGATCAATTTCAATTTAGGATCATTGAGAACCTTGCCTTTATTAATTTCTAAATATAATTCAATAATGAAAATAAGTATATGAATGTTTAAACTTATTATCTGTATCAAAACACAGAAATAATCTAAAAATAATAAATGAATTGTGACACCAGCAGACTTATCATAGTTTTTCGAACCATAAAATTAACTAAGATGGCTTCAAATTTCATAACTAATTGAAACGAAGTAATAAATTAGACCATAAATCTCAAAATAGTTAATTAGAAAAAGCCCCGAGAAAATATCCTAACATTTATTTTGTTTTTAATCTCAACATCAAAATACGAACTCTAATAATCATCTTACAGAAAATATTTATTGTGTAGAAGCATATATTATTAAATGTCATTTGCTATCTATTCAGAAGTATATACTAACCCTTTTTTAAACGTACTATCTAAAATTAATTATAGTATTTGTTTAATAAGTTTCAAAGTAATACTTTCATATTATTTAAAGGTTTGTTAATCTTAAAATAGTTATTGTAAAATATATCTTAAAGGTAATATGTGTATATAGATTTTAATTTGATTATTGCAGAATAGTTGTTATCTTGCATCTAGAATAAAAACTTTAATTTTATTTTACACATCAGAAAGTTCTACTCGATTCTTAAATTAAAATGACAATAAATTATTTTCTGAAATATTTTTATTCAATTTTTCATTAATCATTAGAAATTTTGAAATAATTGAAGTTTTTGATATAATTTTCAATAGATAAAAGTCCATCCGAAATGATATATAAATTGAATCGTAAGGTAAGGACAAATAATGATATTTGATATAAAAAAATAAAATATGAGTATGAGATCAATTTTATTTAAACATTCTGTTTCAATTTCAAGAGCATCTAATTTCAATTAGAAATTAAATAGCTAAGGTTTTAAGCTTCAAATATTATAATTATAAAGTTTACATTAAATATGAAAAAACCATATGAAAAATGTTTCTTAAGTGCTTATTTAAGCAGCAAATTAGGAAGATTTAAAATGAGAACACAAATTTTAATTATAAATGGCATTATTTTAGCTATAATTATACCTTGCCTCTTAATAGCATAGACTATAAATATGCAATATGTATAGCAAATTCTTAATGATGCATTGAAAAGAAATTCCATTTTTGAAATGTCTAAGCATTTAAGTAGCGCTTCATCGGCAATGAATCATCAACTAAACTCGGTTTTCGTAAGAAGTATAATCCTACAATATATTTTTAGCATAGATAACTTTGACAAACCTTAACTAATTGTATTGGCTTCAATTAAATAATGATATAGTCACAACTTAGTAACTTTCTCGAACTTGTGATTATAATCAAACTAATATACCCTTAGAAAATAAATATTCCATTCTTTGCTTTGTAAGATTTGGATTAGAATAAAATTAATAGACTCCTGATATAAATGGAGATATAAACTAACCCCTTTAAGGTATAACTAATTTAGTAAGCTCAACAATTTTGAGTTTAATGAGATTAAATGATGAGCTTTTACCAAATTAAATTTATTTTGTCTCTTCAATAAATTCAGTGCAATATGGATTTTTATATCCTTAAGCCATCCTCTATCCAAATTTCAATCCTAAATAGAGAGCATGGTATTAGTCACACTTCAAAAACTTAGAAAAAGATAAAAATAATAATACTTAATTAACTGATATTTATAAGTATTTTGATACTCAACCGATATATTCAATGACTATGACTCAATCAATGTTGAATCTGAATAAGGAAGTAGAAGGACTATTTTGTTCTGATTTAATTTTCAAAAATAGCTATATCCCATAGTTAAACATCAATATTATGATTGTAAATATAAATGGAACTTTAATATTGACTAATTATAAAAATATTGCTGTTACAAATTCGTCAATTTTGACCAGGATTGACGATGAAACAATAACAGGATTTACAAATGAAGATTGGAATTCTATGTTAAATTATTACTATAATAAAAACTTGAATTCTACTTGTAAATACGAAGACTTAGATATACTATGTAGGTTTAATAGCGTTTATAATAAAGATGTTGTAATTAAAATTGTGAAATTAGAGAATATCAACTATTTCCTTATACTTTTTTATGATATTTAGATTGAATAAGAAATTGAATCTAAAATTAATCTTCTTTTACAAACTTTTAATACCAATTTCCAATATATGATATATCTCACTCTTGTCGTTTCATTTGGACTATTTTTTTTGTAAGTTATTTTAATCTATTTAATCTTTTTACCAATGTACTAAATAATTCGATAATCGTTTTTCTTTCTGAAAAAATAAGAAAAATCTAAATTTTCTGGTGAATAGAAATTATTAAAAGAACTAAACAAATTTCAAGAAATTATGAAAAAGCAAAGTTGTCTCAAAAAAAATTCTATAGATAACAGTATAAATATATAATATTTTGTGTAGGTAATGTGCTCATGCAATTCAAAGCCTAGTTTGATACATTGTTTGATAGAGTTTTAGCGTAAAGAAAGAACATTAATCCTTAATGTTAAATACTTCAATAATTTAAGTACCCTCGATAAAGTGTTCATCATGCATTAGACATCCTTCAAATTCTGAAGGAAGACAAAATTTAGGATAACTATTATGATTAGTAGACAAACAACGCAAGAAAAAACTTTTAAAGAAAAACCTTTAGTTTTAGAGTTGAATCAAGTTGATTAAAACTAAGATGATTTATTTTATAATTTAAGGCATTTAAATTACAATTTAAATATATGAAATAAAATTATTAAAAGTCAAAATTCCTTCTCGAGTAATTCTTAAATAACTTGCAAACTTGGCCTGTTTTAGGGTAATTCAGCTATCATATCAACGAGACTTTTTTAAAGGTTCTCAGTTATTTGAAATTTGCTCTTTGCCTTAATTAATTCATCTCTCCTTATCCAAAAATCGTTAATCTATTATGATTAATCAATTTCAAAAAGGGTTTCCAAAAAGATAACTCCTAATTAATATATATCAGATTATTTGCTATATTCATTATCCCTGCGTTCTGGAGGAATATAATGACCTGTTCCTCCCCCATAAGTTTCAAAAACCTCTTGTTTATGATTTATAATTTAAAGTGAGCAATCAAAATCTATTATTATATAGTCAACATCTTGATAATCTTGCCAATCATTTGTATCTTTTTTTAAATCAATCATAATATTTTATGGCTTAAGATCTCTATGGATGACTTAATATTTATCGTGAAGTAACTTTATTTATTTGATTATGCTAATAAATGCGCTTTTTACAATGGGTTAAACTAATGAAATATCATTTTTTTCATCACTCAGTTGCTCTTAAAATTATTCAAAGGTTTTCTTGTAATATTTATAAAATGTGACATTTAGTGAAAAAAATTGAAAATAACCAAAGTATGATAAATTAATATCCTTTTAGAAACTCTCCAAAATTTCAATTACCTTTATATGATTATCATAATTATCCAATCTGATTTGGGATATTTTTACAACAATTTCTTTTTCTTAACTATTGATATAAAAAGGCTTTGTAATTAAACTTACTTAAGAGTTTTGGAACAGAATACTATGTTTTGGATACAGAATACTATGTTTTGGATACAGAATACATTTAGTATTTTTGGATTATAAGAAGTTGATTTCTATTTCTTATTTTAAGTAATTTAAAGTATTTTGAAACTGATCGAAATAATTATCCATTTGATAATTTTTTAATTCTTAGAACCTAGCTTAACTCTCTTTAATAAGATTGAAAGTTATATCTTAAAGGGTGTTTGCATTTTTATAAACATGTAAGTCAATTCCCAACTATTTTACTAAAATTATAATTAACATGATACATATTTTTATAAATGAGTTTTTCAAATTTTGCTGCTGATTGGACTCTAATAAAAAAAAAACATAAGATTAGTTTTCCACAGGTTCGCTTTTTAATGTATTTAAATTAATTTCTTCGATTGTAATTTCTCTATTTACAATTTCGGTTAATTCTATTCTTATATTTAAAATTACATAAACTTAAACATATCATATATCGAAGTAAAATTGGCGTTTTCATTGGCAAAAGGGTTTTAAATTACACGATTTAAAAATTATTGTTTTCTAAGGCTATTGTGGAAGGAATAATTCCAAATAGAGAACAATTGTGTTATAATTTGGTAGATTCACAAGTCGTTGTGGAAGCTGTGGCGTAAAGGTTTTGACTATCCTACATACTCTTTCTAAAATTCTATTATTGTTTTTATTAAAAATAATTATATTATTATAATCTAATATTGCTCTAATAGCTTCAAGAAATTAGTAGTTCAAGTTTATACTCAAATCAGGGATGAAATGGCCATTAAATCTTGAACTGCTTTGATTTAAGAATAGCCCTCAATCGTTAATTAAATCTCTACTCTAAACTAACATTCAAAATATTTTAATTTATCCTCCATTTTATATTCTAATAGAATTAGAACTAAAAATTAACGAAAAAAAAGAGTTCTTTTCTTAAATATTTTGAATATTGATGATATTTGACTTTGAGATATTAAATAATTTAATGATTCGTCTTTCTCTTTATTATCTAATATATGTTATTCTAAAAAAATAATAAAAAATAACTTTAAAATTATTTTAATTTGAATTTGGTCAAGCTTATCACTCATTGAAGGTTTCATCTAAAATAACAGCTGTAAAGCATATATTTTAAAATAGAGAAAAGAATTCTCAAATGTAGATTAACATAAAATAAATTTATATAATATGTTATTTGCATTAAAAAAAGGTTTATAAAAGTTAGATCTATTTGGCCAAACAATAACCCTAAATATGAATAGAAACGACCTTTATACAACATCTTTTGGAGGATTTTCTTCTATTCTAATAATATGCCTTTTAAGTCTAATATTTTCTTCTAATATCATATCCTTCTTTTAAAAACAAAATATCTACCACGGAAGCGAAGTGGTTTTTTCAAATGATCCTGGGCTTATTGAAATGAATGAAAGAAATTCAATGATTGCGATTTCAATAGATTAAACTAATTTTACTATAACTCCATACTTTGACATTTCATTAGAACAAAGGTAATCAGATTTTAATAAGCATTCTTAGAACATATATTCGAAATTTAAACGGTACAATAGAAAAATAAACTATAGAGATTCCTTTAAAACCATGTACATTAGATCGTTTTAATAATATTTTTTCAGATTAAGGAATAGATTTCACAAGTCAATTCAATTTCTAAGGAATTGGAAATATGTTATGTCCAATGTAATTGCATTGAATTATAAGGTTTAAGAGAAAATTTTACTTATCATCTTGAAGGAACATACTCGAGCGAAGTCTTTAAATTTTTAAAAATCGTTGTAAAAAGCTGTAAGACGTCTGAAATAGTCAATGATAATCTTTCATGGAATCCTACTTGCGCTTCTGACTTGGATAGATAAAATTACTTAAATGAAAACAGTCAATTTAAATTGTAAATAATTTAAATTAACACTGTAATAAATCCCTAAAATTCTGAAAATTATAAAACAATTTATATTGATAGCGACATGTATTTTCCCTTCGTTCCACATAAATTGGCCAGATTGGCTAATATATTTTATAGACAAGTCATAATAAATAATGATAATAGTTTACTACCATTTGAGTAAATAATATTTAAAATAAATTTAGAAAGATAGATAAAGAAGAAATTATAGTGAGAAAAGCAGAAGACTATCGTGATTTAACTGAATTAGGAAGAGACACAGATTATAATTATGCAATAGTATATTTAAGAAGAAGTCCTTTTACAGAGATCTTAGATAGAAGGTTCTAAAAGATAGGAGAACTACTTTCTTACTTGGGCGGATTTATGTAAATTATGAAAGTTCTATTTGGGTTTTTGATAGCCTTTTATAATAGAACCTCAATGCTTATAGAGTTGGCAAACAAATTATATGATTTTAAAGATGAAAAGGATGTAAAGAAATTAAAGACGATTAACACTCTTTAGTATATAGAACATATCTCATCTCCTATTGACGTATTTTAAATAAATGGAAATTAATAAAATCAAAATCATGATCTCTCAAATATTGAGTGGAAGGATTATTTAAGTAGATTGGTTTAAAAATCTAATCCTATAAAATTTAATTTTAAGTTATTCATTAATCAATTATCATTTGGATTTTGTTTTAAAGATAAAAATTCTTAATTCTTAGAAAAAGCTATGTAAATGTATTTATTTTATTGATTAAGTGAAAAAATAAACAATGAATTGGATTTGCACACGATATTTTATTAATTACATGAGATAAGTAAGTTGAAACAAGTTTTATTAAGAAAATCTTAAATAATTTTATTTAACTTTTCACCTAAACCTATCATCACATTAGGCATTGATTAGGTTATTCCTTCAAGGCTCAGCATTAAAGATAGTAAGAAAATATCTCAAATTTCTAAATCTGAAGAAGAATATATAAATGAAGAACTGTTTTCTAAGTTACAACAAGTAATTAATTTCTAATATCTAGGCTTACAAGGAAATCTTAAACGAAATAAACCAGAATCCGTCCAACTTATGTTAAGCAAACATAAATCTAAAATTAACTCAACTCATAGGATAGGATATTATGAAATTAATCTAACCGCATCAACAAAGAAGAAATGCTTTCAAATTATTAGATTCAAATTTAAATCAAGAAACAGAATTATGAAAAAACATGTCAAAGACTCTATTTAATTAGAGTTTTGTTTTGATAAATAATGTATAATTGTAATATATCATTAATGATGTTTCTATTTCAACTCCAAACTTATTAAAATAAAATTTGAATAATTTATTTATAGTAGTCTTATAATTGTTTTTTTCCTAACAGAGAGTCTTAAATTTTACTATCAAATTCGATGTATCATCCTATATTTGAACAGCATGAAATTTCTTTTTTTTACATTTTAGAAAATTTCGATTTAAGATTCTTCCTAGATTATTATGTTAATAATAATATAATTAAATAAAGATGCTCTATTCAATTCAAAAAGGACTGTAGAGAATAGATATATTTGGGCAAACCATCACTCTCAATATGAATAAAAATGCGTATTATACAACTTCATTTGGCGGATGTTCTTCAATTATGATTATTTGCTTGTTGAGTTTAATCTTCTATTCCAACATTGCTGACTTTTTTACAAAAGCAAATGTCTATTACAATTCATAGACAGCATTTTCAAATGATCCTAATTATATGAAAATGAGTGATGAAAATGCAATGTTTGCTTTATCTATAGATTAGAACAATTACACCAATTTTCCATTTTTTAATATTACCATGGAGTAAAGGTAAGAATTTATTGATCTAGAATATATGAAAGATCTTTGGATGGAACTATTAAAAAATCTACAATGCAGATCCCTCTAGAGCCTTGTACTTTGGATAGATTTAATAATGTCGTTGAATAGCAGGGAATCGATACTAATTTTAATGATTCTTTTAACTACTTAGGCATGGACTAATGGTTATGCCCAAAGTATAAGAATTATATATTTAGGGTCAACTATTCTTTGGAGTTGTAAGGAACTTACTCAAGTGAAACGTTTAAATTTATAAGAATTGTTGTTTCCGATTGCCAAAATAACTCTAATTCAACTTATTGGAATCCGATTTGTGCTAATGAAACTGAAAAATAGCAATATTTACAAGCAAATGGATAATTCAAGCTTTAAGTTTTTCAAATAAATACGATGGTAAATCCATAAAAGGCTAAAGACCATAAGACAATGTATTTAGATAGTGATATGTACTTTTCCTTTGTACCGAATCAGTTATCAAGATTAGCTAATGTGTATTATAGATCATACGTTATTAATAATGATTAGAGTCTGTTACCTTATGAGTAATTAATTAATTTAAAATTAGAGATATTCAAAAGGAAGAAATAATTGTGAGGAAAGCTGAAGACTTTAGAGATTTAACTGAATTAGGAAGAAACACTGATAGTATATATGCAACAATTTATTTGAGAAGAAGTCCTTTTACTGAGATTATAAATAGAAATTATGAAAAGCTTGGTGATCTCTTATCATATTTAGGAGGTTTCATGCAAATATTTAAAGTCATATTTGGATTCTTTATTGCATTTTATAATAGAACATCTATGTTGATAGAGTTATCAAATAGATTATATGATTTTAAAGAAGTCACAAATCGATCTTATGTAAGAAAAGGGGCGTTTGATTAAAATTTGGGAGTAATAGCAACTCCGCCAGATGAAATGAACATTATCTTAAATAATCAACCTAACCCTGACTTATAAAAAGTAGAGTGGAAATAATTCATTCACAAATTGGTGGAGAGGTCACAACCCATTAAATTAAATTTGAAGATTCTCATAAATGAATTAAGTTGTGGATATTTCTTCAACAATACTAACTCATCCTTTTTTACAAAAGCCATGTACTTTATATACATCTATTTTAAAGGATAAAGATTAATGATGAATTGGATTTACATAATATTCTTCACCAATTATAAGAAGTTTCAAAATTGAAATCCGTTTTACTCTAAAAACCACAATAAATTTTATTCAATTTCACTCCAAAGCCAATTATTACTTTAAGTTAAGAGAATAATGTACCCTCAAGAATAGAACTCGATTATTAGAATCGGTAATCTTATATAAGAAATAAGGAAGAAATTCCAAATGAAGAGTTATTCACTTCGCTTTAAGAGGTAAATAAATCGATATTTATAAAAGGCATATAGAACAGTTATAGATGAGATGGAGAACAGTGAAAGTAGTTTAATCTGTTAAAAGACAATCAATTTTAAGTTGACAAAACAAATAGATGATGAATTAGGAAAATTCTTAAGAAGCAGACATATGAGTTGCATTAATCAAGAGGAAAAAGCTTGATTTAATAGAATTTACTGTATATAATTATATAATAGAGTTGATAAAAACAACAATCATTTTTGGAATTCAGTCTGTTATTGGTTTTGTCTCATCATTCTTAGCTCCTCATCTTGTATTTATTTTAGAATTGCCCTTCTCCTCTCATAATCCATCTAATCTCTTGTTTTTTATTATATTCTCCTGAATTCATCCTTCGTAGTTACATATTATTAACCAGTGTTCTGATCCACTACAACAATTTATCTGTTTTCCATTATCAAACCAAACAACTCAAAAAATACATATCCAGCCATCCCCAACATAAAAATCATTAAATATCTCATTGCAGCTGCTCTACCTGAATAAAGTTCCTAAAATAAATTTAATTGTGGATATTTACAAATTATTCTTCTTATGTATATTTTTTGTACTACTTAAATGGATCATCTTTGCCATAAGATGCTTTTGAATGATATTAATATTCATAATGAGTTTGCTATCTTTTGTATTCCTCATACATCCTTCTAAATTATTCATGATTTACATTCTATTAATAACTATATGCTTCTTTAGAAATATTTAATACTTGAGTGTTAATGATATTATCGATCATATTGCTTTTTTTAATATTATTGAGGATCAACTTATGATTCATCATAGTCTTTCTTGGTTGATGGATTTTTTAAAACCTCATATGCTTCATTTATGGCTTTAAATTTATCAATTTGATCAGGATTTTTATCTGGATGATATAGTTTGGCTAAGGTATAATAAGCAGTTTTTATCTCTTCCTAAGTAGATTTATTTGTTAAGTTCAAAATTTGATAATAGTTCTTGTTTGGGTTGAATTTCAATTGAGAAAAGAAAAACTTTATTTTATTTTTCATTATTAAATAAAATTATTCAAATACTATATTATTTGATTCTTTAATTCGAAACAATTAAGAAATGCTCAAAAAAATTTGCAATTACATCATCATATCCATTAATTTATCTCTAAACTTAACAAAATTAAAAAGAAAAAACAAAATAAATTTATCATTTGCTAAAGAAACAACAACGTGAGGGCTTAGGACCATTAAAATAACATGGGTTAGATCTAAATAATACAGTATTTTGATTTTTTATTCCGTCTATCATCAAAAATTCATAGTCTGGAACTCGTCCTGTTTTTGCACATGGCAAGGATGTCAATGAATCCCCATAACTTTATACCTATTTGTATTTCTCATTCATACTCTTTTGTAATCCTTCAACATATCACATGGCAAAATGGGCTTCAGCATATTTAATACTACGAACACGGGTACAAAATTAAAATCAACTAAAGCAAGTTCGCTTCCATTTATGTATTTCTTATCTTTAAGCCATTCCTCCATTTACTTGAATCTATTTATAATCCATTCTTTGAGTTTGACAAATTTCTATTTTTTAAATGAGAACTTACTTCCTATTCTGTACAAAATATGAATTAATAAAGACTTTTAATGATCTCATTTGAATACTCGAACTTAGCTCTGTCTAATGCCTTTTGTATTGGATCATCTGACATTAGTTTTGGTGGTGTAATCTCGTCGATGTATTCCATTATAGCAGCTGACTCAAATAAAACAACTTTAATTATGAAAATTAAATATACCCTCTTCACCAATGATTAAAATAGGTACTTTTTCGAGAGGACTAATTTTATTAAACCAATCAGGTTTGTTACTCATTTCAATAAACTTTATTTCAAATTTAACATTTTTATGACACATTATTGTAAGTACTTTCATACAATAAGGACATATTTTAAATGCCACAAGGGTATGTTTGAATCTCTTATCCATCACAATTTTAATCGATTTATTTTGCTATTCTAAAATTTAATTTATAATTTTTTAGATAATTCTAAATTCTTTAAGATGTTAAAAGAGAAGGAAGAATTATTTTCTATTTAATTTTTTATAAACTTAATTGCCATTACAGAAATCATAAATTTGAGAGCAGGTTGTAAATTCAGATTTACTTTAAATTTTATTCTAATAAAGCATAATGATGGGAAGATGTTTCAGAATTTGCGATGAGCCTATATTTTTAGTAAAATGAGTTTTTAATATTAAATTAATATGGTTTTGATAATTTTTTTTTAAAAGTCAAACAATTTTTAATTCAACTAATTTAGCCATTAATATTATTTATTTATTCTAGTATATCCTATGCTAAGTACAGGCTAGTAAAATTTATTATAGATAATTATCATTCAATTTAGATCTTTTAATCATTATTGACGTTCTAATTCGATTAATTGTTAAGAAATGATCATCAATGTCAAATATTAGAGGACAACGAAAAAACTGAAATTTATGTTTATTAATATAAGAGAAGAATAATATATTTTAATCTTATAAATGGAAAATGAGGATTATAATGTGGTTTTGTTTTTGAAAAATCGAATCGAGAAGTGAGTTTTACTAAAGATTGAGGACTACAGTGAATATTTATTGAATATATATTTATTTAATATTTTGCATGAATCAATACGAAAAAGTGTTCAAGGAATCTTGGATCATGATAATAATTACACTTTTAATAATGTTTTAAAGTATATTTGGAGATGGATCCTTAATTATAACAATTATCATCCTGGGTATTTAGATATTATGTGTAATGATGGGTTTCATTTCCAAAACCTAGAAATATGCAATCCATTTTGAAATGTTTTAGCAATGGACATTACTGTTTGCTTTATATATCAGCTCAAAATTCAATGCAATGTCAATATTAGCATTATGTAGTTTAAAGGAGTTCTTTATATGTAAAATAAATGCATAGTTGCCTTCACTTAAATAATAGTAAATAATCCATTAAATTGGATCTGACCTCCTTCTCTTTATAATAATCTTATTGGAAGACTATAGTTAAGCATATTTATCAGGCACAGCTATCATGGTTCATTGGTTAATTTTATTTCATATTTCTAAATCTAAGATAGTGAAAAAGAACACCATTAGCTCTACATAATAAGAAATGAATGATAAGATTCTGATTGACAGTGTAGGCAACACTTAGAATCATTCCCGTTTAAAATTTAAAGAGAAGGCCAGTCATCATGAGAGTCCAATAATTGAGCGAGACAATAGGTTAGAAATCTTGAGCATATTTCCTTAAGGAATTGGGTTGATCAAAATAACAGACAAGAAAATAGAGTTGGAGTATCATAATGAAAATTTGTTAAAATTATCAATGGCCGAATAATCGGATTAAATTCTAAACTCTTTGTTTTGTTTAGAACAATAGTCTGTGCAGGAGGATCAACAGAAGCAATAAAATGACTACAAGAATTCCATGAGCTCATTTTCTACATTTTAATAAACTCCTATTCCTTGTAATTTAATAAGCAAGGCCTCTCGAAATGAAAAGAGATCTTAAACGAATAAGTTATAGAGTTCTCATAAATTGGAATTGTTTAGATAAAATTCTGCTCTGAGCAATATTGAATACAAGGGCGTTATCTTGAGGAAATGTGATACTCTGGAAGAATCGGTAATGAATGTTAATTATTTAGATTTTGGAATAGGAATTGAGACTGATCTCCTCATAAATGAGAAAGGTAGAATTTTAAAACTATATGAAAAATCAAAATTAATTGATTCAAGAACATGTAGTAATTTTGGGCTATTAAAAAGGACAAGATGGAAAAAAGAACAGAACTATTGAAGTCAAATTGTATAATGCCTTAATCATAGATGTCCCTTACATTTTGATGCTCATTAGGGACATAACCCATAGAGATTACATATAGTAGTTACGTGACTATAGTAAATAGAAATCGAAGACCTTATCTTTTGTTAGTCATGAATATAGAACACCTTTGAATTGTATAATCGATATGCTTGAACAAGGAGTTGATGATGATCAGAAATATTCATCTCAAACTATGATCATGGAAAAAGATATACGGAGATCAACAAAGTAGAATAACCCTATTAAAATGGCCAAACAAATTAAAATTGCGTTAGATCATGCTAAATACCTATAAAATTTAAGTGACGATCTATTAGATTTGGCATAAATTAAGGTTGGGAAATTCAAGATCAACAAAGCCAAATTCAATTTTAATCAATTATTAGAAACCTGTGTAGATTTATTTTAAGTCATGGCAGAAAGAAAATAGATCAAATTATATATCAATTATGAAAGCAAAGCTCCAAGATACATTTGTTCTGATCCTAGTCGTTTAAAATAGATTATGATAAATTTATTGGGGAATGCTTTCAAATTTACAGAAGATGGTTCAGTGACAATAAAAGTGGCTTGTGTGAATTTAAGATTGGAAGTATCAGTTGTTGATACTGGAATTGGGATGACAGAAGAAGATTAGTTGAGAATATTCTAAGCATTTGGAAAAGGGAATAGTGAAGAACATAAGAAAATGAATAAATCAGGTGTGGGATTAGGATTATTAATTAGTAATTAAATTTTACAGAATTTGAATTAAGACTTGCAAAACGGATTAAAATTCAAATCTTAATATAAAAAAGGTATTTGTTGTTAATATTTTTGAAATTAGGCTCTACATTTTATTTTCAGATTCAATATTAGGACATAAATGAGATAAAATCATTGAATAGCATGGAAGAGCGAAATTAAGATAGTGAGGAATCAATCATAATGTAATAATAACAGGAGGAATCCATTCACAAAGTTTATGTCAATAATTAAGCTTCAATTTTTAAACGATCAACGAAAGCCATAATGACAACTTAGATAATGATAGTTGATGATGTTTGTATGAATATTGACATGTTGAAAAGGAGATTAGCTTAAATGTAATATATGATAATTATCATAAGAGGATAAGATCATATTGATTCAGCCACAAATGGGTATTTGGCAATAGAGAAATGCTAAAAGAAATGGCAAGCCAATTAGGATTACTATAAGTTAATATTTATGGATTTGGAGATGCCAGCAATAAATGGAATTTAGACAACTTAAAAGATCTTGGAATTGTCTCAAAAGTATGGAATTGATGTTAAAATAATTGGATGTTCTGCATATGAAAGTTTGGAACAAAAATAGGAATGCCTCAATGCAGGAATGAAGGATTATATAACCAAGCCTATTCAATTATAAGATCTCAAAAGAATTTTGTAGTAGTATTTATGATTTTTTAAGACTTTTTGATTATTATTTTTCACTTAATTTATTATAGACAATAAAATTATTGATTAATTTAATTGTATTTGTTTGTGATAAACATTTAAATACTTTTTATTGCAATCAATTAAAATAACAATTCAGCAAGGACTATTTAGTTATTTAATTTTAATTTCTCCTTAATGGATCCTCATCAGCAATGCAAATACATCTAGGAAATCTCTTTCTAAGAGAACGATTAGGTATTATGAATCGATATTTTAGTTAAGAGAACGAGTATCCGATCTGGAAGCAAAAAATGCTGAATTGCAAGATGAAGTTGAAACAATAAACGATCTACTAGAGTAAGAGAAAGCTGTATGTTAATCAAAGGAAAAAGCTCTACAAGCCTTGCAGGTAAAAAATTAGGAGCTAAATTGCAGAATTGGCGAATTGTAGAATAAGATTGTTGAAAAAGACACTAAAATTTAGGAACTTCAAAATGTGTTAAAATAAAGCGATGATCAAATTAGTAAGGTTAATGTGGAATAAAGAAAAAATGGAAATAAATCTAAAACATAAAGAAGATAAAGCAATCCAAAAAAATAATGAGTTATTGATTTTACTGCATTCTAATTATTTCAAAAAATATTAAAAATGAATAAGCCTATTTATAGAGAGTACTCTAACTTAAAAGGGGATGACGGAGATCCTAACAACACCAAGTTGATCCAAATCAATGAAGACCACAGTCATACATATGTCGAAAATTCTATAAAACAAACGTTCAATGAATACAATAAATACTAGGAACCAAATATTTTCTCGCCCTCTAACAGTAATTGCGAGAAAAAAGAGTTGAAAACGGACACTTAGAAAGAACTCAAGGCTCCCAGACTTATTATCTAAAATATAACTGACTCTGACAAGCTCATTGAAATAACAACTACTGATCATGTTGAGAAGGAAGACCCTTTAAAGTCCTTGAAGGGCATGTTGGGTTTGGAGACTGTGGAATATCAAAAAAAAAGAATCAAATTCAGAAATACGACTTATGAGTTTAAGGTAAGACAAAAGAAGATATTAAATTGGAAGTCAGAAGCGATGAATAGATGGAAAATCAATCTCATTATAATTTTGTTTGTGGTAAGACTGGAGAAGAACTTGAATCACAAAAATCAGTTAAAACATTAGACTCAAACAAGTATACAAGAAAGTGGTAATAGCAAATTTAATTAATAAGAGAATCGAGTTAAAAAGATTTGCATCTCAGTATTAAAATTGATGTTTGGATTATTTTTAGCAATGTTAATAAGTTTAATGTTGTTGCCCTTTATTTTAATTTCAGATTTATTCTTAAGGATTTACACTTACAATAGTTTATATGTAAAATATGCATGGTCATATGAAAACAAGTGCTACAGGGTAATTCTATTGTTGCAATTGTATATGTATGCTTTAGCGATCGTAATAGCTGTAATAACCAATCTCTATCAGAGTTTGATAACAACTGTTGAATTGATATACAACATAGTAGGTACAATCTAAAATAATATATCCAATCTCAGTAGATTATTATTTTCTACCATTAACACAACATTCTCTAAATAAAAATGAATTTAGTTATATTCACTAAACTTAGATGTAAAATCAATTTCTAATTGTATAATCTTCTTTATTCAGCCTTTCTATAAATTATAATGAAATTTATTTATTATTATTTTAAAAAAGAATTAATTCAATGTAGTAGAATGTTGAAGAAGAGGATGTATTTTACGATGAAGAGTTCATCCACATCATGTAAAAGGTCATAGGTGAATGTGATGGATTTGAAGAATTAAAGAAATACATCGCAATAAACAAACCATCTTTCAATGTATTTGTGTCTAACATAAATATTAGTTAATCGCCACTTAATTTTAAAAGGTTTTGGACCAAAACAATAAAGCGAAGTTTGAGTTGAATTTGTAAAAGATCTTTGAAGAATTGCTTAAAAACAATGTTCAAAGAGTGTTTATCAGAGTCTTATTTTAATATTTGAAAAAGAATAAAGACCAAATGAATTTGTAATAACTTTCAAATTCTGGAATTGCAAAAAATTGGAAGAATTTATAAGTTTAAGAGTTGTAAGAATTCATTGAACTTTTCGAATTAAAAGCTTAGATAACTGATGAGAAGTACAATACATATACTTACTTTTAGTTTGTGTTAACACTTTCAAGATTTGGTAAATAAAAAGAAATTTTAAGATGCCTTTCAATTTTATTAAGCATTACAATTACCTTAGAAGTGTTTTAATAATTTAATAGAGTAAATGGGAAATAATCATGACGCTGGCAGGGCAGCAGATTTTATTATAAAATTAGATTATAATCCAGCTGATTATCCAAAAATAGTTGAGAGACTTGAAAAGAGTTGCACAAGATATTTGTAATAAGAATACCCTTGGTTTAAATGTGAGGAAATGTTGATGTTCTCAAAATCGTTATTAGTGTATTACTGTGAAGATGCATATTTTCATGGCAAAAAAATAGAAGCTCTCTCTATTATAAAACGAAATAACTTAATAAATGAAATTAAGAAACAGAATTTGAAAGAAGAAATGGAAAAGGATCTATAGGCAGAATTCGAAGAGATTCAAAACGTATTGTTTTTAAAGGATGAATTTAAACCTGCTGAAGAATTTATAAGCGATGAAGTTGGTGTTTATTTACATTGCAAGGATTTTGGTTATCCTGAAGATCATATTTTTATTATTGACAAAATTGATCAGAATTACTTGGATGCTTGGAAATGCATTAATTAAAGTAATGCTGTTGGTATTCTTTATTGTTATTCAATAGGTTATGATTGTGAGCATATCACACCTTGGACTAAATTAGATTATTAAGGGTTTAAAGTCTGTTTGGTTTAGATTGCCACTTCTAATCATGTTTATTTGTTTGACTATTAAAAACTCAAAGAAGTTTAAGAATTCAAAAATGATATGGCATAGTTGTTGGAGAATGTCGAAATTTTAAAAATTGGGTTGAGTTTGAAGGATGATTTGAAGCATACTGTAAACTACTTGAAATTGAATAATATAATAATTAGATCAATTATAGAATTGTCAACCTGTTTCAAAGTATTGGAGGGGGATCCAAAACTCAGATCATTGTCATATATATCAGAATTCTATTTTAAAAAGAAGTTGAGTAAGTATGACACTTGTAGCAATTGGGAATATAGGCCATTAAGAAAAGCCTAAATTCATTATGCTGCGTTAGATGCTATTGCTTCGTTAAAGGTATTTTAAACTATGAAAGAGAAGAATAATCAGATAATCGAACAAGAGAAGGATGTACTATCTATTGGTTGATTAAAAATGAGTATATTATCTTTTTTAGTAAATATATTGAAGGATTAGTTAATTAGTTTTTTATTTCAGATGATTTCCACAATCCAAAGAGTGTCTCTTGTGGTTCATTAGAGTATTTGAAATAAATAAATTAATTTAAAAATAAATTTAAATAATGGACCAAGATTTATTGAGACCTTAATATGAAAGCGAAAAGAGAAAGCATAAATTAAAGAGATTGATTTAAGCTCCAAACTCATACTTTATGGATGTCAAATGCCCATAGTGCCAAGCTAATAACACCGTATTCTCCCACGCCAGAGGCATTATCACTTGCATGTAATGATTGCCCTTTATAGTGTTAGTAAATGCTCAAGTCAATTGGGAAGATCTACAGGAGGAAAGTTGTAACTCGTTCTTGGTGCAAAATACAAAACAAAAAAATGATAGTATATGATAGTATAATAAATAAACATACATAGCCACATGTTCAATAAATTAAAAGCAGTTAATTTGGAACTGCTTTCTTTTCTTCTTCTTCCTATATATATACATTATAATCCAATATGAATTAATCTATTTTTATGAATGTGATCAGCCCAATTATGTTGCAATTTGAACTTAATCTATATTATGATTGACTAAATACTCAAACAATAAAACATTTAATGATTAAAATCTTGACAAATTATAATAATTTCTCTGAATATAAAATAAAGTATTAAATAGATATTCATCCTCTTCAAGGCAAGAAATCTCTGCCAGAATATGTTGGTAAGATATTTGAAGAAGCAAAGTAGAATAATAATTGTTGAAGATCCTAAATTAAATGTCTAATCATTTTCTCAAAACTCCATTGTGTATATGGATTGTTGACTAAGAATATTTCTAGAAGGGAATATAAAAGTAACTGAAACTCTACATATTGTCTGATTAGCATTTATATCGTATATATTTATAATTGGATAAATATGTAATTGTCATGCTGTGTAGAAATAGAGACAATTGAGGCAAGCGATAGCAACAAGATTTTAGGTTTGGCACATACTCAACTTCTAAACTTTACGATTAAAATCATAGGATGATCCCAAATTCTCGAAGTACTTAGGTGGGATTTATCTCGCAATAGTTTTCTTATTGAAGTTTAGTTCATATTATTAATTGCATTCACCTTAAAATACTAATATATGCTACCCATTCTATCTACAACATGAAAGGTGCTATTAAAGTTACCAGTAATAAAGCTATTAGAGTCAAGAGTGGAGGCTATTGAAAACTTGTCAAAAATGCATTCGTTTTCATACAGATCACATAATTTAGATTTAAGTGGTTCAAAGACTTAGACGGTAGCAACTGGTTTATTGGCCATAGCAATGTCCCAAACTTTGACAGTAAGGAAATCTCTTGAGAAAATGTATTTTCCATTTCTACTGAAACATGCATCAGATATGGAGGTTACTATTTCTGTAAAGAAATTCTTCTTGGCTGGATCTTCAGGTTCAGCCATAGTAATAGCAGTATTATCACAAATACCTGACTTTCTCATGTCACACAGTTTGATGATTCCTTTGCTGGTAGTATACAAAAATTAATTATCCAAGGTTGGATGAAAAGTAGAGGATGTGATCACTTCACTTAATTCATCTAAATTCTCTGGTTTTAAGTCAACAGCCACAAAGGCTTTTGATGGTTACTCCACACTCCATAAGTAAACCTTTAAATCATCTGAAGTCAAAACGAATTCTTCGTTATTGGAAGCAGTTAATGAATTTATATGATAATTATGTAGATTTGGAAATACTTTTCTCACACTTGAATTTATAGAATATATTAAATTACCTTGGAATGAGTCCACTTTCAACAACCTATAATTTGGGCATTGCTAAATCTTTTCCACTTGGTTTAATAACTTTAGTGACATTCTTCTCACTGATCTTCCACAACTTCACTGTTTTATCATTAGTAGTCAAAACATACATGTTTTTACCTTGTCCTCTCAACCACTGAACTTGATTGATCTTTTCCTCAATATCAGTACTCTTCAAGAAATCAAACTCTCTTGTATGAGATTGAAGTTCAGTCAAATACCTATACAATCGCTCAATATTTATACTAATATTCTGCTTTATCTTTCTTCTTAGTTTATGGAACTTCAAAAACTATTAAACGTCCTGCCCTGTCTCCCAATCCTAAAAATCTTCCCGTCCTTTCAAATTATACTGCTGAGATAATGTCTTCATCACTCACATTATCAGATGAGGCTTTATCGCCAAATACTTACATGAATTTCCAATCTTATTTCTTCATTTTTATTTTTTTTAATTAAAATATATATCAAACTATAAAAAAATTCATCATTTAATCATTCATCAATCCCTATAATCGTACTCACTACCCCTAAGACAATGTCTATATATTTATTTCGTATAATCTAGTATGGTTAATTAATTTAATAACATTTTATAGCATTATAAATAGGAATCATTAATGAATTCAACTTGTTAAGAATAAATTTGGGAATGGAGTTTGGATAAATATCTACATAATCAAATGAAACAATATAAGAAGAAATATACAGAATATCCAAATATATAACTAAAATCAAATAAAAACAAAATGCTATCAAAACCCATCATAGAATAAACTAATCATCATAAAGAACTCATGATTAATTTTTAATATACCATTTCTAACATAATATTTCAATAATAATACTATATTTTTCAATACACCATTTGTTTGTTATTACTTTAATGAATTAATCAAAATATATAAATCAAAATCTCACTTCTAAACAAAAATTTATCAAAGACTTCGTTTTAGGATCCCTAAGCTACTTTACGACTATTTTAATCTGCACTCCATTACAACGTTATCAAATGCTGATCATCCAACAATAAAGAAATCCTTTCAAAAGCCATCATAGAACTTTGATCCAAATTTTATATGAACGTGCTGAAGTATCATCAATGTATTGATCCAAAGGGCATCAATCATCTCTGGAGAAGCCATCCTGATGATCTCAGATATATATTCTCTCATGGATTATTGTTTGCCATCAATGACACTTACAAAAAACTTATAAATTCCTATCTCAAAGATGACAAACAATCAAAAAATGCATTCATAGCAGGAGGTTTGGCTGGGATGACTCACTTATTTTTGAATTATCCTTTCCTAGTGGCAAGATTAAAACTAAAAGACCCTGAATATAAGAAAATCTCTCTATTTGAGAATACTTTTGCAACTTAATTCATCAGAATCATCAAAACTGAGGGAATCCTTACATTATATAAAGGTTTTCCTCTTTCATTGTTGAGCACAGCAATTTATAGAGCCATATATTTTGGAGGCTACAATCATTTCCAAAAGTACTTGTAAGTAATTCCTTTCTTTAACAACATAATAACAAAAATTGCATTATCATTTGTAATAACTACTATTGCAGAAATAGTGTCATACCCTTTGGAATAGCTTACTCCTAAGAAAAGTATATTGATTCTATAAAATAGCAAGAACTTATTTTAATGAGATGACTGAAGTCATTGGCAAGTATAGAACCATGAGAGGGTGTTTAGCAATTGTATTTTATGGAGAGTTATTTTGTATTTATGATAAAGCCATGGCTTCATTTATATTGGATAGAGATGAATTAAATTTATGACTCATTATCTATATATTTCATTTAGAATCATTATTATTGAAAGAATATTTCTATTATTTACTTAATATTAAATAGCTAAAAATCGTTGTTTATTAACAGAATATTAATAAATTATTTGTCTCATTTCAAAGCAACTGACGCAACTGACTTAAACATGAGAGATTATTCAAATGATAACTGAGAATGTAAATTTTAAATTTATTAAATAAGTAATCTTATTTGTTTGATCATATTATAATATAATTAAAATAAATATTTGAGATGTAAAGAATAAATTCATGTAATTGTTTTTATGATTATTATTTAGATTTGAAAGCTTGTGATATATTTGCTCAATCACCATCCTTAGGTATGAATCAATAATCAATATATTAATCAATATTTGGTGGATTTACATCAATAACAACCATTTTTCTCGTATTTCTCTTTTTCTCAAGCAATTTTCTGGACTATTTAGAAGGAAAAAACATTATAACAAAATAAACTTAAGTCTATGATAATGATCTTTCCAATCTCCAACTCGATGATCAGGATTTCATAATAGCATTTGGAATTGAATAATAGAACTTTATAACTCAGCCTTATTTTTCAGTCACTCTGCAACAAAGGTAATTTATAACATATTCAAAATCAGAGAATACGAAAGACTGGATAATGGATCGATTTAAAGAAATGTCACTTAACTTCCCCTTGAGCCTTGCAAATTAGAAAGATTTCAATCTATATTTCTGAAATATGGTAAAAACTTTTCAGAAGATTTTACTCATTTGCAATTGGAGAACTTGTTGTGTCCAAAGTATTTATTTGTACTCTATCATAGAACTAATATCAGGATGAATATTGGTGGTACATTTGCATGTAAAATTAAATTTTATAAATTAGCTAATTATTTTAATTTTCTTAAAATTGAAGTATCTACTTGCAATCCATCCTAAATTATAGAAAACAGCACATGTGCTACTAATGATGAACTCTAAAATTAATTAGATTTATAAGGAGCATTCAAAGTATAAGTCTATTTAATAAACAAAGTATGAGTTGTTATATTTAGGTAATTAATCCAAACAAGATTGGATCAGATTATATTTCTGTTTTTTTAGATGATTAAAGTTATTTATCATTTGTACCTAAAAAATTAAATAAGTATGCAAATATTTATTTTCGAGAATATAAGTTTAGGAATAACTTAGATTTTTATTCATTGAAGTAAAATTAATTTCTGACTTAGGGATAACGAAAATTTCAATTTTATTTCAATAGACAACACTGAAACAAAAGAAGTAATAGATTTAGGAAGGGATTAGGACACATCTTTTGCATCATTTTATTTTAGAAAAAGTCCAATAACAATATCAGTTGAAAGAAACAATTAAAGTGTGACTGACTTATTGTCAAAATTAGGAGGATTGTTGTAAATATCATTAATAGTAATGGGATTCATTATAGCAGCTTACAACAAATAAAAAAGTAATGATTCAGTATAAATTTAGTGATGGTGGAATTATCAAATAAAATATATGAATTTAGTTCAGATGGGGATGAATAAAACAAATAGCATTAATTAAATCTTGAACTAATCAATAATGTTTATGAAGATCGACAATTTAGACATGAATACTATGTTAATAAAGAAGGATAATAATAAATTATCCCAAGTAGTTAAATCAAACATCAGAGTAAGATTTTCAAACTCTTTGGTAAGGGTCAACCTGAACAACATATTATTTTAACTGATAGACCTACGACTGAGAATAATGAATGCAACAACTAATTTTATTATGAAAATGATGACAAGAGTAACTAATTTACTTAGCAAGCTATAAAGGATCATGGAGTATTGGCATAATAGTTGAAGTGTGTGAGCGGTCTAGATTACTTTAAAAAATAGATCAATCTAATTTTAAATAGATCGTAACCTTTACGATTTAATATAACCATATTTCTCAATTAAATATGCTTTCGAAAAGTCTTTTAAAATTCAAAATCCGTTTAATTCTACAATTGTGCACTGTATACTATTATTATATTTTAATTTAAGTGACAAAATCAATGAGTAGTTAGATGTGTTCAACATTATTACAAAGTTAAATGAAATTGACAAAATGAAAGAAATAATACTAACTAATTCACAGTAACTTCTTTTCAATTTTACTTCAAAACCTATAATCTCTTTAGAGGAAGATAAGGAAATGCCGTTCAATCGAACAATCCTAGAGGAAAGAGTAAGAAATACAATGTAAACATTACGAATATAATTAGGAATGAGACAATTTGTGATGATAAAAAGAAATAAAATCTAGTAAAACGTAAACCAATTCATAAATAATTTAATCGTACCGTAAGTCTGGATAAAGATATGAGAATTTACAACAGGATTTATAGAGTATTATCATCTTGATTCTAGGCTTATGACACTGTTCTTCAATAAAGTTCAGAACTAAATCCATAGCATGATGTCAATAGAAAGTTAATCAAGAAATTAGGAGATGAAATATAGGCAATTTTCAAATTATCTAAATTGCTTGATTTTGATGGCTTAAGAAGACTTCGAGCTAATTCAAATAATGATATATTCTGTAGAAATACGTAAAATTTACCAGATGAAATGTTAAGTAAATGATTGATCTTTTATTTTATATATAATTAATGCAAACACTAAAATGGGGTACAATTATTCAATTAGTCAGGTTTATAGAGAGTTGATGTTTTCGGCTAGATTGTATTTCTTCGAATGAATAAATAAAACTATTATCGAACCAAGATCGGAGGAGGATTCTCTGTTGCAGTGCTTTTTCTTATGATTTATTTTTACTCTTAAAGTCTCTCATCTTTCTTTTTGAAAGAATACTTGAAAGTAGTCTCATCCAATGAGTATGAAGACTAAATACAACAGATTTAAGTTGACAATTCAGAATTCATGTTTGCATTTAAGATAGAACAAAATAACTTCACTACTTCTCCTTATTTCAATTTAACACTGGAATAAAAGTAGTTTTTACTCCTTATTTGAGGCAATATAAAAGAAATCAGAACGGATAGTAAACCAAAAGCTCCTTCAATTATCCATTGATCCCTTGTACGTTAGATAGGTTTTAGAACATATTCTCCAAATACTAAAATGACTTTGAAGAACAATTTAATATTCTTGGAATCAATGACTTTCTATGTCCTTAGTAAAAATATATTCAATTAATAGATAAAACACAACCTTATCTATGGGAGGAACATACACAAGTAAATTATAAAATCATTTCTAGGTAGCGAGTTTTAATTTTTTACATTGTCAATTGCAAAATGTGAAAATAATGAAAAAATGGATTGTGCATCACAATAAGAAATAGATGAATATTTATAAACAATGGGATCATTTAAAATTTCAATCTATACCATTAACTAAGTAAGTTTAACTCTTCATGATCATAGATAATAAATCCATATAAACAACAATATCGATCTGTCTTTTTAGATGATTAAATTTACTTTACATTTGTTCCTCATTAAATAAATAGATAAGCCAACATTTACTTTAGGAAATATGAGTTTATAAATGATTAAAGTTTAATGCCTTTTAGGTAAAATTTGATACATTTCTTAGTGACATCCAGTAAGATACTGTCTTTTAAATTGATCAAACTGATATTAAAGAAATGTCAGATATTGGTACATCAAGTGATATAGTATTTGCAACATTTAATTTTTAACTTAATCCATTTAAAACAAAATTTGTTAGAAATTATCAAAAAATTGATGAGTTGCTTTCAAATTTAGGTGGAATTTAACAAGCTTTTTTCTTTTTTATTGGCTTAGCCATCGGTCTTTACAACAGAATCTAATGTAAATTAGAAAATTATCATAGTTTTAATTGAGTTAGCCAATAAAATATTTGAATTTTAAATAGATTAAACGTTGCAAAATAGGCAACATCAAGAAAATTTGGAATTGATTGACGAATTTATGCAACACAGGGAAAATCATATTCATGCAAATTCAGATGAAAATATAAACGAATAAGATAATTAACAAATGGAGGAAAAATTATCACCTAATATATCTTAACGGTACAATCTGCTAAATTTGTTTGTAAATACAGGTGGAACTTATACAAAAAATACAACCAAATCGAAATCAACTAGGGAAGCATATAGGCAGTAATATCGGATGGCTGAAAAGTTAAAATAAATGACAGGTTTAGATTACTTTTAAAAATAAATTATTAATATAATTGAAAGATAGAAACCAATCTACTTAGACTTTTTAATATTTTGTAATTATATTAGTTGTGGGAAATTATTTAAAAATAACCCCAGAGTGATACTTATAAATAAAGCATTGTATTTACGATATTTAATATTAAGTGAAAATATTTTAGATTAATTGGATGTCCACCACATACTTTTAAAATTAAATGAATTAGACAAATTAAAAGAAACAGTCTTAAATTATAAATAGCTTCTTATGTTTAATTTCACTCCTAAACCATAAATAAACTTAGAAAACAATGCAGCTTAACCTTCAAGACAACTAATTGAGTAAATAGTAAAGAGTCCAGGAATCACAGAGAAGTATTTTTTATTTCAAATATTTAGAGAAGATTCAATACAAACAGTAAATTAAAAATAATGGTCTCGAAATTATTTTAGCTTGTTTGGGGATCACTTAATTTACTCTAAAATATTTAATGTAAATATATATTAAGAGACAAGGCATATGATGACATCCTTCAATCAAGTGATACTGTTTATACAAACAAAGCCCTTATTTAAAAATTAGGTCCTGAATTATAGATTGTATTCAAGTTGTCTAAACTTATTGATATCCAACACAAAATATATAATAAGTAACGTAATCCCACAAGAAGAGGAGCTATGTAAGAGGATGAGGAAGATCTATGTGTAAAAATGTTTGATTAATAAAGTTAATGAAGTTTAACTATTTTTATAAATCAAATCTAGAATATGGATGGAAGAGGTTTACCAGTTATTAATTTACAGCCTGCACAATGAAGTAATGAAACAGCAGGGTAGATGGGCCCTTGTTTCAATTTTTCATCAGTGTAGGCAGTACCCATAAGTTCTCCATTTAAACTAAATTTTAAAGTTCCTGTGTTCATATTCAAACAAACACCTAAGATTCCATCCTTCTTAAATCTCTTGCCAAAAGATGGTCCAGTGGCATTACTATTATGACGCAACTATTCAAATATTAATGAGATTTGATACCTATGCTAATCCATAATAAGCCCAACCAAACTCAAAGTCACAAAATGCAGTATTGTAATTGAAGTCTCTTTAAGTCGACACTCCAATCTTTAATTCATTTTCTGTTTTTTCATCTGCTTCAATTTCCCAATATCCAATGCCTTTTTCAAACCCATGAGTAGCAATAGCAGTTCTAAACATATAGGCTTATTCCTTTAAGAATATTTTTGTATCTCCATCAGAAGATGTTATGCCAGCTCCCATTCTTTATCTGTCCCATTTAAATACCGGGTAATCTTGATTTTAAACAACTGGAATGTTAAAACCATATGGTTAAATTTGAATAATTGGTTTTCTCTCTTTAACATACTATTTTAAACATGAATAGAGGTCCTATTTATTTTTTGTTTATTTGATTCTACTCAAGAGTAGACAAGCTTGATCGCAAACCTAAAATTAATCAATAATTTGCTATACCTTTTGTTTCTCAAATTCGTTTGTTCCTAAATTGTTTCCACAGATGTCATAATTAGAGCATTTTGGTATTTAACAGTTGTTCTCATGCTTTTCAATCTCAGCTATCTTAAAGGGCTTTTAACAATACTAGCCTATTTAATTAGTTTAAAAATATACATCGAATCTCAAGATCATCATATATTCTCTTTAATGACTTTTAAATTCCTTGTATTACTGAGGTCTTAGGACATCTATTGATGCATTCTCTTAAAGATTAGATGAATGAATTACTATTATTTTTTAAGCCATGAATCTACGCAAGGTCCACAAAAAACTGATCCACATGCACTACAATCTTTTGGTAACCTAGCAACACATGAACATATTGGACAATCAAAGGTGTCTTGAGTATAATTGACGAATCTCTCTTTATCAAAGCCATATTCATCTCCCATTTTACGATTAAAATTTTGTTGAAATAATATTGCTTTTAATTTTATAGAGTAATTGAATTTATATTAATTTGTTATTTCTAGCAAAATATATGATGCTCAGATTCTATAATCATAAAATTTTGCAATATTTCAAATAATTTGAATAATATGTTTAATTTGCTTATAGATCATAAATATCAAATATCCTTTCATTGTTTAGATGCTAATTGAGGGAATAATGCCTAAATGTTCATTGATTTATAACCTAATAAAAAACATGATATTTGTCATTTACCTAAAATTAAAATAATTGGTATGTATGTGTAATAAAATAATCTCATTATTAAGTGTTTGCCATCAGTTGTTGACCATCTTAATATTTGACTGAGTTTCATTATTTTTTTTGTTTTATTTTAATTTTAATTATGACAATAAATAATATATATAAATTTAACTATTCCTTTAAACACTTATAAATTTACATCTCTCTTGCTTCAAATGGCATCAAATCTTCCTCTTTAATTTTAACATCATTATGGGGATTAATATTCTCTAAAGTGCATTTAAAAATGAAGCATAATCGAAAATTCTCTTATTTGATTTTAGTAATTTTCAATAAGCTGCTATATTAGAATTATAGAGAATTTAATCAAAAATAATGCTTATTTAATTTGTAAATTATAATTTTCATTATCAATACATATTCAAAAAAGGAAAATAGAAAAGCTATCCAATTAATACTTTTAGAATTACCTAGTTTGATTAAATTCTTTATCAAATGCTTTGATTTCTTCAAAATATTGATAAAAAAAGTGTTGGTCAAAAATTTAATTTAAATGATCATACTAATAATTCATTATAAATAAAATTATATAGCAATAAAAATTAATTATTAACTTCTAAATTAATTGAATACATGTGTTAATTTTTCAAGGATATATTATTTTAATTTTTCTCAGAATTTTGGTTAATTCAAAATGTCAAAACAAAAACCATTAGATATTTATTATTTGAAAGCATTATGGATAGATATTTGTATTAATTATTTTTAATTTTTAATTTAATGTAAGTTGTATAAGAATGTATATTTACCTGATCATATTATAGTTCTCAAGAGGTGCGATATTTTTGGATAGGGAGTTAATTTTAATTATAAAAAAGAAGATACATACAAGACAGGATTTGGAGGATTTGCATCTTTAGTGATAATTGTTGTTTTGGTTGTCTTTTTTCAATCAAATGTTATCACTTTTTTTGCAAAAACCCAAATTTTTGTTGCCTAAACTACAGATTTCCAAGAAGACCCCGACCTAATTGAACTAAATGATGACAATTTTATGATTGCTTTTCAAATTGAGCAGACAAACTTTACAACAAGTCCTTACTTTAACATTACAGTGTTACAGCAGTAATGAACTTAATTTAGATAGGAATTCTACACGATTGGATAATGGAACAGTGATAAAACTAGCTCAAGAGGTCAACTTAATTCCTTGTACACTAGACAGATTCCAAAAGGTTTTTACAAAATACAATGTTGATTTCAAAACACAATTTGACTAAGTAGGACTAAAGAATTTCCTATGTCCAGATTATAACTATTCATTAAAATTAGCTGGAAGGTACGCAAGTCATGAATTCGACTATATAAAAATAATCGTGACAGATTGCAATAATAATACTAGTCAAAATTCTCGATTAACTTGGAAGCCTACTTGTCAATCCAAAGAGGCAATTTCAAGTTTTTTATCAAAGAATTCAGCATTTAAGGTTTCCCTTTACATGACAAACCTAGTAATGAATCCTACAAATCCATAAGATTACGCAACAGCATTTTTGGATGACGAATTATATTTTACTTTTGTATAAGATTAAGTTTATGCTAGACCCCTAAATAACTATCTAGATAAGCTAACATATTTTGGAGGAAATACAATTTTTAAACAGATGACAGTTTGACGCCATTTAAAGGAATTGTCAACGAAACTTATAATGTTCGATCAGCTACAGATTATAGAGATCTAACATTGTTGGGAACAGCAGTAGATAGCACATATGCTCAATTTTATATGAGAAGGAGTACATATTCGGAAAATATTAAGAGAAATTATTAAAAAGTAGATGATTTAATGTCTTATTTGGGAGGATTCTTATAGATAATGATAGTATTCTTTGGATTCTTTATTTAGGTTTATAACAAATAATCCTGTAACTCATTTTATTTTATAATTTAGAATTAGTTGATTTATCAAATGAATTGTTTGATTTTGATATAGATGATGGTTCATAATCTAAATTAAATAGAAATGATTTAATATCGAATGCTGATGATTTCGACTTTCAAGCCTAAGCCTAAGACTCAAATCAATAACAATCAATGATGAGTTTGGGACAAGTACAGCAAAGCGTCAGATTAGATAAAGATTAAGCAAATATGAATAAATCACAAAAATCCATAAAGAATCCATCCAAAGGAGTTTCGATTAAATAATTAAACTCAGTTCAAGAAATTATTCCTTTATCTTAATTATCTATTAATAATATTAAATTGTTGGAGAAGCATTAGACTTCGTTGGACAAAATTGGAAGTAAAAATGGAAGATAATACTTTTTCGAATAGATTTAAAAAATCTTTGCTAAAACTAGAAAGCTGGAATTTACTTTTAAGTTCTTTTTCTAAAAGATATTTTGTGAAAGAATGATGAAAAATCCTTAAGTTCTATTATTGAATAAAGCTGTGTACATAATTTAATTTATTTTAGAAACCAAATTAATGCAGAATTGGATGTGTTTGGTATTCTTGATAAATTACATGAAATAGATAAATTAAAAGAATTGTTATTAAAGAAACCTCAATAAATCATCTTTAATTTTACTCCAAAACCGTTGATTACCTTGCAAGAATCAAAATCCATGCCTTCAAGACAACGGGCTTAAACTCTGAAATCATCAAAGCATTCGAGGTAATCATTAAATTAATTTGAGATCTATGAATAACATTAATAAGGTAGAATCTTCAATGAAAATCTAATTGGATTAGGTGAGCAAATAAGTAATAGAAAACAAGGAGAATTTTCTTGATCCTGATTCTCCTTAGTATCTATATTCTAAGTTGTTTAAAGTATAGTATTTATTCTATAAGGCATATGAAAGACTGATGGCTTTAATTGAAAATTAAGATGAAGATGCCTATCTAAACAATCAATTAATCAAAAAGTTGGGACCTTAAATCTAGAACATTTTTGAAGTTTCGTGGCTTTTAATCTAACAAACTAAAACTTCTAAAGAGATTGATGTAACAGATCGAGCTAAAAGGCTCATATCCACAAAATTTAGCAAATTTAAAAATCAAGTTTAATAAGATAAAGAATCAGATGGTGAAGTAGATCTTCAGGATATTGAAATGCAATTAAGTCCAAAGACATCTTAAAATTAGAGCATCTTGAAAAGAGTTATCGGAAAAAGAAATTCCAATGAATTTTGAAATTAGACAATAAGAAATTTATATATATATAATTTATTAATTCTGAAAACTTACTTACTTTTGGCGAATATAAGCTTACATCATCAACATTTCTGTGTAACAATCCAAATTATAAATGATATATGTATTGTAATGTTCATTTAAGTTATTTAGAGAAAGTGCATTTGAGATTTATTAAAAAAATGCAGATATTTTAAATTTTATTAACTAAACACACTAATTTTCATTTCCAAATTAAAGGAATTATGGATAACAATAATAAGATATTTCCTAAAATCTATCCTCCGGTAAATGTTATCTTTAAAACCAAAAAGTCGATTAAATAACCGAATAATATTTAGATTTAGCTAACATTAGAAATGACACTTAACTTTCCCTATCTCATAGCTATTATTTATAAATATCCTGCTAAAAGAGATACAACAGAAATAACGATAATCATTAGGGTTGTATTCATAGAAGGAATTATAAAACTAAAAATAATTAAGAAATATTACTTAGATCCAATTATTAATGAATTACATGAAGGGAAGATTATTGCAAAAAAGGATTGATAACAGGAAATTACTATACTTGCAACCTAATTTTAGATATAATATATTACTTATTTATCGAGCGATTTAATTAAAATATTTACGATTGCTTATAGAATAGATGCCAGCAATACCAGTATTATACCTATTATATGATAATATTAGTTGTCTCCATCATCATGCTATTTATTATTCATAGCATTTCCTGTGACCAAAAATATACCAAAACCACAAAGCACCATATTCAAAAGTAATCTCAAATTAAATTACTCCTTTTTCAAAACAACAATCTAAATAAATGAAGTCCATAGTGGAGACATTCTATTCAAAATAATAGATTCAGACACTAATACTAAATCTAATCCTCTAAAATATAGAAAAGCACCAAGCCCTGCTAAGAGTCCTCTCTATATTAAATTAACAGTAGTTTGCTTATCAAAGTTATAAGCTTGTAGTTTATAATGGTCGATTGCAAATAAGAGCAAAATGAAACTACATAACGCCCTTAAATATAGAGTTTAGTTGAAATCTAACTCTTTGACTAATTTAATTAGCATGGCTGTAATTGCCGCAAATAAGGATGAGAGTATTTACTATATTATGGCAATTTTATCAAAGTCCATTGCGAATTATAGGTAATTAAATATTCAAAATTTTATGAAATAACACCATTTATCATTTAAATTACGATAATAATTAAGCATTTTCTTAAACACGTGAATTTTAATTTGAAATTTCTTTTAAATTGCCTTTACTTATATATATACATTTACGATCTTATATGTATCAATCCTATGAAGCAATATTTTACAGAATTAATAATAAAATATTAATTATATTGATAGTTTCTTTATATAAATCATTAATAATAATTTTATAATTGAATGAAAGTAGTTCAAGGATGTATTTTTTATGTAATTTCATAGTTGTTAAAAGTTGCGATATCTTTGGTTAAAAGGTGGACTTTAACTATAAAAAATAAGAAACTTACAAAACAGGATTTGGAGGATTTGCATCTCTAATAATTATAGTTGTTTTAATTGTTTTCTTTCAATCCAATGTGTTAAGCTTTTTTGCAAAAATCAACATTAATGTCAGTTAAACAACAGAATTTCAAGATTTTCCTGATTAAATTACCTTAAATGAGGAGAATTACATGATTGCATTGTAAATTGAATAACAAAATTTTACAATTAATCCATATTTCAACATCACTGTAGTTTAATAGTATAAATTTAGCTAATTATAGAAGTTCTACTAGATTAGAAAATGGAACAATGTTGAAGACGACGACTGAAATTAATTTGATTCCATGTTCGTTAGATAGATTCTAAAAAGTCTTTTCAAAGTTTAATATTGATTTTAAATCTCAATATTATTCAATAGGACTCTAAGATTATTTATGTCCAGACTTGAATTACTCTATGAAATTAAGAGGAAGATTTGCCAATAGAGAATTTAATTACATAAAAGTCACAGTTTCAAAGTGTAACAATGATACAAGCCAAAATTCTATTTATACATGGAAACCTGTTTGTAAATCAGAAGAATCCATATAAAGTTACCTCTAAACTACTTCAGCCTTTAAGGTTTCCCTTTACATGACAAATTTAATAGTGAATCCATCAAGTCCTTAAAATTTTGTTTCAGCATATCTTGATGACGAACTCTATTTTACATTCGTAATTTTTGTTTAAATCATAGACACCCAAACTGCTTTAAAGGTAAGGAAACATATTTTGGAGAAAATACAATTTTGAAACAGATGAGAGTCTGACGCCCTTTAAAAATGTAATTAATGAGACATTTTATGCTCGAACTGCAATAGACTTTAGGGATTTAACATTATTAGGAGCAGATACCGATGTTATATATGCTTAGTTTTATTTAAGAAGGAGTACTTTCAATGAAAATATTTAGAGAAATTATTAAAAAGTAGATGATTTAATGTCTTATTTGGGAGGATTCTTATAAATAATGATAGTATTCTTTGGATTCTTTATTTAGGTTTATAACAAATAATCCTGTAAATCATTTTATTTTATATTTTAGAATTAGTTGATTTATCCAATGAATTGTTTGATTTTGATATAGATGATGAAAATAAAAAGCCATTATTATCGAATCCTGATGATACTTAATAGTAGATATTACATTAAAATCAATCTTAATCGATGGTTAGTCTTGGATTTGAATTAAGCAATTAAGGAGGCAAAGATTAAATAATTAATAGTGCACAATAGTAAATTAGAAATTCAACATAAGAATTATTTTTATCGAATTTAAACTTAAAAAACTATCAGTAATAATCATAGAAAAAATTCTATTATAAAGACCAACTAGAATAAAAACATAAGGATGAATTAGAGAAAAATAGATAAAAAACAGGTAAGTAATATTTTTATGAATAAATTTAAAAACTCTTCGAGAAATAAGTAAAAATAGAATTTACTTTGAAGTACTTAATAAAAAGGATCTTTTGTCAAAAAGCTCTAAAATCTCAAGAAGAAAGATTACTAAATAAAGCAATGTATTTATAATATTAACCTAATAGAAATTAAGTTAATTCTGAACTAGATTTATTAGTTATTTTGAATAAAATTCAAGAGTTGGATAAATTAAAAGATTTATTGTTAAAAAAGCCATAATAAATCATTTTTAATTTTACGCCTAAACCTTTAATAGCATTAAAGGAATAGAAAATATTTCCTAATAGATAGTTAATCCATTAATCAAGTATGTAAAAATAGCCTAAGTAATTTATTATTTTAATGCAGTTTTGTTAATGATATGGATTCATCAATATAGATAGGATAGGATAATGGAAATATGGATTAGTTAAATACTCAATAAAATTTATCCTTTAATAATCCTCCATAACGAATGTATTCTAAGCTTTTTAAAGTAATTAAATTATTAAACTACTAGGCGTATGAGAAGATCTCAGTTGATATAGATAAGTAAACAGAAGATGGCAGAATTAATGTTCAATTGATGAAAAGTTTAAGCCCATAGATTTAAAATATTTTTGAAGTTACACAATTATTAGAGTATCAGGAGAAGTTGTACAAATAGAACGAGCTAATTTAAATATCTAATTTATTTAAAAAATGATTTTGAGTACTTATATTATAGTTTATTTTTCTAATCTTAAAAAAGTGAACTTGAGGGGTTTTAATTATTTTACAATATTATTATTAAATTATATATGGCATTTGTATTTCAAGCTGAAAGAGATATTAACAATGCATCTGGGGCTCTGCCAGCAAATGTAGGTCCTGGAAGTTATATTGAACATAGAAAATATGAACCTAGGCCTCATGCTGCTCCTTTTAATACACAAGTTGCAAGAAGCAAGCCATTAAAAAAAAGCAACTCGCCTGGTCCTGGCAGTTATAATGTTGAATTTGTAACAGAAGGGTAATTATTATGAGTAATTTTTAGTTAACGAGTTGTTTTGTAATCTGCATAGTCTGAAGTGAAAATTGTTGAGCAATAGAAACAGCAATCAGTATTTATGTCACAGACCAAGAGATTTTAGGAATAAAAAGTATTGGAGACTCCAGGGTATTATTTACATTTATGTCAGTCCTGGGGCTTATGAATCTACATCCCAAAAGAAAATTGCATAACAACAATACACATCCCAAAATTATATCGACAATCTAATGAAACTAAATAAATATTAATCCATACCATCGATCCCAACAGCAAGTCAAGTGTATGGTTACACTGATAAAGGACGTAATACATTAAATATAAACTGATAGCCCACGATTTAGAACTAAACAAGAGTCCAAATCCAATATTTACAGGATTAAAATCAGATACTGTTGGGCCAGGATAATATTAATTAAAGGACACTTTTGATAATAATAAGAATAAAGGCCCTTCTTGGCATAAATCCAGAGTTCCCAAATTGGCTCCACCTTCAAGGGAACTGATAGTTGGACCTGGAGCCTATGATCATGAAAATTCTATCATCCCTCTGTATAAGTTGAATCCTTCAGGCAATTTTCTCTCTAAATCTTAAAGAATGTTCGATTAATAAAAAGGACAGAAAACAAGAGAATTTATGAGAGCATAGTTTGAAAATTAGAAGAAAAAACTGATGTAAAATCCTGTATTTGCAGACATTGAAGATGAAGATGTTGAATTTTATGATGTAAAAACAATGTTTAGATGTAGAATGCAACACCAGGACCAGGATACTATTTAGGAAATTAAACAACGTTTTCCACTGCTTCTACATACTCATAGTCAATGCCTAAAGCTTAAAGTGGTTTTGGTTCAAAATAGAAAAGATTCAATGAAATATAGTAATAAAGACAGATCTAGATGGGACCAGGGGATTACAGAATAGAAACAAATCTGGTCAAGAATAATATGGCGATGAAAAATATTCCATTCCTATCTTCCAATACACGTTTTGAGAGTAGGGCATTGGAAAAGAAACCAGGGCCTCAAAGTTATAATCCTAAAATTACAGTAATAAATATATTCTATAGAAGCTAGAAGATAAGTTAATTAAGAAATTAGAAAGAGCCCCAGTAGGAAAGTTTGGATCGAATTAACCAAGATTTGATGATCCTGAAAATGAATAACCTGGACCTGGAACTTACGAACCTAATTTTTAAGATCCTGCTAAAAGTGCTGCTTGTGTTTTCAAATCTTAAACAAAAAGAAGCATTATTGGTGGTAAAGATAATATGCCTGCTCCAGGAGCTTATGATGTGAAAAATTACACAATAGAAAATTCTACAAAAGTAGAAAAGGAGGAAGACAAGGATCTTATTATCAATAAACCAGGATTTGGATCTTCCTTACCAAGATTTTAGGAAAAACCAAAAAAAGGTATAGATGAGGAAGATGAAGAAGAGGATGTCCAATTAAAACATAATGCTTCTGATTTATTTCAGAAAAAGAAGAAAGACCATCCAGCCTTCAATTGTTAAGTAAAATAAAAGAAATATTTTAAAAGGAAAATAGATTCTAGTACGAATAGAAAAAGAATAATCTTCCAGGACCTGGAGAATATTTCGATTAAAAATAGAATCCCTGGGATAAAAAGACATTTAATATTTTATTTTCAGAGATTTGATGTTTAATTTATTCATTAAGTTTTACACTTATAATATATTGTTAAAATAAGCAATAATCAAAGTTATTCAGTTTGCAATATTTCTTTCAATTATTGAATACTAACAATACGTTGTGAATGAGTACTAAATATTATACTGATATATATTTACATTGTAGATCTTGTTGTGTTTAAAGATGACTAAGAATGTGGCAAACTTACACCTTATAAATTATTATAAATCTTGGCCACTCTTTTTGATGGGAAATTACTTTATCTGTCAGTATGATGAGTTGTTGCAATCACTCGTTCACTTATTTCCTTTGAAGGCAAATTTAATTTAGGAATTACAACTGAAGGTTGAGGTTATTATTATTAAATAGTAAATTATGATTATTATTATTGTTATTATGATTATTATGATTATTATTATGATTAATACTAAGATTATTATTTTTATTATTATTAAGATGGTTATTACACTTATTTTGCAGGAGTATGATATATTTTATTTTATTTTGTAGATGACACTAACGTTAATGTTTCTTAATTATTTTAGATCTTGGTTTTTGATGGCTACCATAATGGAGGCATGCTTACAACAGTTTATTTAGCTTCTCTTTCACTTTTTGATTCAACATGTCTAATTATTAAATATTTAATTACATTCTTGTAAATTTTAGGTAGCAATCTATACATAATTATAATTTTAGATTCATAAAACTCATATTGTGTCTTAAATTCTTATACTTCTCTATATCCATCTTACCCCATATTTTTAAAAGAAGACCTGGAATATTCAATGAACCTTCCACATAATAGTCCTCTTCATTGTCTGATTTCTTCACTGGATTTTTTGCTACTTTTTATCTTATAATAAGTGTTTCTTCATCAAATATCCCCTAATCATAAGATGCTATGTATTATTAGACTGTTAGTTCATACATTTCTCCTTGTAGTGAACAATTATTGCAACTGCTACCAGTTTGTTTTACAAATCCTTAAGTATCAACTGAAAACTTTGAGGTCTATCCAATTTTCAATTAAGTTTATAATAGCATAATTGGTGATTAGATTCTCTCTTTTTATTTAGGGAAATCAGATACAGTTTCTTCGTTGATGAACTATCATATAAACTTGTATCTATACTTTCTATCTAACTTTGACTCCGCTACTGAAAAGTAGCCATAACCTATTTTTTTCATCTATTTTAAAAAATAAAACCATTCTGGAAATCTAAATGTTACCTCCAGAAACATCTTAAATATGTTTAACTATATTTAGACATATTTATTCAATATCTGCTGATAATATTGGAGAGGCTATAGAATCAGTTGTGGATAGATGTTCAGGACCTTCAAATGTAACTAACCTATCCTCTATAGTTATTTTATTATTTTTAAGATCATTGTTATTTGTTTTCCTAGACAATAAGCAAAATTATGGACTCCAAGAAACCTTAATCATAGAGTTTCTAGATGATTTTGGTTCAACGAACTTTTATAATAGAGCATTTAATGCCTTTTCTCTTTAATGAAGAAATTGAACAAATTACCCTTTCTCAAAGTATTCAAATATAATTTTATTTTGTTAGCTTTATAAATATAAAGCTGAAATATCACCACTTTTCTAGAATATTTCTTCAATCTGTTCAACAAAAATTCGTTCTTTAGTCTTTCTTAATATCTAACCATCTTTGGCTGTAAAGTACCAAAAATAAGGCTGAGCCCATCTGTAAATAATTGTATCAGCCACAAACACTCCAGGACAACTAGAATTTGTATCAGGATTCTTTTTCCAAAGATGAAAGAATAACCACTCTGTTGACAATGAGAGTTTCATTATATTTAATATATATATTTCTAAATTATTCGTTCATAATTAAAATAGCAGACTTAGATAAAGTTTTTTATTTAATAATTTACATAATAGATAATTAATTCTCAGCATTTTAATCCCTATTTTTAATAACTATTATTCATAATAATTTATACTATCATACTACATACATTTTAATTTTTTACTACAGCAGTTAATAATAAAGATAAATAAATGTTAAATGCTATTTAAATATATGATTACTCAATTAATAATGTGACCAAAGTTGAGATTAAAATTATTATAAAAATTGGGTCAGTTTTAGTACAAAATGATCTAGAAAATCAGACAACCAGTTTAAAATTAGGCAGCTTCAATATTTGATTATATGTAAATATGTGAGGATTATATAAATAATAATTTTTTTATTTTTATGATTTAATTAGTATTGATTGATAAATAACATTTAGTATAGCACCTATTAATTACCAAGGTTAATTTAATAATTTTTTTAATTTCATTTCTAAATTAGTTTCTTAAATGTTTTTAAAATTGAATAAGCAAAATGTTGAATTAAGAGTATTTCAGAGTTTACTTGGTTGAATTAGATTTTTTGAATATGCTTTTTTAGGTTATTGTAATAAAATATCAATAGGTTATATTATAAATATCCTTTTTATTATAGGAGCATGTATAGTAAGTAGAAATGACTAATAATTTTCATATGATAAATTTCAATAATTATGGACAAAAATTGTAATCAATAGCATCACATAAAATCGGTCGAGAGAAATAAGTGATATATATGTCATAACAATTAAATATTTCAATAAAAGTTTTATTTCATTGGAAACAATTAAAGTAGTGATGAAATTGTAAAATAGAATAAAATTATAATTAAATGATTAATCAATCTAAATTCATTAAAAGGAAAATACTTCCTCTAAAAACTCACATTCTCTATTGATTTGGATGATAATATTTTGTTTGATTTACAGTAAAAAGAGTAAAACTATATAAATCTAAACTAACCTAAGACTTTGCTTCATTAAATGTAAAATTCTAACAAATATAGTCATATAAAACAATAATAGTTTTCTGTGTGTATTATTTTAAATAACTAAAATATTCCTTTTATTAAACAGCTTTGATAAAAAGGAAACTATAGGATTGGCTGAAAACTCTTTCATGAGGCTTTATACTTTTAGCTTTATCTAAAACTATATAACCTAGAAGAAAGATTAAGCCAATGCTGAAAGGAACTCTTTCAAAATATAAATAGTTGCTTAAATAAATTGTATAGTTTTAAATTTTAAAAATAATCAGTTATAATTAAGTCAATTTATATATATTTGGATGAGCTACTCAAGAGAGTTGATGTCAATAATATACATTTGATATTATTAAAAATTGAATAAATTTTAATTATAAAAATATAAATTAAAAAAAGTTTAGGTCATACCAGGACTCGAACCTGGGTCACTGGATTCAAAGTCCAAGGTGCTAACCACTACACCATACGACCTAAGCTGATTAGTATGTAATCTTATCACTTAAATGAGGACATCCCAAATAAACTATATTCAAATATTATAGTTATTATCATATTATTAAAATTAAAAGACTCTCCTTTAAACCATGCCATTTCTAATTTCTTAAACTAAATATTTTGAAAATAAGGATAATAATTTATCAAAAGAGTAGAATGTAATTAATGCTATTATTTAATCATTATCATTTAGAATAATTCTCATAATATAATATTTCATCTATTAACATGCAATCTCCCATTCTGCTTTTTCCTACAATATCTTCTAGATTTTTTCGAATCTAAAATAAGCTAAATGTATATACTTCAGCACTTCCAGTTCCTTTGGATAAATGATGACTCATAAATTGATATGCTTTATTAAAGAGGTCCGAACCCATGGTAGATATTGCCTTTTTCCTTAAGATTTGGATTCGATCATCATTATTGATGGGTACTTTTTAGGGAGATGCCGAAGATGAGTTCCAACTTTCTTAGCTCGTTTCCTAAATATCTAAAGAAGTTATAATATTTATACCTTCAAGTTTGTTACTAGATGATTTCTTCACAGTTTGATCCATCTAAATTTGATATAATTTGAGGACTTCCTCAATTTCACTGTCACCTTATTTAACGGTGAGTCTGTGATTATTGACTTCAAGATCTTCATCACTATTATATTCCTCAAATTCTTCATCCTAATATTATTAGGTGACTGAGAATTCTTATTTCTGATAATTAGTAGTAAATCTATCTAATTAAGATTTAGTGACTGTTTTTTCTTATTATCTGGTAGTATTATCAAAAGTAGATTGACACATTTCAGAATCAACAGTTTTATCAAACTACTCTAACTCTTTTTTAAAGGTTTCATTTTATTTTTTGGAATCATTTTATATAGTTTCATTGTATTTTTTAGATTCATTTTACAACTAAGGGATATAATAAATAAAATTATACCATTTATGAAGTTTTCTCATATTGACTAACTAAGGTTTCATCGTAGTTGTACATGTTGGATTTATTTGGTTAGGCTTAATATTGAGGCTTTTTGGTATTAACTTAAGATTCTTTAAATTATTATTATCTTTGTAATTCTTCATGATATTGTTATTGTTGTTTTCTCTTTTAGTTATAATCTAGAGATTAGCCACCTTGGAGATCTTGAATCTTTCTTTGTTGACTTGCTTATTGTTATAAAAAGCTTTATTTGCTTGCTTAGGCTAGCTCTCTTTATTCTCTTTATATTTTTTCCTCTTTTTTCATTTGCAATCGCTGTTAAGGAGTTAATTAACTAATGTCTATAGACTAGACAGTATCAATAGTGTTGTCATATGGATTTGTAGTGGTTTATTAAATAGTTTCTTCCTACTTGATCATTTTTCCAATTTAATTATGTGTATTTGTTCTTTTGATTGGGGCTTGATATTGAACTTTGCCTTACATTGCAACAAATTATTGCATAGTATTTCTGATTAGAGGGAAGTTGAAGATTTCAGTAGTGTGGGGTCTTTGATCAGCATTTTTGATTAAGAGTTTGTTAATGAGATCTGCTAACTCTTTTGAGTAATGTGAGGGAATTGCAGAAGCCTATTCTTTCACAATCCTATTCACTAAACCCAAGAGGTTATTTGATTTGAAGGCATGAGAAAGATTGCACAATTCATAGAGAACACATCCAAGTGACCAAACATCACTCTTGTAAGTGTAGGGCTTATTCTCACAGACTTCAGGACTAAGGATAAATTTAAGTGATTACCTCATATAATAGGGAGTTCCCACAACAGTATTGGCCTGGTCTTATGTGTGTTCTAAAACTCTGGAGATACCAAAATCACCTATTTTAACAAAACCATTGGAGGATAAGAAAATATTCTGACTTTTTATGTCTCTATGCAAAATCTTCTATTCATGGATATATTTCAAAGCTAAGGCGCATTGAAGAAACCAATTCAATATGATTTGTTCTGGAAAGTACTCCTTTCTTTGACTCATTCTGTTTATGTGAAATGATAAGTCTCCCTCTAATGGATTAATCAAAATTACTACCTTCACAGTATTCCATGATTATGATGAGCGTATCATTCTCATTGAAACTCTCTGTATATTGTACAATGTGAGGATGTTTCAATTTCTACAAAAGCATCACCTAAGAATTATATGAACTTATAAACTTCTCGTTTTGAATCATCTTGTTCTTTTGATTTTAGATTGAATAATTGAATTTTCTTAGCCACATACACTTACTAGTCTGATTTCGAGCGTACCAAATGTGCAGACCCTGAATATCATTATTACTTTACCATAGCTGCCTCTCCCTATTGTCTCATACTCAACATATTTATCCAAATATTTACTCATATGTATAATATATTTATTACTAATCGAAGAATTGACAAATATATATATGATTATATTAATAAAAAAGGCTTCTTATACAATAACTCATCAAAATAATCTACACATATCAAATCATTCAATCCAACTCTCTTGCTTTATCAATTCCAATTGCAATTGGTTTTCCAATAATTTCTTTGTCTATAATCATATTCAGTCATCTCAAAATCCATATCCAAACTTCAAACTTGCTTTTTTAATTGCTTTATGCTCTAAAATCATTAAAGTTGACTTAATTTTTATATATTTTCTTTATCTATTCGTTTTAAAAGACTTCAGATTGAATCCCTACTAAAATACTGGCCTTTTATTTAATTTTTTGAAATAATTTGATATAATTATCTATTTTACTAAAATTGGTAATTAATTGAATTATGAATTACAATGAATTTAAAGAATATTTAAAATTATAGGTAAATTGTGTTGCTCTAACAAATAATAATGAAAATTAAATCTAATGCAAATTTAATAAATAAATATTGAAATTCACGATTAAAGGTATCCCATGCTGTCCCATAGATTTTCATCATCATTATAATTCATTAAGGGATAATTGTAATTTGGTTCAGTTTAGGGAAAAAACAAATCTATTGTGATTCGAAATGCATCATTCACCATTCTAGGAAATAGTTAATCCAATAATTTGCTTGTTACTTCTAAACTTGGATTGGTATTTACTTCTATCAACCAAGGAGAATATTATTCATCGACAATGAAGTCCATTCCAAAGATTTCAAAACAATTCTTTCGTTTTTATTTATTTATTTTATGCTTTACTGTTTGAAATGCAGTATAAGATATCGTTTTAATTTTACCTAAAATCTAAATTTAAATTAGTCTTACTTCTTTTCTAAAATCCTTTTTAAATAATTTTTGTGCCTAATCAAAACTGTATTGATTTCCTTCTTCAGATTTCCCATACTCAGGATGAGTGTATTAAATAGCATTGTTTGTGAGATGAACATAATTAGATTGTACTTTTGCATCAAACTTCTCTGTTGCCAATCTCAATTACCCTTCTCTGTAAAAATATATCTATAAATTTGTTGTCAATAAAATGTAAGCTCTAACATCAAATTTTCTATCATTTATTAGCAGCGGTTTCTCTATGTATTTTTAGATTACAAATTGTTCTGTAACTAACGTATTTAAGTAGACCACCTTATTGATTATTTCATTCTATTCATTTCTTTTCACTTCCAATAGTTTCTCTTTGTACCCCCCTTGATATTTATTTTAAATATCTAATACATCCTATAGGCTTCTGACGACATGGATTCCTCTACCTTAATTCATATTTGAAGGCTTGAAGATCCATAAATTCTCATTGCCAAACAAAGTTGGATAATGATTCACCTTGCTGTCATACAATGTTGTATACGAAAAGAAATACTATTTGATAGTTTTATCCAATTCTGGCAATTTGTGTTAAGGACAATTTTATCTGTAAAAGGAAATGAACTAAAATAGTTCAGATTTAAGGTTTTCATTTGTGCATTCTATGGCAAAGGTGGTGGGAGTGTAATCATATATATTTAATCTATTTTTCTTTATTAAATATTTTAGATACATCGCAATAGGACTTGAAATTCACAGCTAACTTAAACTTATCTGAAATTTCTGAATGAAACTCAAAATGATTAAGCATCTAAATGGCTTGTTCTTTTAGATTAATGGTGTAATATTCATATCCCTTTTCAGTCTCTTGCCATTTAAAATTTATTTTCTTAGATTTTGGATCCTTAACTGAAATCCAGTTCTCTCTTTCATCTAATAGTTTCTTAATAAGTTGATGATTGTTGCCTTCTCCTATAAAATAAAAATATTTTGATTAATGCGTTTTTGGAGCTGACACTGAAACACTTCTTTGATGAAATTCCTTTCTTTATAAAATTGGAGGTAGGCTCCTCTGTTATTATTTCTACTTCTCTTGATTGGCAATGAAGCGTAACTTAGCTTATTCAATTTGTGTTTAAGATAGCAATCTTGTGTCAATTAATCTCTTGGAGTCCTTTTTGTTGGTCTAACAATTATTAATTTAAATAATTACACAATTACTGATTCTATGGCCGTAGGAGGACTATATAATTTTCAAGTTGTTAAGAGTTGGAAGAGCGTACTTTTTTGGTGAGTTCATTCACTCTAGGATTTATTTATTTATATTCTAGAAGTTTAAATAAACTTGATTTTATATACATTCTTATCAACTGAGTGAAATCATATGTTATCGTATCGTAAATTAATATAATGAGATTAAGTCAAATAAGTGCAATGTTCTCATCCTCCAACTCACAAGTATTAATAAGCAGAGTGGGATCAGCACTTCATATAAAGCTTAATAGACCAAGTTAATTGAATGCTCTTAATTTACCTATGATTGCAGAACTAAACTAAATCTTGGATCAAACAAATTAGACATCCTGCATCATTCTGAGTGGAGAAGGTGGCAAGGCCTTTTGTGCTGGTGGTGACATTAAGACTTTATATTTTGCAAAGACTTAACCTTCTGAATAAAATCCTCCAAGCGCTTTGAAATAGTTCTTTTTTGATGAATACAAATTGGATTATAGATTGGCAACACTTAAACCAGTATTAGTGGCTTTGATGGATGGAATAGTAATGGGAGGAGGAGTAGGAATGTCAATCCATGCTCCTGTTAGAATAGCTACTGAAAAGAGTGTATTTGCAATGCCAGAAGCAAAACTAGGATTATTTACGGATGTAGGAGGAGGATACTTTCTCTCCAGATTACCACACAGATTAGGTTATTATTTAGGTTTAGGTGGATTCAGATTGAAGGGTGCTGACTTAGTACATGCAGGTTTGGCTGATTTTTATGTATAATCATCAGAATTACAAAATTTGATTTCTAAAATCGGTACTGTTTAAAGCTAAAACCTCACTGAAGTCAAGAATATAGTTAGATAGTTCTAACCTAGTTAAGTATTAAGTAATGTGTGATATCTTTTAGATACCTGAATTCACTATCAAACAACAATTATAGAACATTGAACCTGGATATTCAGGAGAGAGTTTGGAATAGATATTCAATAATCTACAGAACCATCATAACCAAAAGTTTGGACAAGATAATTTAAAGATTTTAAAAGAGTAATGTCCACTTTCTTTGAGAATCATATTTGAATAGATTAAAAGAGGTTAAAAACTTGATCTTAGAGAGAATTTGAAGATGGACTATAGAATTGTCAGAAGGTAGATTATGCACATATATATTAATAGAATTATGTAAGGAACTGACTTCTTCGAGGGAGTGAAGTAGGTGTTAGTTGACAAAAATCACGTTCCCTCTTGGTCATTCAAAGATGCCTTGACTATTCCTCAGTCTGAAGTTGACAAATATTTTGCAGTTCTAGAAAATGAAGAAGAGCTTGATATTTGATATTTTTTATGAAATAATTATTATTGGCATATCTTATGAAGTGTGATTATTTATTGAAAAACTATTTATAGAATAATATAAATAGATTTATAAAAATTGTACATTTCAAGGGGGTTGAATTAATTAATAAAATATCTAAATTTATGAGTCTTAGTATATTTAGTGTTAAGACGAGTTATTATAAAAATGGTCTTTGGTGGTTTACTAAGATTCCAGCTCGTATAATAGGTGAAGAACGATGGGATGCCATGAGATTGGCAAGGAGAGTTTATGGAAACAAAATCTATTATGGAAGATAATAAATATTGTTTGATATCTTTTATGATTGGCCAGCCATGGCTAACCTAATAGGTATCTATCCTAAAGTAGAGTCATCAATTGATTATAAAGGTTGATACTTCACATGGATTCTTGCATTGGGCCACCTACGAAGCATACAGAGATTGGCAAGAACACACTTTGAATTCAGATGTATTTTTTATACTAACTCTTAGGGATCTTTCGCTATTTGGATCTATATGCTATGTGGTATCTATATTGCTCACTGTTTCTACTCCTATATGATTCCATATTATTGGACGTATGTAGATTTATCATAATTCTAGAAACATGTTCCCAGCTAAGAACGAAGAGTTTGTGAGGTTGAGATTGAAAGACGCCCTTGCATCAACTGTTATGGAAGAACTATTTGCTAACAACTATGCAGAATTCGCCTGGGCTCCCCATGATTTCCATTATAATAGATAAAGATGTATGTCTGGATACGGCCATCCCGATGATCCAAGAACTATGCACATGGCTTCATTCAATAGTACAATTATTAAACAATATTTCTAGGAAAGCATAAATACAAGGAGCACTATTTGAAGAGAATAGGAGACTCAAGTCGTATGACAACTGTCCTTTGAAATAATTATATTTCATCATATATATACACCGACTATCATTTTTTATTCAAATTCTTTGAAAGAAATTTAATCGGAGTTCAGTTTTGAGAAGTCATATAACAATTTTAAAATCTTTTATATATTTTTATATTAAAATAAAAACACCTGGTGTTCAATTGATATTTTCAACATATCAGCGATCAACTCAAAAACTTGACACTTAAATCATTCAATCATTTTCAAGCAAAACGGTACTACATTTAGGTCAAAATCTTTTCAATAAACTTGCTTCTATGATTCATAATCGATTCATCAATTTAATCATGTAAGATAAGATTTCCATCTAATCAATAAAGAAATGATGCTAATAAAGTTAATATGTTGAGAAAAAAAGTTGCTGTAAAATTGATCTATAATTATACAACAATTTTAGTTGGAATTTGATATTATTAATTGCATAATTTTGCCAATCTATTGGAGTAGATATGTTAAACTTACTTATTACTTTATTTTAAAGGTGCTACACTTAAAATTAGATGATGCTTAACAAGATTTTGTGAAATCAGTATCTTTTTTATTATGGAATTTTTATTGGAAAATATCTTAATTTTGCTCGACTCTTAATAATGATCATTTTATAATACACAATTAGTGCTGATATTAAATCTTTTAAATGAGTTTGAGTATATTCAGTGCTAAAACAAGTTATTACAAGAATGGCATCTGGTGGTTTACCAAAATGGCCGCAAGAGTGGTTGGAGAGGAAAGATGGGATGCTTTGAGAATAGCAAGAAGAGTATACGGAAACAAATTTTACTATGGAAGACAGCAAATATTATTTGATGTCTTTTACGATTGGCCCGCTTTCGCCAATATGATTGGTATTTACCCAAAAGTAAATGATTTCATATGAGATGTTAAGGTTGACACATCACATGGATTCCTCCATTGGGCAACGTATGAAGCATACAGAGATTGGCAAGAGCATACCTTAAATTCAGATGTACAATTGATCACTAATATCATAGGGTGCCTTTGCCATGTGGGTTTATTTAATTTGTGGTGTATATATTGCGCATTACTCTTATTCATATATGATTCCCTACTATTGGACGTAAGAGCTTGTTTATAACGAATAGAAACCTCTTCCCAGTCAAAAATGAGGAATTCGTGAGATTGAGAATGAAAGATGCCATTGCCTCAACAGTCTAGGAAGAATTATTCGGTAACTAATTTGCAGAATTCGGTTGGGCTCCTCACGATTTTCATTACAACCGTCATAGATGCATGTCTGGTTACAGTCATCCAGATGACCCTCGTACCATGCACATGGCCAGTTTCAATAGTACGCATATCTGTTTTTAACTTTGATAGGAAAACACAAATATAAGGAGCATTACATGAAGAAAGTAGGAGATTAAAGCAGAATGGCAGGACTCTGATCAGATAATATATATACACATAAATATCGTTGATTATCAATATTCTACAACAATACCTCTAGAAACATGGATTTCTTAAAATTGCAATTTTCGTATTGCAAAACTTCATTAGTAATTCAAATTAACACTATCATCGTTATGATCGGAAGTAGATTTTAGAAGGAATTTGCCTCTACGCTGAGTTCTAATTGAGACAAATATTAAGTTTAAGTATACTAATCTATAGAATTAAGAACAGAAAGTAAATTCAAGGGTACTTCTAGATTCAAGATGATGCGAGGATTCCAATTGTTATATAGAATAAAATCTTAATTTTTACTCATTATTTTATCAATGAAAAGATAATTTTGAGGATCCTGGAGGCATTCTCTGTGTCCTAGCAGTCCTAAAATCTTCAGAAGTTTATGACATTAAATTTCTTGAAGTAAAGAAATTAGGAGATTTTGCAGATTGTTTTTCTTATGGAGATTCTAAAGTTGGTTTTCTATTGGCTTCACTATCGAAATCAGTTTCAAAATTAGCTTATAGATTGTCCAAGGTCTATTTAATTTTTTATTTTAATCTGTCAGTTCTTTAAGATTCTAATTGATTTTTCCTATTCTTTTAGAGGATGATGTCTAATTATTGATTGTTTTCAAATAGCTTAGTCCATATTCTATTATTAATATTCTTCAATTAATCGGGAATATTAATATTCATATATTCATAAAATTGATTTACTTTTTAATCTGAATAGCTAGGTAGATGTAATTCCTCTTATTTATTTGGTACCATCTTTTTGAATTTGTTTTCACTTTTATAGCTATACTTGTATTTGCGTTGAGGTTAGACAGTAATTAAAAAAGCAGAATTTTTTTGTCTTAATTCTTCTTCAGCCATCATCTACCCAGTTTGTATGGCTCTGTCTTTAATTTACTTTAATTGATTCTTAAATTTATTTAATCTATCCTCTGAGGATTTTTTAATCTTAATCTTTCTCTCGATCTCCACCTTCTAAACAACATCGATTTTATTACTCAATTCAATTAGTTATTTTAGATTATTAATTTGTTCATAGATATTGACTGATTTTGAGGTCAGCTTATCCTTAATCTCATCTCTGGTATTCAAATATGTGAGTAGACTGATGACTCCCTAAAAGGATTTAGGAAGAGCAGGTATAGGATTTTGATTTTAGTTGCTATTCTAATTGTTCAATTCATTCATTTCATTCAAGGCAGCATTAATTTCATCTTCGGTCAATTGTGTTCTCTCTATCAATTATTTCATTATTTTAGCAAAAATATCCCTTGCAGCTGAGTCCAAATAACATGCTTTGAATTCTTGGAGGTTTAAAGAGAAATCCTTATTTTGGTCAACTACTTTAAAAAAATCTAACAATTCTTTCTTAGTAATGAAGATTCCATATCTATTATGATCATTCGCAATTACTTAGTGAACATCCTGAATACTTCAATAAAATCTAGTGCTTTGGAACCATCATTGTCAAACTTCTCAAACAGCAGGGTAAGCTCAATGTGTTTACGCTGATGGTTCATTTAAATTTATATACTCTTTCTTCGGGTAGATAGCGATACATTTCTTTGGCCTTGGGATCTGCTTTATTTTGGTGTTTGTTTATCCAATTCATCATTGAATTAGTGTGCATTTAGCCTCTCTTCTGGCATTTCAAAAATTCCCTTTCTAATTCTTCCCTTCTCTTTCGATCCTCCTCCTTCAAAGAATTTGATATTTTCTCTAACTACTCCCTCCTTCTCTAATGAGACATTAATTTATTAATAAAATCATAATTTGAAGTTAATACCATAAATCATACAAAAAATCTTCAGAATTCTTATGATATGATTTATTTTTCATTCTCAAATCGCTACCCTAATAAATCTCAAGTTAATCATAAATTATGTTCTTTTTCTGTTATTAAATAATTCTATTTTGATGAGAAATATGATANCTAATTGATTTTTCCTATTCTTTTAGAGGATGATGTCTAATTATTGATTGTTTTCAAATAGCTTAGTCCATATTCTATTATTAATATTCTTCAATTAATCGGGAATATTAATATTCATATATTCATAAAATTGATTTACTTTTTAATCTGAATAGCTAGGTAGATGTAATTCCTCTTATTTATTTGGTACCATCTTTTTGAATTTGTTTTCACTTTTATAGCTATACTTGTATTTGCGTTGAGGTTAGACAGTAATTAAAAAAGCAGAATTTTTTTGTCTTAATTCTTCTTCAGCCATCATCTACCCAGTTTGTATGGCTCTGTCTTTAATTTACTTTAATTGATTCTTAAATTTATTTAATCTATCCTCTGAGGATTTTTTAATCTTAATCTTTCTCTCGATCTCCACCTTCTAAACAACATCGATTTTATTACTCAATTCAATTAGTTATTTTAGATTATTAATTTGTTCATAGATATTGACTGATTTTGAGGTCAGCTTATCCTTAATCTCATCTCTGGTATTCAAATATGTGAGTAGACTGATGACTCCCTAAAAGGATTTAGGAAGAGCAGGTATAGGATTTTGATTTTAGTTGCTATTCTAATTGTTCAATTCATTCATTTCATTCAAGGCAGCATTAATTTCATCTTCGGTCAATTGTGTTCTCTCTATCAATTATTTCATTATTTTAGCAAAAATATCCCTTGCAGCTGAGTCCAAATAACATGCTTTGAATTCTTGGAGGTTTAAAGAGAAATCCTTATTTTGGTCAACTACTTTAAAAAAATCTAACAATTCTTTCTTAGTAATGAAGATTCCATATCTATTATGATCATTCGCAATTACTTAGTGAACATCCTGAATACTTCAATAAAATCTAGTGCTTTGGAACCATCATTGTCAAACTTCTCAAACAGCAGGGTAAGCTCAATGTGTTTACGCTGATGGTTCATTTAAATTTATATACTCTTTCTTCGGGTAGATAGCGATACATTTCTTTGGCCTTGGGATCTGCTTTATTTTGGTGTTTGTTTATCCAATTCATCATTGAATTAGTGTGCATTTAGCCTCTCTTCTGGCATTTCAAAAATTCCCTTTCTAATTCTTCCCTTCTCTTTCGATCCTCCTCCTTCAAAGAATTTGATATTTTCTCTAACTACTCCCTCCTTCTCTAATGAGACATTAATTTATTAATAAAATCATAATTTGAAGTTAATACCATAAATCATACAAAAAATCTTCAGAATTCTTATGATATGATTTATTTTTCATTCTCAAATCGCTACCCTAATAAATCTCAAGTTAATCATAAATTATGTTCTTTTTCTGTTATTAAATAATTCTATTTTGATGAGAAATATGATAGTTCCATAAAATATTACGATTAATTGTGTACGGTAAGATATCGAAGCTTGTGTGAATCAGTAGTTGTATGAAGTGATGATTATATGAAAGTGGATGAAATAGGAAATGAAGTATAATTATAATTGTTAATAATCAAAATATATAAATATGAAAAATTATATAAAAAGAAATATTATTGTATTAAATGGGTTGATTTTAATTTTTGTGTGGTTGTTTGAGTGAGGATATAGTTATATAGATATTATATATGATATTTCTTTAGTTCGCAATTTTTGGTATTGCATTTTGGAGGAGAAATGATGTAAAATTCTTAGATATGAATGTGAGTAATTTGGAGGATTGGATGTGAGGGATTGCAATGGAGGAAGAATGGGGTTTGGTTAGATTGGTGGATTTTGGAAGAGAGAACGATTTAAGGTTTATGGATGATGATGATAGTTTTGAAAAAAATAATGATGATCGGATTATTAATAAAATAAAATAAAAAAATTTATCAATTGAAGTTGTGAATTCCTCTTAATATATTCTGTTATTGAGTGGAGTTGTGAGCATCTGTTGATGGGTGAATTGATTATTTTAAGTTTTGGTTAAAATATTTCCATATATTAAATCTTTATTTTAATGAGGCAGGTTGATCCAAATATGCCACTTTAGAAAAGTGAAGTTTGGGAGATTGAAAGTTAGAAGGTAAGAAATGGCAGAATTTTTGTTAGGATGGACAGTGCAAACAGATAGAAATACCTAGGTTTGTGATTGTGGAAGGGTTACCTCAACTAAGCCGTAAAATTCCTCCTACTTACATTCATACAAATATTGTATATCCAGATGAAAACGAATATTCATGTGACGAAGAAGATTAAGCACTTGGAGTAGATCCACTCGCCATCTAATAACTAGACATCAGGAATAACCTATCGAACACTCGGAACTACGTTCGCCAATATGAATTGCTGAATTCCATTAATTACCCTCCAGAATATTATAATGCTAAGGTTGAACGTCTTCAACGACCTCTGTTGCGAGTGTTCATGAGGGCCCAGGAAAATGAGTAAAAAATCATTTTTATATTCATCACTAGTTACCGAATGAACATGGCCTTTCGTCCTAGTAGAGCCTACAAATAAAAAAGGTTGAAACGACTCAATATCTAACTTCCTGAATTTTAAGTTGGCAGACAAATCATCTACAATGAGAATCTGGTTGCCCTTCATCTCATTTCTTAAATTAAGCAGCGTGAACTATTAAAATTAAAACTAATTAAATAAGATGAAGAAGAATTTACAAGTACATTTAGCAATTGCTCAGACATATTCAACACACTCAAAGACCTAAGAGTAGCACTCAAAGAAGAAGAACCATCAGATAATAAGGATCATAGATCCAAGATTTTTGATTCATGTCAGGATCCAGAATGTGCCTACCAATTCAATCCACCTTTAATCTCCTAAGCCGTCATTGAGTTTATGGACGATCAATATTAATCCATCAAGGACAAGCAAGTTCTCTGGCCTAAACATCCAACCATACTATCAGATTGGAATCTCGACAATTATTCAAAAATTGGAGTTCATTAATCCAATAAATAGTTAGTTTATTCCACTTTTGACAGAACTCTCTTCATCTAGGATAGAACCAAAAAAAACAAAAAGAAGGTCAAATTGATGTTGATTGATAGAAATAGAGCTTCAGTTTTTGATGGGGTCAGAGCTGATTACGAGCATTTCTACTCCCATTATCAGAGACAATTGAACAAAATGGAAAGCACTATTGAATAACAAAGGAAAGAAATACAGAAATTGAAATAGGAATAGGCGAAAAAGGAATCCATGTTGAAAATGCAATAGAAGAAAGAAGAACAAAGGAAATTACTTAAAATTAGATTGAAAGTGAATTATGTGGAAGAACCAAAAATAGTTAAGACTGTAAAAATCAAACATTCTGATGAATTGAAGTTTTTATTAGTCAAACATGATTCAACTTCTACTTAATTGAGATAGGAGAATTGTTAGATCATTTTACAATGAGATTTTCAAACAATGATAGCTTTTTTATAATTTTTGTGCTTTTATATGCAAGAATATAACACTTATATTTCTTTTTGTTTTTTAATTTAAAATAAAGATTTAAAATATTTTTCATTATGGCAGAGGTCGAATAATTATCAGAAGAGCTCACTACTTTAAAAAGAGTTGTCTAAACTTCCTTACATAGAGGATAATTATCAAAGGGTGTACATGAAGTCTGCAAAGCAATTGAAAGCAAATAAGTTGATTATTGATATATATTGGAATAGGCTAAGTTTGTTGTATTGGCTGATGATTGTTCAGAAGAGACATACAAAAAATTAGTTGTTGCTTTGGCTAAGCAATTCCAAATTCCAGTTTGGAGAGTTGAGAAGGGTGCTTTGTTGGGAGAATGGATTGGAATTTCAAAGTTTTTGACTAAGACAAAGAAAATCAAGTCAAGAAAGTGTTCATCTGTGGCAGTTAAAGATTTCGCAATTGAAGTAAGCGAGGCTGAAAAGCAATTCATTGAAGACAAAATTAAAGGATTGTGAGAGTATTTTATCCGTACAACATATAAAACAAGTATATTAATGTATATTTATCATAATCTCTAGAATCAAAATGTATTAGCAAAGTGATTAAATTTTAATTATTTAATTTTTTATTATATGTCTAAGCATCGAAGAACCAAATCAAGTGGAAATTATTTCTAAATTAATCACGAGTTTTTAGTTAAAGATGATGATTTCGAATATAATGAAACCAAATTGATTATACAGAAAATACAATAAATGGCTACTTAAACTTAATAAATTGTAGAAAAACTTGATGAAAACACCCAAGGAATGTATAATAACTTATTCAACTTTGGTAAATAACAATCCAAAGAAAAAGCTGATCTCAATCTCAGTCAAATTTCAGAGTGTAGTTGTAAAATATGCTGTTTTATCAAAGCAACTCATTCAGCTGAATATCCCAGTCTTAAATTACGCAATTCAAGCATTTAATCCCCCATTCGTATGCATACTTAAAATAGTTAAAGTTTACAATAGACTATTTAATACTTAGAGTAAGAAATCGAACAAATGAAAATCAAACAGGACGGAATGCATACAGTTAATATGTTTTTATTATAAGAAACTTAAAAAAATCGTTAAGAGTTATTAAGAAGTTAAAAAGTAAGATTAAATTATAAATAGAAAAACGAAGAAAGAATTAAGTAACTCATTAAAAAGATAGATAAAGATTAATCGAATGCAAATGGGTATTTTTATAATTTATTTTTAACAGTAGTACTTCAGATGGTCTAGATTGAATTTGATTACATTTTCCTATATATATATATATTTAGTTCAAACATTTAAATTTTATTCTGCATACATTCTAAACAAAATTAAATGAATTTTAAAGAATAAACACCAAACTTATCTCATCATTATTTAAGATTTTTCTATTATTAATATCAGACTATAACTATTTTCAGCAAAGTAGTCAATGGAATTATCATCATAACCAAATTGGGATTAATTTTCTATAATGATAAGACCAGTCCCCCGATAATGAAGATTTGAAACTTGTAGTATATTCCCAATATATATAAAGAGCAGCAACCAGATATGATACACACATTTACCAACAAATGAGTTACCGTAAAAAGTTGCTACTTTTAAACTCCACTATGTAATATAACTCCAAACAACAGCGAATCAAATATTTATAGATAAATATTTGTAACTTAAGATATTCCGCCAGCTTTTATTTATAAATTGATTTATACCATATAAAATTATCAGAAGAATAGACTCATAAATAGTTTGTTATAGAGCATGATGTTATTCTTAAGGTTAATTTTTACTCACCTAATTATCCAATTATGCATTAGACATAATTTCAGCTTGAATGATTTCACCCATCTATTTATCAAAATCGCCAATTTTAAATGGAATTGATTTTAAAATTCTGTTTTAGTTTCTTAAAAATTCACTATTATCTTCATATTTAATCGAGATTTATTGAGCACCATTCACCCTTTTCTGATTATCTAATTGAGAAATTAATTTAGAATTTTAATTTGAATCAACTACTCTACCCTTCTCTAATAACACAGTATTCTTTAAAGTAATTCCTAATTAAGCTAAATGACTCTTATCAGCCCTTTATAAGATTGCATACTGACTTTCCTTTGTGACGTGATCATATATTTGGACTGCCTCTACTGCAGATTCTATTGCTTCCACTGAAAAAGATAATTACTTTGCTTTTTAACTCTGAGTGTTATTTTATTATATATGAGGTAGTTCTAATTTTTTTTCAGGTTCAAACTTTTTTATTAATTCTCTTAACCAAATAAATAGAAATAAACCTATTAGTATGCAGTTGTTTTCAATCAAAAAAGTGCAAAAAATAAACAATTTCACGATATCATATATTATGTTTGGGCATTATTAGGATTAAAAGGACAATCCAAAGAGGGTTGAGAGTGTTAAAATGAAAAGTTAGATAGCCAACATATACGATGTTATTGTGTGTAAAATATTTATTTATTTTGGAATAATAATTTCAGAATAAAACTCCTTTCTCTTAAATATTGAGTGGTCTTGCGGAATTGGGATTTGTGTATCTGCGAATAAAGTCTTGCAATATCAATTCAGAGTCTTTGAAGTCAGTGGCTGCATGATCATTAGCTTATCTGTGGACTCTGCATAATGTCTCTTTGTAATCTTCATACCACCACACAAATCTCTTGATATCTAATGAAAAATCATGAATGCATACTAACCTTCATGTTCCAAAAGAAACTCGTTCTCCTTCACTAACTCCTATGCTCTTAATTGAACATACTCATCAAACAAATTAACTTTTGTTAATTCAGATTTGTATTCGAAATATATTTTACCAAATATAACACACTAAACAACAGGGAATAAGTATCTAAAAGTTCTGAATCTAATGTTTTGTGTTATCACATTATAATTATATGCATATAGGAACTATAATACATCTTAAAAAGGTATTTACCAAATTGATTCCAAAAGCGACAGCCTAATACCCAAACTTATTATACTCTATAACGGGATAGGTCATATCATCTTCCCATTCGGCTAAAATAGATATTCAAATGTGTATTCTTACGATCTTGAGAACTCAAGCAAAAAGCATTGAATGGTACTTTTGGCTAAGTCCAACCAGCTGTCTCAATCAATTCAACCATTTTCTTGATTGATCTGTATCTCTTCAAACGAGCTTCTCTATTGTATTAAAAATTAATACTAACCTAAATGGAGGTAGATTCTAATTTCTAAGTCCCAGTAAACTTATGATTGTGAAATAATTATCCATTTAATTAAATATTGAATTTGAATAATTAAAAAATAAAATAAAATAAAACTAAATCATACTTCATCACTTATTAAACAATTCACACTGTTTTATTACTATTCGACTTCACTTAATTATTCTATCACTTCCTGACTTTCAATATACTTTTATAATCTATAAATTGTTAGTAATTCTGGGTCAATTTGTTTAATTAATCTCCTTATTATATTAGTTTAGTAATGATTCTCAGGGTACAAGATCTTGGTCTACTCTATTTTTTCATAGACGGATAGAACTTATTCGTAATTGTAAATGATATCATCAATCAGATTTTATTTGTTTTGTATATATTAATTATACTGCTTGTAAAGAGAGTTTTTAGAAGCCCTTCTATTTTTAATTTTGAAGCTTATAATTGGCTTCGAAGTGAAGTTAAATATAGTTAACTAATCTTTAGTGAGTAATATTTATTTTAGCTTGTCTATTTCATTCAATTTTTCAAATAGATACTTTGAATCTGAAAGCATATTAATCTTTTTCAAAGCTATTTCTAATAATTTTGAATCATTGCATTAAAACAATTTACCAAATGTGATTTGATTTATTAAAAATTTGAAGTTCAATATTAATGGTGAATATCTGGTTAATATTCCAATAATTGATTTTCTAAAATAATCTTTAGAACTCGTGTATCCAAATTTCTAGACCCATTTAGTATTATTCTTTTCAAAATTAAATTGCTTTGAAATTATCCTATTTCTTTGATTTAGTTGTATCTTTCTTTCAGAATTAGTTTGAAATTCAAACTATGATCTCAACACATTAAAAAAAAGTTTGTTCACTTCAATTCCAGAATATGGGGAGTCTACCTAAGATTTATGCAGTTATCTCTAACTATGAGGAGACTTTTCAGTTCTAGATTGCTCTTTTTACTATTCAATGACGTTGTTGATTTCTTTTAATTATTTAATCTATTCTATTTTGACTTCAGAGTTCTTTTCAAACTAAAATATTTGATTTGCCAAATCTAATGACACTATAATAGATATATAATATATGTTTACTTTGTAGTTTATTATATTAAACAATAAGAGACCCTAAGACTAAGGATAGAGCTTACAACAAACCACCTATTTATGAAAGTAAAGTATGCAATTTTAGACAGGATCTCTTGATTGTAGTGGTGAATATATCTTATTTTATATCTATATATCCGTATACTTCATCATCATCTCTTCCAAGATCAACAATTTCAATCTTATCTTCTGAAGATATTAAATTGATTTCTGATTTTTCATTTGATCTAAATATAATTTAGGGATTACTAAAAAGGCATAACACTATCGTCATTCATTATGTTATACTTCCTCAAAAGCAGAGTTACTGACCTTAACAATTTTTAAGGTATAAAACTAATGGTAACTGAATCATCGAGGAATTTTTGCGCATAGTTTTCACCTTTATTATATGGGTTCAGTATCTAAAATTAAGATATTAAATGACATAATTGCCAAAGTACAGTTATAATGTGAATTATCTATTCTTCCTAATAAATTAATTGATTTCATCCTATGATGCACATCTTAATTCTGAATTTGTAAAATTTTGGCATTTTTTTATATTAATTCTCAAAAATTCCAATTAATCTTGTTTAAATTAAATAATTACTTGGGCCTGACTAGTGGAAATGCAATGTTTGATTATTCCTATTTAATTATAAAAAGATACTTGAGACATAAAAGAGAGCCTTAGAATTGTTAGGGAAGCACTTAAGTCATATTAATGGCTTAGTTTTCTTAAAGTTGTAATAGTCTCTCATTTGAGCATTTTTCTAATTCAATATAACTAATCTACTCGGAATTATTGTTATACAACCTCAAAATGATTATAATACTTACCGCTATTCAATTTCAATTTCGAAGTATTGTAATTGTGCATTGTCCATTTATTTTAGACCTATGGCTAACATAAAATTATTAGAGTCTTATTTGATAATGGGGGAATCCATATTATGTTCGGAGGAAATAGATACTTATAAGTTGGATTTCCAAAAAAAGTTAATAATTGTGTTCCAGGAACTCATAATCACAATAGCTATCACTAATACTGAAGTTATGCCCCCACAGGCAGTAGTATAATTTCTTTTGCCATTTACATTGATGGTGAAAGTTTGGCCAAATATATCTATGCCAAGTAAGACTTATTATGCATCTTATTACATACATCTATTCACTGCATTATTAATGCTGATCACCATATTTTAATATATTAGTTTATTTAAGTATGCTACAAAACTATTATTATCTATAGCTAAGATTAGAAAAATTAATAGAAATCTCACAGGAAGCTTATATTTTCATAAGAAGGGTTATACTGATAGTCAAATAAAGGACGCAAATTTTAGCGGCAACAATAATTTCGTAGCTAGGTATTCAACTAAAAATCTGTAAGAAATTTGGAATAATGAATTGAGAAAAAAACAATGTGCAAATTAATTATAATAAATATAGATATTTAAATAAAGTAAAGTCTGAAATATTATTATGGATAATTATTAAAATAGAGTGTGTGCTTAATTCTATTTCCAAATTGATTCAAATACTATAATGATGGACTTAGTTAAATATTAATCAAAATTAATTGTAGGATCACAATTCAAATTGCATGATGTAAAATTATTAATCTCCTTGAAAATTAACTAATTTTTTTTGAAATGCTTTAATAAGAATAAAAAATTCTTTTGAATTCATCTATAATAAATGATATAAAAAATTACAAAAATCTTTAAGTCCTAATCTGACTTTGCGAAGAAATTAGAATAGTGCAGTTTAACTAAGGACAATTTCGTTTTTCGACAAGAGGACATAGATATGATTCTTTAATACATGATTGAGGAAAAATATATTCGAGAATTCTTTGATGTCTACGTTGCTCAAGAAATGCAAACCTACACGATAAAAATGAAAATGCTCATTATCATCCATTAGATCATAAATCTAAGTGAGGAGTTCTCGTCAATCTTCAACTCCATTCGATTTCATCATTTTAATAAGCTTAAGCATTGCAATAGAAATAATGAGGCTTGGCTACTCTAATCAATATAAATACCTTATTTGCAATATTTACAAAAATTGTCAATAAATATAAAAGACATTAAAAGTTATAGAACATGTTTGTTTAGAAAATAAATTCTAAATACAAAGTATTAAATCTTTAACTTCATATAGTTTGGTAATCGATAGTTATAAATTAATTAATATCGTGAATCAAGCTTTGTCATTAGTACCAAATTTAAAAATTGCATTAACTAATTACCCCTATGATTTCTTATTAAAAAGAGCTGCCTTTAATATCTATTTAGAGATTCATACATTCCAAAGATAATTAATAAATTCATTGTCTGCATTGCTCAATGAAAACTCACAAGCAAAAGAAGTGGAAATTTATGAATTTCTGAAAGAAGTATATTTTTTGCAGTACTTATATCAGGTTTAAGTGATCGAATAGAAAATGATGTTCTTCTATTAATTTCATAAAAAATTTGATCCAAGTCAGTCATTAATTCCTCCATTGAAATTAAAAATAGATGTAGAGAGTGCTAGATGCATTGAGAAGTCTGCGTTTTAGGAAAGAGAAGCATGTGAATAATTGAGATAAGCAAAAACAAAGAGAGAAATCTCTAATTCTTCTCCGCAAATAGATTATTAGCTTAGTTGTGAAAGAGGGAGGAGAGGAACGTAATTTTAGCATCTAGTATTATAAATGAACAGTCAAGCAAATCAAGCTATAGTTTGGGATTAAACGCACACATTCTAAGAAGCAGTTGATTCTCACACTGATGAAAAACCTATAAAGGAAGAATAAATTAGTGAAAACATAAAAAAATGATTTATTATATAATTTATCAATTTGAACTCATTTAAATGGAAGGTAGACTATCTTGAGAGCATGGGATAACAGAACTAAGTTTTGATTTTGATATTTTAGTTGATGAAATTATTTTTTTTGAAGATAGATTATTTCTTAATTAAATTAACCATATCTTTTTTTAAGCTTTTTTGAATTTGGTTACTAGATTTGACCCTCCTGTTTATTATTGTATTCTTTTCAGCTTCAAAAATTTGGTTATAAATAAGAATGGATAGTATAGGTATTTTTGGAATTTGTTTAAAATTTCAGATTGCCATTAATGTAAATTCTTATTCACTGCATCAATAATGTGATTAGCATTACTTTAAGGATAGTAAAAATCATAATTTTGGACAGTTTCAAAATCCTCTAAAGTTATAGCATTCTGTTACCAATAAATATATTATAATGAATGGAGACCCTATTTCACAGAATGATCTTTATCATCCTACGTTCTCAGTAGTTTATTATAAAGACATCTTATATTTTCTTTCATATTCTAACTAAAGAATTGATCCTTTTTGAGTTATTCATCCTCATGAATTAAAAGAGTGGTTTCATGTGGTTCTTCAGCTATTTCAATCATTTAAGTAAGAATAGAATGAGATCGAGTATTCTTCCTTTGAAGTTATTTAGATGGTTATGAGGTTCTTCTCTGAATACGAGCATATTAGGTAGTCAAGACATTGGACTTAGTTAGATCTTCCTTTACTTTTGGTTTCTCTTCTTCAAACTCTAATTTAGGAAGAGTCTTGATTTAAGTAGTTTTATGATTGCTTGCCAGCATATCATTAAATTAAATTATATTCACTGAAGGTAGAGCATCATAGACATTGTGTGTTTCAGAATTACCTTAAATGGAATCATTATCTGCCTCATACACTAATTGCAGTTTTGATTGTTCATTTATAAAGTTCTGATTTTCATTTGAAAAGTATGAAGCACATTCTTAAACGTAAGTCAATTCAGCTCTTGTTTGAATGGGTTTCTCAAGAGTTTTTCTATTGAATTTTTATCTTATTTATTCTTGATTCATAATATGTTTTTTCAAAATGACTTCTTGATTTAATTTAAGTTGAACTTGCCCACAACTTTTTAATTGATGATCAAAATTATTACAAGCTGGACAAAAGTTGGCGTATTAAATCAGTAATTCTTCATTTGACAACGAATAAGTATCCCTGAGTTGACAATATTTCTGGAAATCATTAGGGAAATCTTTAAGTGTTTCCAAAAAGTCCATTTTAGAGAGCATCAACAAACTAACATAACTCTATGCTTTGAATAATTCATATTCTGGATTTTACATAATAAATTCTTTTACACAAAAAAATTGACCTTATAAGATTTAAGCATTCATTTTTGGTCTTTACTTTCTATCCTTGTGTTGATATAAAATTACACCTTATTCAACATAACAAAGATGTTAATGTCCATTCATTTCTGTTGAAAAAATGTTTTAAGGCTATATTATTTTGCGTTTGATTGATTTAAATAGGGCGTTTCGAAATTCAGCTGAAAAATATTTCTATAACAGTTCAGACTTCTTAATAAACACCTTGTTTGCTTATTTCTCCAATTCCTCTTTTAATTCATCTGATAATTACTCTAACAACAACTATTCCATTTCCAAATCTACTTCATCATCCTCCTTCCATCTGTATGTCAAATACTCTTAGACTCTAAGTACATTATATATGCATTAATTTACTAGTGTTAGAGACTAAAAGGAATTTATCTCTATGTCATATATTTATTGATGACTCTTAATTTCTAGCTTCTTTCTACTTAATTTTAAGTGATGTCATTCATTATGGCCCCAATAAAATTTACACTATAAGAAAACCATAAACCTATAAGATACGAGATTTTATTTACATGCTCCGAGAATGAAAATGATGGCCACTATCTTTTCTATCGAATTCTTAGGCACATTGTCTCCATACCCAATAGTAAGCATTGTTACAATAGCAAAATAAATAGATTCCAAATATTGCAATTGCCATGTCTGTCCATTTAATTCCTTATTCAAAATCCAAGAATTTGATTAATCTAAACTACTAAACCAAAACCAAATGCAGCTAAATAAGTGTAGGATATATAATAAACTAGTCAAAAACTTTATTAATCCAATAATCCCTCTTTGTGGTCTGGTAAAATAAGATATTTAATCTATTTTAGAGACACCTTCAAATATGTGTTTGTATTGCGTTAATAAAATAAGGAGAAACAAATCATAACCATCTTAAGCATGAGGATTAGCCATGAAGGCAACAATCAATATGATGACTGAAAAATCAGTGAACCATGATTTGTTCAATTGTCTTATTATGATTTCCCATCTATCTGTTATTGCCTTTCCATTTTCATAACATAATGTATTTATTCTCACAAATAAATCTAATTATAAAATCAAAAATATTGTTATCGTTAGTCCTAAATAATTTTAAAAGAGAATTTAAGTTGTGAATGATATTTCCAGAGGTGCTAGAATCACCAAGATTATCCGAAAAAGAGATGCAAATATATCCCAATATAATTTGAAATCACTTTCTGGTTATATTAATGGAATCTTATTGGCAATCAGGATGATTTATTTAATGGCATTTTACTTTTGTTCTTATAAAGCAGATTTGAGTTTGTCCCATCTATTTTCCTTTATTTCTATTTTCGTTGTTACTATTCTATTTAATTGATTGATTGTCAATCCCTTTTACACTTTTGTTTATTTGTATTCCTATAAAATGGCTCTATTAAAAATGATTATGATGCAAATACTTGTCAGATGCCTTATCATCTATTAGATTAAGGTGAGTATCATTTAAATTTTCCAATTTTTTTCTCTAAAAAGTAAGCTTTTCCAAAAAACGTCTTATAAAAAAAAACTGCATGATGCTTGACCCTGTATTCTTCGATTTCTCTTGATTTTTGCTGTTAGGAGTTAGAAGGTGAATTTGCTAAGCATCATTAGAAGGTAGATTATTTAGATTGAGATGAGTTGTATTTTTAGGTGTTCTAAAATCATAAGCATCATTGCTTTTTTCACTTTTGGTTTGACTTTAGATTTAGTTATTAGTGATTGATAGTTACCTTCTCGTATCTCTTAAACAATGTTCTAAATATTCTTATTCGAAATCTTCATTTTGAACTGCTCTTAACTCAAGATCTAAATCAAAATTCTAATTATGTTGTTGTGCAATTTTTTACATTTAATATATAATAAATCTTAAATTGAATAAAACCTGTAAACAAAATAAATTCAATATCAATACTAGATATAGAAATATGGATAGAAATTCAAATAATTTATGGCTTGAATTAAGTTTCTTTCAAAAAAAATTATTTTCT